AACGACAAACGAGCAGAATAAATGTGTTTAACTTGCTGTTTACTGCTTACTCCAGAGAATTACCTAGAGAGTTTCGCAGAGAATCAGAGACAGGGACTGAGAGTTATCCTGCCTTTTGGATTGAATCAACTAACCAAGTAATTCCACTCCATTTCACATTAAAATTGAGTTCCGTTTCGCATTAAAATATATGTAAATTCAATTGAAATTTGAGTTTTATTTAATTACACAAGTGCTTCCAAATTTCAATTTAATTATTGTCAAATATTCGATAGACATTTTCTGCATAATTAATGTTGAATCGTACTACGTGTAATTTTACCATGAAATTTCAATGAATTTTCAGCCTCTGAAGCTAACTTTAAGATGGGAAAGCCAGGTGGGGAGAAACGAGAAAAGTGGAAAAGGTACGAGGTCTGGTTTTTCTTTTCTTTTCTGGGCTGTGCTCTGCTGTGTCCTTAATGTGGAAACTTACTCATGTAAATGAAAAAGCGCAGGTGGAAAAACTTTTCACAGGCTCTGTTTTTCCCCTCTTTCGCATCACACACACACACACAGATGCCAGGGATACGTGTGTATATATGTATGTATGTCTGTGTTTGTATTTTTTGTGTGTATTGACAGCTGTGCTGTATATCCATGATGTTTGGAAAACACTCGGAGGACCCTCACAATGGCATTAGGAATGGCAGACGGACAGCAGTGATTCCAAGAACATCAATTATCCCTTAAAGAATGCTCTCCTCTCTGATCTTTGGCAATGCAAGAATAGCTGCTAATCCACACTGGGAGAGAGACGGGGAGCTTCTCATTCGCGGCATATGGGTTATGAGAGCGATTTGAACACTCTTTTCGCATATACTCGTATGTACCTATCCCTCTGATCATCACAAGGAAGAAAAGGAAGTATCTTCAAATTCACAGAGTAGTCGAAGATATGAATATTCTTGGTACATCTTGCAGCTACTTGCGAGAGCATCTGAAACTCCATTCTCCCTTCTGTTTTGCCAATATTTTGGGTGACTTTTATTGGGTCTTTTCCAATGGCGCATTTTCCATGCGCATAGCCATGTGGCATTCATTTAATTTTAGCTGCCAGCTGCAACAAAACGGGACCCATTTCCCCCATCCACCCATCCCCCCCGGGCCCTGGGGTCGAGAGCACTGATAGAGGGGAGGACTGTGAAAATATTCAGTTTTTAATCTAAATTGAATTCCGCTTTGATGCTTTTTGATTGCCATCGGCATTCGCGATTGCATTCGATTATGCTTTATCGATTAGTGGTAAAATATTCAACGAGCACTCGGTATTGTTAAAACCCCTTTTATCCACTGCTTTGGGGCTGAAGCATTGAGGACCCAGGATGAGCCCCTGATATCGAAATGCCATCCAATGCACTTCAAACTAAATCAACTTTACAATTCTGACCCACATCCATTTGACATTTCCACTTTCTTCAAACATATCCATCCTACAGTAAAAAGTCAGATTCTGCCCCACCTTGGGGTATCTTGGGGTATCTTGAGCGGCGGAATTGCCGCTGGAGGATCAGGAACGACTGAAACAAAAACATATTGACACGAAACAAGACACAAGACACACTAAAGATCCATTTTAAGAGAATGGATCCTCTCTATCGATGAATAAAGAGCTGCATGTGTCATTCCACAGAAGTACAGAATGTTCAAGTTAATCTATCTGTTTATCTATCTATTCCCTGTTGAAATATTCAACAACAATATGATAATTTCCAAGACCAATAAGTGTCCGTCAAGGCCCACACCATTCCCCCCCCCCCCCCCCCCCCCCCCCCTTTCCCGTTCAGTTGAGAATTGAATTTTCCTGTCCATCGAATCTTGTTTTGAATAAAATATGTATTTAAATGTAAATATATCTATACGATCTCTCTCTGCGTCTCTCTCGCATCTGCATATGCAAAATAATTCCATGGCCATCGACCGCATCCCTACACCGGGGAAAATAATGATATATCTTTTGTTGATCCGAAAGACATAAACCAGTGGATACTCGTATTCAAATTTGCTTGGAAATGCAATGCAATTGAAATGGAATCGCATGTTTTTCCAAGTGTGCCCCGCACCCCATGAGGGGGTGCTCAAAAGGAATCCAGCTCGCTGTTATGTCGTGTCGATTGGGGGCATGATGTTAGAGGGGACTACTCTCTCCTCGAAAAATGAGGCTGTGGTAGTATTACAAATGTTTGCCACAAGAAACCGAAACAATAATCCAACTTTTGTTGCTGCTGCTGCGTGCGCCTGCATGCTGATTTCCGTTTCCTGTTTACGACCACACACAACACACACAAACACATGCACAAATATGACCAATCAGATATTCATACATTCACACTCACTTTCTCCGTGGACGTGGATGTGGAAAAGGGGCAAATGCGTAAATATTCAATGGCATTTTGAACAATTTTTTATGGCATACATTTTTAATAAACCCTGCCCTCCCTTCTCTATGCGTAAGTATATTTATATCTATGTGTGTGTTTATGTGTCTGTATTTATGTGCGTGTTCCTCATCGATAAACATAAATACTTATGCTCTTGAGAGAGTTTGGTCAACAACATCTTAATATCCCCGCACGGCATCTCTACGCCATTCGTAGACCACGAGACACCTGCCACCGATAGCCCTACAGGGTGTTCTCTTCTTAATATGAGCCCATTGAAACAGTCCCTTCGTCCCATTCGCTTTCGTGCCTGCTTTTCATTGAATATCTCTGAACAGATTCGAAATAATTCTCAGAGCCTTAACGCACTATTTTTTCGGCCTCCATCAACGCACGCCCTTGAAGGGCCAGATTCTCTCGGCCTCTGTGATCGGAGTAGGCTGGACGCAGGAGCCCGCCTTGAGAGTCTTGGCCATGGTGTCCTCAATGTGGGCTTCGTGTTGATGGCATTTGCAATCCCATAAGGACGTATACACTCGTACATTCTTGATCAGTATCAACAGTTCTATCTCTCTCCCAGCGTTCACTTTTCTCTCAGCAGTGAGACCTCCTCCTCCAGGGCCAAAGACTCAAACAGACTCACCCTGTTTGACCTGAAATATAGTGCTTATAGACAACAGGCGTGGCGGTGTGGCCTTTACATCTGTTATTTGCTGCTGTTTCGCTGTTTTTGCCCCGTTTTTCCCCTGTCGAAAGCGATTATTGTAAATCAACTTCGAGAAAGGCAGGGGCAGCAGCATCAAGTGGCTTGCCTGCCACTGCCCTGTGGTTGTTGTCACATCTGTAACCGTATCGATATCGCATTAACTTTGCAAAAATTTCCACGCCGCAAGGAAAATAATTTACATATGTACAAAAAGTTAAGCAATGAATGATAGAGAGGTGGTGTGCCAGAGAAAGAGTAGGAGAAATGAAGATGGAAATGGAAATGGAAATTGAAATAAACATTAATCGAGTTCTTGGAGCTGTGACACGTTGATTGCGGTGAATGGAATGGAATGGCATGGAATCGAATCCCAGGACACCGCTACATAATCCGCTTTCCATCATGCTCCAATGGAGCCTGGAGCTTGTCCTCCTACATCCATTTTTCTGACCGCCCTGGAACCCATCCTCCTCTCCCGTGACAGTGACGCCCTTTTTAGGTTCTGCGGCTTGCGGCTTGTGGGCTACCTGCATTTGACATATGCGGAGAATTGAAAAGAACTCAAGTCAGCAAAAACGTAAGCAAACGTAAGCAATTCCTGCACTCCTGTGTCTGCTGTCCCCCCAAAAAGCGTTCAAGCATGAACATGACGCACTCCCCATTTTCTGGCTCTGCTTCTGGCTATCCCTCCCCATAAGCCACAAATTCTTTGTGGTCAAAACATCTTGGGGAGAAAGAAGATATTTAACTGTCATAAGCTATATGTAGCTTTGGTTTAAAATTCTTGGTAATATATTTAAAAGAAACCCTTCATAAAAAGCTAACAAAAGCTCTGATATAATATAGCTTTCGAGGCAAGTTTTCTGAGCTTTTACCCTTCACTTTTCATGGATATAACTTTTAGTTTTTAGATCATTTTGTCTCTTATTTAAAGTAGCTTTGAATGGTGGATTTGGAATTTGTGGGATTGAAAGGATCATTTAAAAGACAAAGCTTTTCAGTTTGTTTGACAACCTTCTTTAAAGATTGCATTGAGCTTTAAAGCTTCAAAGTTTTCATTCTTCGCCTTTAAAGCATCTATTTCCCCCGATCTGAAAATATATCATGTTCCATCCACCAACACACATCTCGCGCCTCGTGCTAGACATCTCTCTCCCAGTGGGGATTAGCAGTTAAGGGCCGTTATCAGCTCCTGCCCGATCCTCACACTTTTCCAGGCCAAAAATTCAATAAAATTTCATAAATATTTGAAAAAATATTCTTCAATCTACCATAAAGGTTTCAATTATAAAAGGGTTAATTGAAAGCACTAAAAGCACGGGAATTTAATTCATTTTTCCTTGGAAATAATTTGTATATAGGATACGTTTTATGATTATTGGATTGTTGAATATCTGTTTCCGGAAATAAATATAAGAATGGGAGAAAACCCTACTAGAATAAGCTTTTCTTCTACTGAATTTGCCTTGGGAGAGCTTCTACCCGAAAGCTTTACTTAAGACAAAACAGCTGATTGAATGACAGTCGCTTTCTGGTCACTCTTTTTGGCGCTCAAATGTTTAACTGTGTGTGTGTGTGTCTGGTAGACGTAGGTGTGTGTATTTGTGTGTGCAACATAAACAATAACAACAAAAGCGGACAACCGGCATACGGGCATACACTGGCGTACAGGAGACACACTCACACCAGGGAGAAATACACTCCCGTACACGCACACACTTGAGCAGACACACACACACACACACACACTGGTACGCACATACCATAGCAACGCAGACGCAGATATGGGGCTGTGGAATGTACCGTTTTCTTCTTTTCAGTTTCACTTTCAGTCGTCGCCAGACTTCCGCACGGAAGCGTTCGTCCTACTACGCTCTCGCCTCCGTCTCTCACGTTCTCACGTTCTCTCACGTCTCACGTCTCACGTCTCTTGTCTCTCGTCGTCGCGTTCGCGCCACCTCTTTCGCTCACACACACCTCTCATTCTCTCTAGATATTCTGGATATAGTTGTTATTCTTTGAACGAATGTGCATTTATTTCATTCATTTCCTTTCCCAATCGAAACACACAAAAATGTAATCAACGACAGGGAAAACCCCCTCTCCCTATCAAAAACAGGGACATTTTACGACAGAACGTGAAAAACAGACGAAAAACAGAGCAAAACACTTTCGTCAAAAAAAGGTGCGCGGAAGATTGATACGGGGGAAGCACCCATTTTCGGGGGAAAGTTGCTAAAAGAAGTTCGAAAGCTGGTGTCAGCCAACTGTCTGACTGTCGGGATCTATAGAAAAAGTTGTTGAGGTTTATCTTTAGAAATAGAGCAGAGAAGAGTATGCAGAAATATCGAAAGGAATATCTATAGATAAATATGTATATTTTTAGTGTTTTGTTCGAAAACCACGAATGTTTTTTGACACTCCTTTTCTCATAAGTACATGATATAGTGCTCTGACTTCACTTAAAATGATAAATTTATACTTTCGATTTCCCACCAAATGCATTATTAGCTGATTGTTTATTTGATATCTATATATCTTTGATATTTTCTGTTCTGTTTAAAAAATATAGAAACAGAAACTTGAACTTTTTGTTGAAGGTTTCGTAAATTCCCTCATCGATTCATCGTTTCAAAGATTCACTCCGCTTTTATTGTACTCTCTGAAAGAGTATTCCACAAAGGAGAAGTAGGGCGAGTTGTGCTGTTGTTCTGGAACAGCTGTTGTTGTTACGCCATTTGAACCCCTGGAAGACCCCGACTCCATGAGGTTTTCCATGGCTTTTACTACTCCTCTCTCTATTTCTCTCCCACTCTTTCTCTCCCTCTCTTTCTCTCTGTCGTTTTGAATGAAAATGAAAGCCAAACAATCAACGACAGAGACAAAGGCGGCAACAAATGAACAGCAATTGGGAGAAGGATGTGTGTGCGTATGTGTGTGTCTGTGTGTGTCCTGTTTGTGCTACACATAAATCTGTAGAGACATTTTTAATTTCCTGCTCAAAAGGCGGACAAAATCCAAACAAAAACCACTGTGCAAACTGTGTCAATGCCTCCTGTACTATCATCAAACTGCAGCTCAGAAGAGAAGACCAGACCCCTAGAAAGGCTGCCAGAGCAGCTGTTTATAATGCACTGCCACTGCCACACCGCCACACTGTCACACAGATACTACTCCCCGCTGCAGACCTCCTCTCCATATGTCAGTGGTTTCGTGAGCGTGTGTGTCTGTCTGTTATTTATGCCACAGAGAGACAGAGAGAGGGACGAGAAAAAAGACAAAAAGTTTACCCAACCTAAAGCCAAGAGCTATATTTTTTGTGCTGCCAGTGCCTCTTTCCAGCCAACATTCCTCCTTTTGTTTGCACACAGCTTCAAGATGGGGCATGCTGCATGGCTGTCCTTAGTCTCTGTCTCTCTGTCTCTCTTTCTCTCTGTTCCTTTCTATGTGTATCTTTGGCATTGATATATGCCACTTCTTTGGGAATGGCAGGTCTCCTCCACTTCTATGAACTGCTAGTAGATGTAGTGGAGAGCCTTGTCTTGTAGATATTGAGACACCAGGCTTAAATACTCGTTAGATATTTCCAAGAAAACACGGACATTTCGTTGGAGATCATCGCCCAAAAGAGACCAAGGGACTTAAGATAGAGGCAAAGCGGAATAATAAAACCATACAAACAACAAAAGAACAGGACAGGAAATTAAAGACAGCAGCTTAGAAGAACATGCATCTTTTATATAGGTAGATAGAGTGCTCAAGAAGTTGGTAACCGATCCAAGAGCTAAGAATGGTTTAAGGGGGATTTTTTGAAAGAAAAGTTTACAATTATCAGGGGAGAAATGCTTCCTGGTAAAGTTCTAAAGATAGGAGGAATGATTGATAATTGAACACCAATACGAAGCTGGCACATCTTTCAAATCAAAGTCTAATATTTCCTTCACTTAAACTCCCTTTAAATATAATATTTCTCTATACAGAAACTCCCAGGTTTAAGGTTCAACTTTAAGGTACTCTTGAGGGAATCTCCCACAAAAGTTCACTATAAAAAATACTTGCCAAAATCATATTTCCTTTATGGCCTGGCCCCCAGGAAAGTTTTCTTGGCTTTGGTTCAAGCTGAAAATTCTGCCACCCCCACTTAGCCTCGCCTCGCCTCGCCTCCTTTGGCCAGAAAATAGTTTCCTCTCCCAGATAAGTTTTCTATCAAGAGCTTAACCCCGGGAAAAGTATGCGAGCATGCGAGAATGCGAGTGGAAAGCATCAGTTTTACAACATTGTTGAAGGGCAGAAGAAAAGGCTTAAATTAAGAGAGTACCGAAACCATTGATTGCCAGAGGAAAGAAAGCAAAGGGAAAGTGAGACCTATGCAAACACAGTACCGCAGTACCACAGCACCACAGCACCACAGTGCAAGCCCAGTCCCATCTTCCTAATGCCTGCTGTCCTGCTGCCTCCTGACCGACACATCAATCATACGCAGCGTTGTGCGAGGCGAGGCAAACATTTGCATAGGCCAAAGGCCCGGTCCCCTGCTGCCACTTGACCGGCTTCTTCCTTCTCCTTCGCACTCCCCCGTACAATTCTCCGATTTCCTCTCCTATTCTTTCCGCTTTCCCGAACAATATGCAAATTGCAAATGTGGCTGAAGTTTTCCCCAAACATTTTCTGTTCGTGCAGTTTTCTTGGCAAAACTTTTTTTTTGCTCCAGCAGCTGGCGTTTGCTTTTCCTTGCTTTTCCACAGCAACGAAAGTTTTCTGTTTATGCTAATACTTTGAGTAAAGATTTTCCTTTCATATGTGCCAGCATGCCAGGCCATCCCCCACCCCTTTTGCGGCTCTCTGTCTAATTCAATTTTTGGGAATTTTTTTGTTGCTGAATTTTGCGACTAAGTCGTTTATCTGGCACCAAACACTGCCAGAAAATTGAATCAACAGCTTAAACTTACAGGCAAAACAGGGAATGGGGAGGGCTGGGGATGGGGATCGGGATGGGGAACGGGATGCCAGTCATGTGTGGTCGGGAGAAGCGACGGCCGGGTAAAAGCATCATTATAATCCTGACATCGGCGGTCACATTATGCGGGAGCGTTCAGGTTAAGTCAGGCGAGCAAGGACATTCCGCCGAATCCAACCGACACCCCCGATGACTTCCCTGCGTCTGCGATTATGCAAATTTTCATTCTGGTTGGGAGGCAGGAAAGTCCTTGCCTTTTCCTTTACCGCCGAAAATTTATTGCCCCCAAAAAAAGCAACGAGCTACGGTTTTTTGGGGGCCTGATGATTGCATAAACAGCTCATTAAAACCGACAGCCAGACAGACATACAGACAGACAAAGGAGGAGCCTCTGGGATGTGGGATCGGTGGGAAAGTTGAGGTAGAAGCAGGTTCCTGCAGAATCTTTACGACGCACATCCCTAATTTAGATAATGCCCGAGACAACATGGCGTATGGGAATGTGTTCTGTCCGAGCACGACAAAGCCAAGGCTCACACAGGAAGGCATGGGAATCTATCTTCGTGCAAAGCGCAGAAATCACTGAGAGAAAGTGGGAGCAGGAACCCAAAGAGGACTTTGATTAGGGGCCACTTTCCCACTTTTAGATCTGTATATATTTTGACAGTTAAGCCACTAGAAATAAGGCGAAAGCGCGGTCCAGGGAAAGGAGGTTTTGGGGGGATTGGGAACCACTCTAGGAAAGGAAATTAATTTAAAAGAAGGCATATAAAGAGGTCTGAAAACGTGCAGCCGTCAAAGACTATCTTATAATTCCTCTCCGTGTAGACCTCTAATGCATGCCATAATGGCCATACTCGTTTGATTAATGAGCCGTTTGACTTGCCAGCCAGCCAGGAGCAACAGTCAGGCAGTAGGGGATAGCAGCAGCAGCAGCTGATGCCAAAGCTGATTCCAAGCCAAGGCTATCAGACAATGAGACCCCAAGAGCCGAGCCACAGAGAAACAGTTTGTGGAGGCGGCAACAGCAACAGCATAAGCATCAGTATCTGCACGGCTAAGCAACTTTCCTCCGCAGACAAACTAATAAAAGCCATCTCTCATCACCCACCTCCTTGTCATCGTCATCACCATCATCATCTCGGGGTATCATCTATGTATCTATGTATCATAATCAGCATCGGCGTCGGCATCGGCATCAGCATCGGCATTCGCATCTGGCGGCGTATCGTCATGGTGGAGATACAAAAGCCGCATTCGGCATTGAAGCGACCATCGCTAAAGCGTGAAACGGTCGTTGTTAACAACAGCAGTGCCCCGACCATCAAGAAGGTTACTCTGGTGCCCAAGGATGAGGTGAGAAGACCCAAACAAAAATATGTTTTGTAACACTTGTACACCCCCACACTCTACTCCGTGGAGGTGGGTGGGAGGCAGGCCAAGGGCTAAGGCCTGAGTAATTTGCATAAATTAGTGCGCATCCGAGTGGCTCAAGAGTGACCAAGCGGAAATTGCTATATTTTTGGGTAATATTTTGGCACCTTACAATGTAATTTGTTTATGTTTAACAAAGGTTTCGTCTGCCATGTAAATGCGCAGCATAATACATAATTTTAATGGCAAAAAGGAACCTTTTATTATCTTATTTTGGACGAGTACCTTTAATGCTCTGCCTTGCCCTTAGTGGCTCAGGCGTTCAGTGTGCCCGTAGAGACCTCGAATGTCCTTGATTCGCTGTACAAACAGAGACCATTCTAGTTGTGATTGCCGTCTCGAAGAAATATTAAAATTGCGTATAAGTGATATAACGGATATAAGGCCACATTGTATTAAATTGAAAAATGCTTTAAAATACTTCCTTCCCATAAGCGAACGGCTTTGTATGTTTTGGTCACACCAAACGCCAATGTGCATTGGACCACCCTACCCTGCAGAGTTTTGGACGACAACGAGGACTCGTGGGGTGGACCAGAACTGTGGGCGGCAATAGGAAAAGCGAATCACGACTGTTTTGAAATGATTCACTGTGGCGACGTGTGGTTAAAATTTATTGTCGGCTATGCTGCGGGCAATGTTGCTTTCGAAGGTATCTGTATATGATCATTAAATCTATTTACTAAATTTATTTATTCCTATAATTGCTACCTCTATATCGACAAGCACTTCTTTTGAAAATTTGCCGGGGTTCAGTTGGATATACTCGTATTTTTCATCAGTATACTCTTCCCTTTTTCAACACATTCTGGTCACACTCTTCTCTCACCCCAGTATCCCGAAATTTCATATTTAAATCCGTAAGTTCTTTTGTTTTGTCATTTTGCCAATTTTCCATGCCAAAATGTTCTTTGCCCTCGAATATTTAAGCCAAGTTAATTAAGTATGCAAATGTTTTTTGTCTCTTCGTCTTCGTCTTGTGGCGATGCAAGGAGGAGCTGGAGGAGAGATGTAGCCAGAGATGGCCATGGAGGGCCTCGCGCCTAGACACAGAATGGATGGGATTAGGTGGGGCTTCCCTTTCTTGAGGCTCTTTTAATTGCTTTCAGACGCGCCGCAGATAAACGCTCGAAAGGCAAACATATTTCTTGGTTCTGCTGGTCCCTGATCCCTATCCCTTTTTCCCCGGCAAAGGAGAATCGAGGCCTTTATGCGCAGTATTTCATAAATAAAACAATAGCCAGTGGCCCCGCAGATTTCACAGTTTATAAATTCTTCAAAACAATATATACTGGAGCCGAGCCCCCAGGCAATGGGTAATTGTGTGATGGGACGAGAGGGGGGGGAGCGGTAGACAGGGGACGAAACTGTTGCAAAACTCTCGATTGGCATTTCATTATTTTTTTTTTGGGTCTTTGACCATAAATAAAACACAAAACTCGATTTGCCATATCGATTGCCCCGCTGCCATATCGGGTAGTGGCGCTCCGGGGCAAAGGCCATCAAAAGCAGCCGATGCCGAAAACTTTTTTCTCCTGCACAAATCTTTGGCCATAAATAAGTGGTCCTAGTAAGTGGCTGCCCCCCCTGCCTTACTGCCTTTTATTACCTCCTGTGTATTGTGTGTTTTTTTGTTGTTTTCTTTTTTGTTGAAGAGCAGACATAAATTAATAAAACACAAATAAAATTGATGGCGCAGGGCACATAATTGAGCAGTTTTCCAGACTCCCAGGCCATCATTATTTTGCTTTATGTTGGTATTAAATTTAATTTGTCAGCGAAGGCAATCACCAGAACATAACCCAAAGCCTCGATTCCAGCCAGGATTCCTATTCCTTTCTCGTCCTTCCTCCTCTTCCTTCTCGAACTCAAACTCAAACTCATTTTCTGGCTGCGAGGCTGACAAACTTTTTGGACTCGGGGGAAATGAGAAATGGAATGAAGGCCTTTCCCCAACACACAACTTCCACTTCCACATCTGCTGATTGGCGGGGGGGCCAGGGACAGTTCCCTGATTCGCTTTTAATTATCCTCATTTGAGATTTGTGTGGAATTCCTGGGGAAATGGGAAAATGATTTGTACGCTGAATTCTATTTAAATTCAAGGCATTTCCAAAAGGGGTTTTCCTTAAACGAAAGCCTCTTACATTTAATTGGTTTCCATGTGGCTTTGGCTTTCGTAGCACTTCATCTGATCCATTGTTCTAATTTCAGCGCCAATTGGTGATTCCTAATCTTCCAAATCCTTTGAAAATGTTCTAGCAACTGTGATAACTCGAAGATTGCTAATCAATACCTTCAAATACGTATCTTTTTATCATTTCCCTTCAAATAATCCTTTCCAATCCGCCACTACTTTTCAAATAGTCTCTGATCATTGATTTGAACTAATATTTTCCGCTGGAACTTTTCACGGACTTCCTCCGACGCTCTGTTCTGGTCTGTTTGGCCCCGGCTTTTCCTCGCCTTGGCCGTGTGGCAATTTGTGGCCAAGATAAGGCGAAAGGCGGACAGAGAGAAAACTTGGATCAATAAATAAAAGTAGACAATAAATTTTGCATGCCAGGCAAATGGCGATAAGGATAAAGAGTAAAGACCAGCAGCAGCAGCAGCACAGCGGGGGGGAAGGACAACGAGAGGGCGATAGAGGGAGAGGAAGAGGAAGAGTTTTGTACCCTTTCATTAATAATTGTCATCCCTGGAGCATTCCCACTCGGTGAGGAGACTCCAAAGTCCATCATAATGACACAAGTTTTGCTCCATGTGCGTGCGTGTGTGTTCGGGCGAAACTTTGCATGCCTCATCCCCCCCCCCTCGCCATGCCGACGCTTTTCGTTTCTCCACCAACATTCCATACGGCTTGGGGCCCATCAATGTTGCAAATGATTCTTTTTCGGGTGTGCCCTCACGGGTACCATTTCTGGACAAGGTCCTTCCCCCCCTTCCCGTTCATTGTCTGGCTTTCCTACGAAATTTAGTTTGCCTCCCACTCGTATCTGTGTTCCCCCCTTTTTCTGGAGGCAATTTCTAATTATAAGCCGACAGTGAGCGCCGACAACCGGAAAAGTATGGATCGACACTTGCGCAAGGTCGGAATTTTGTGGGAAATTTCGCTGGACCGAAAGTCAATTAATATTAAGATTAAAGTGCGGGTCTTTCCATTTCTGGCAGTGCAAAGGCCGTAGCTTAGGAGCCAACAAATTTCATTCAATTAGTTTTTGTTCCAATTTTGGGCACAATTCTAGTGAAATTTACACGATTTCTTGTATTTTTGTATAGGTATAAAAAAGTGTATTAAATTGTGTCACTAGTCGAACTTATGTATAAACAAAGTTTACCCCCAAAAATAAATAGAAATAAAAACTAATTGCCAAAGAGAGTCAACAGACACACTGGACACACACGGAGAAGTCAACGGAAATTTTTGGTTGAGAAGCAGCCAAAAGAAAACCCCTCCACCCTGCCAAAAAAAAAGTCCACAAAAAGGACGGACATGACTTTAGTGGAGGGGACAGACAACCATTTAGTCTCCAACAATTGTAAATTGTTTGGCATTTCATGGCGCCAATTGTCCTTGGTTTCCAGCTGCCATGTGCCGGCATGTGGCAACAATGCTGTTGATGTCCCTTCATTAGCTATTAATGGGAGAAAGTGCGGCCACAAAAAGGTGTGACAATTGACCCACAAAAGGTGTCCCCAACAAAAGGAACGGAACGATAAATGCCAGGGCACCCATTCAAAGACGGCTGGCCTGCGGCATGTGGCATGTACGACTGAAGGAATACCTCTATCGCCTAAAGCGGTGTGCCTCTGGTGTGATTTCATCGAAGGCGATAGCCTGTGGGTACTGTATCGGTCAGCACACATCCTGTGCAGCATTTGCCGGAAGGAGAGTGTCCAGCATCTCCTGTGCAGCATCGTCATTTTGGATCCTTGTGGGGGCACTACCATCCAGGATTTTGGCATTATGGGAACCATCAAAGAGGAGAGCTTGAATGTTTGAAATGAAGATGGAACCTCAAACCACACTCTTTCGATGGTTCAATGCTGAAAGATTAAGTGAAACGTTGCCAAAGGTCTCGTAAGCATCCACAAAATGATCGGTACATTGGTGTTCCACGAATGGTTTTTGTGTTATACGACAGGGCAGCTTTTTATATGCAAACCGTAAACTGGCTGCTGTGCACCCAGCGCACCTCTCACATGTCATGTGTACCGTGACCGTGCCCCACTGTGTGCCACACCAGCACTTGTGGCCTGCCTGCGCTCATTCTCAAGTTGTCCACGGAGCAGTTCTCGGGCGCATAATTGGATTTCCCTGACGAATGTGGAGGCGCCCGGCACTCGGGCGATAGGTTTCATGGTCACCATCGTCGCACTTCAGAACCCCTTTTTGGTATTTCAAACCGAGAACAATGACGGAAACAGAACAGAACAGAACTATCAAAAGAATGGCTCCTTTACTGCAAGTGCTTCATGACTTTATGGATAATTTCATCATTTTTTTAAAGAATTGCGAATTTTATGAGCACTTCAAAAGCTGATGACAAAACTATTCACAAATCATGGAAGCAAACTTTTTTGATAGCCCCAAAGATTACAAAAAACCCCGGCGTCTCCCCACCGACTGCCGAGCGTACAAAGATTTCATCAATATAATGTTGCTTTTTTAAGAACTCTGACATCGCATGCCATCAACTCCACTGACCTCCGTTCGGCTACAGTCCGCCCCAAGACCTCAATCTAATCGAATTTGTGGTACCCCTTCGGGCAACTAATTTCAATTAGGATTTGGCCTGCCCCCCGATTGTCCTGATTCCCCACATGCAACAAGAACAAGAACACACAAACTAGAAAATCCTATTTTCTTTGCTGTTTTCCATTCCATTTCCATTCGATTGCATATCCTACTCCTACTCCGTACATTTTTAATTCGATTCCACCAGAAGCGAAGCTCTCCGCTCTGATGTTTGCGCAGCTCCGAGCGACAAATGAATGCAAAACCACTTCGGGGACTAAGGCCGAAATCAAATTTGCAAAGTACAAGTAAAAAACCCTCCCGAAAAATAGAACCCGCACACAATCCATCGATAAGAAATTCGGGGCGAAAAGGGAGAGGCATGACCGAGGTCTCCTGCCCTCAGGACCCCCTGGGACTGCAGACGAATAGCAGGCGTGGAAAAAGTTTCCTCTCTTCACAAGCAAAATGCATTAAAATAGTTTCGTCCACACTCTTTTTTTGAAGGCAAACACCTCGTATCTACACCTCGAATAATCATATTAGTATTTAGTAGTTGCTGGACTCTTCTATCAGAAGTCTACCAAATACCAAATTCAAAAATGTCCCACTAAGCGAACAGCTACGTCAGCTGTTTTCTTTGCCAGTCACGTGTGAACGTGAAATAGAAATATTGTGGAACCAAGCTCATGGCTTCTATTGGAACTTTCTAGGGTATCCACTGCTTCCGCACAATGTTTGCCTCCTGCACTCATCGTGTCTGTGTGTTTTCAACAATTTGGCCTTAATTTCTTTGCCATTCGCTTGTCAATTAAGCGCCTCAAGGACGAAGGCTCAACCCACCAACCACCAACCAGCCATCCAACCATCCACTGAGATGCATCAAACGATTGCGTTGCCTGTAAAATTCGGCTGCAAGTCCCTTCTTCTCTGCCCACTGATGCCACCGACAGAAATTGATTGGCAATTGGGGTTTTCCCCCAGACGTTTTGGCGCTGAAAATGAAAGAAAACCCCCAAAACTAAAGGAAACCCAAACTATATTCAAAGCATACCATTACCTCTCCACAAAAATCTTTAATTTATTCAATAGTTGGGTTTTCCTTTCCTCCACGGGTGGTGGGGGTGTTGGTATTTAATACATGGTTTCCATTAGATTGATTAAAACCGATGGGTGGTTGAGAAAAACAAGGCGCAGCCTTCTGTGCAATTAACCAATTAACTAGCGAAATGAATGCGAAATATGGGCAGACAGCTCGGTAATATTAATAGCCAGCGTAACCCATTCCGCGAATAAATACTTAGTATTTGTTTAACGTTTCCCCAAACTTCGGGAAGAAATTTTAATTCAAAGTTCACCACGGAACTAATGGCAACCCTCTCATTTCTTTCATTTTAGGAACTGGTGGCAATTTCACCCGAGCGTCGAAACTGGCGTGGAATTTTCATAGCCCTCCTGGTAATCGCCGCCGTCTTTAGCCTGATCATATTCTCCATTTTCTTGCTGTCGCCGGAGGATGAGGGCCTACGGATCCGCGGTCGTCGCATGCTACCCAGCGATATACTCGGCAAGAGCCTCCAGTGGAAGCCGTTCAACGGCACTTGGAGTAATGGTAAGCGCCATGCGAGCATTTGTCGGCCATTCATCGATTCATCCATTTCCGAATGAACTCTCGTAACTTTGCAGAACATGAGCTCATTTATCGTGATCCAACGGGCGGGCTGTCCATACTAAACATGGCAGATCTCACCACGCGCATTCTAATGACTAATTCAACATTTGTAAGTACTAGTGTTGGATAATGGCTTGCCTTTTCTGTGCTCATACGGTTGTCCCTCTCTCTCTCCCTCTTGCCACACAGCGGCAATTGAATGCAGAATCGTTTCTTGTGGCACCGGACCAGAAATACGTGCTCCTGCAATCGGATAGCAATGCAGAGGGATCCAGGTAGATACGCCTACAAACTCTATGAATATTATAGTTAAATGTCCCATATCCTTATAGACACCACGTGTATGAGGTGCAAACGGCCAACACATTTCCCTTGGGACCAACGGAGAACATTGCCGAGGCGCCGCGGCTCCAGCACGTGGTGTGGGCACCCATCAATCCGCCGCCACCGCCACCTCCACCGTCGTCTGCAGCAGCAGCCACAACAAGCACCATGGCGCCGCTGCCCAGTGGCAGCATCATTCTGAATAGCCTGGCCGGTGCGGCGGCTGGCGGCAAGACAACAACGCCAACACCGGGCTCAGGCAATGGCAATGGGGGCAACGGACCCTATACGCTCAATCAGGCCATTGCCTTTGTTCACCACAACGACATCTACTACAAACCAAAGGTGCAGGGCGAACTCGTCTGCCGCATCACCCAGACAGGGATGGGCGGCGTCTTCTTCAACGGTGTGCCCGACTGGACGTACGAGAATGTCCCCGAGCTGGATAGCCGCCGGAGCGGCATGGCCTTCTCACCAGATGGCCTCTTCCTGGCATTTCTCAGCTACAACGACAGCGATGTCAATGAGTACAAGTAAGTGTCCGGAATCAAAGCGAGAGAAATGTCGTATCATATCGAATGAAGTCCCCTCCAACAGGCAGCCATCGAAAGATTGATCAGGTTGCACCAATGCAGCAGAGCCCTCTGTTGGAGCTCAAAAGGCGATTTTTGGGACTTTGTTGAGGGGAAAACTTCTTTTAGTCGAATGCAAGTTCAGGTCGTAGCTTTTCCGATACACTAGTAGATATTTTCCGGCTTTGCGAACTGACATTCTTTTGTAAAGATCATGAAAAGCTTGCTCTTTTTGCATTGCGTTCCCTGAGACAAGCAGACATACACATCACTCATTCAATTTTTTATACTTTCAATAATTTTGGACACTTCATTTGAAAAATTTCTAAGATACAAATAATTTTAATATTACCATGTGTTTTCTCCGGATATTGCATTCAAAATGTTGTTGAAAATCAGATCTAGAAACCGAATTACGAAATTACGAAACATTTTCCGCATGTGACCATTTCTAGACCTCTCTCTTTCCGTCTGCATCTGTGTGTAGGGGAATCTCTTGATGTTTGTTTAGTGGCTCTATCGTTTGTATACATCTTGTTGGCCGAATGTTTTTGGCATCGTAAAAATGGTCGGCATTGAAACAGCAGAAGTCGAATGAAAAACACCATAAAACGAGACAGGCCAAAAGACAACGGAAGAACGGAATTGCGTTGGGGGTGGGTGGCACTTCTTAGCGGCCTGTTCGCTTGTAGATATCCGATATCAGTTCTTCGACGGTTGGTAGTGGATCAACCAGGGAATATCCCTGTTGATTAACCCGAATATAGCCGCACCTGACACCAATTGAGATGCTCTCCTCAAAAGTCTTCCAAAAGCCAGGATCTGTAATATTGTTCTGTGGATGTAATGGATATGTGTAATGTATAAATTTCAAAGATCTATCTATCAAAGAAGTACTCACATGATTAAACTTCACCTGCTGAGCGATCTCAGACAAGGTGGCTGGCTGCTTGATATTCGACAGCACTTTAATGATTTCAATACCATACTTGTTGCATCGTGGTTGGGGCAACTGCGAGTTCATCTTGTTACTCTCAAAGTAGATTCTCCAATGACAAAAATAAGACAATTTCGAACTCCGCACTTGACTGGAAATTCAAAGGCTTTGTTTGTAGAGAGGGTGGACAGAATTGTAGATGTAGGAGTACATTTTCACTGTGTAACAGGTAGGTGTGGAGAGTCGGGTGGTAACTGGAAGAGCGGTCGTACCATCGAGCGCATAAAACGCGCTGTAACAACGAACGGTACCAGCGAGCGGTTACACCGAGTGCTAACAGCAAGCGGCCAGAACGAGTATTAACAACGAGCGGTTGCCCTGACCGGTAACAGCGAGTGGTTACAAAGAGTATTAACAGCGAGCATATTAGCATAGCTATTAGCGGTTACGACGAGTACTAACAGCGAGCGGTTACACCGAGTGCTCGCTATTAGCATAGCTATTAGCGGTTACGACGAGTACTAACAGCGAGCGGTTACACCTCTAGCAGAGCTGCCGCCCTAAACAGGCTTCTTTGGCATTCGATTTGTTGTGCAGTTGCCAAAGGGATTTAGGGATTCCCTCTTGAATTTATAGCTAAATGTTTTTATTACTATATATTTATAGATACACTTGGATGGGCGATGACATCAAATATCCGGCAGTGTTGAGCCAACGCTACCCAAAGACGGGCGCCAGAAACCCCAATGTCACCGTGAATGTGGTGAATCTTTCGGTGATCAAATACATCATTCCTTCACAAGTCAAACTCCCAGCGGATCTGGTGAACGGCAGCTATGTGGGTGGCTTGACATGGGCCTCGCCCATCGACCTCTCGGTGACGGTGACGAATCGCGACCAGACGAAGGCCACCACTGTGATCTGTAGGGCGCCGAACTTCCACTGTCAGGTGGTGCACACGGAGGTGACCATCAACGATGGCTGGGTGCTGCCCTCCGAGCGGCCCATCTTCTCCGCGAGAATCGCTGCACAGATGCGCCAGGGCCATCGACAGTACCAGATGCAGATGCAGCTACAGGAGACGGCAACGACGTCGGCGACGGGCAACGATACGCTGGCGAATAATGTGAGCAATGGCCAAACGACCTACGAAATCACCAATGGTGGATACCTCCTGAAGCGACTGCCAGTGCGTGATGGAGAGCATGGACACTACCGTCATGTGGTGTTTATCTCATCGCTGGACCGCCGTCCCGTGCCCCTGACGATGGGTCGCTTCGAGGTCACAGAAATTGTCGGCTGGGACGAACAACACGAGATTGTCTACTTTATGGCGGCCCCCGAGAAGCGGCCTGGCGAGCGGCATCTCTACAAGATCAGCCTCAAGCTAAACGTCACTGAATCAAATCGCACGTACATCACCTCCACGCAGCCCACGTGTCTGACGTGCGACAATACGGAGGCCACCTATCGCCTGCACAGGGCCAACCCGTCGAAGATGCCGACGCGCGGCGATAGCTGGGAGGACATTGTGGCACGCCTCGAGCCGGATGATTGCATCTACGATATACCCAAGAACTGCCTCTACAATCGGGTGCAGTTCAGCGGCGACTATAGCTACTACGTGCAGGAGTGCCTTGGCCCAGAGGCGCCCAGTGTCTACCTGGTGGAGACCGCCAGCAACGACAAGATCTTTGTCCTCAATGCTGGGGATGTCCTGAGACATCGCCTCTCCCAGCTGGCCGTACCACAGATGCGCACGTTCAGCGTGGAGATTCGTCACGGGTTCCATGCCCAGGTGCGACTCTTTCTGCCGCCAGGGATGCGCGAGGAGGAGGAGGTTGCCTTTCCCCTGGTGCTGCATGTGTAAGTGCATTCGATCAATGCCAATCTATTCATTCATTCATTGGCAATAATATTGCTTTTAGGGATGCATCGCCGGGGTCTCAGTTGGTCACCGAACGGTTCCATATCGACTGGAACTGGTATTTGTCCAGCCAGCGGAGCTTCATCGTGGCGCAGATCGATGGACGGGGCAGTGGCTTCCAGGGTGAGCTGTTGCGCACTCAGGTCCATGGAAAACTAGGGACCGTCGAGGTGGAGGATCAGCTGGGTGTCCTCACGTGAGTATCCCCTCGTATTCCCTCGTATGTCTGTATGTATTTCATATGTATTTTTGTCACAGATATTTGCGTGACAACCTAAAGTTCATCGATCCATTGAGAATCTGCGCCTTTGGGTGGGGCTACGGCGGCTATGCAACGGCCATGATGCTCATCGATGACTCCCAGCAGGTGCTCCAGTGTGCGGTGTCCATCAATCCCATAGTCAACTTTGGATTCCACTGTGAGTGTGAGAATGGGATCCCTTAATACGGAAAATTATTCCATCTTTACATCCATCCTTCCTTCGTTCCACAAATAGATTCCTTCTTCACTGAGCGATATATACCCTTGAAGGGCGACTATCTGCGGGCATTGCAGGAGGCGGATCTCACGATGAAGGCGGGTAACATTAAGGGGCGCAACCTGATGCTGATGCACGGAACGGCCGATACGTTGGTGCATCAGGAGCATACGCTGATTCTGGTGCGGGCACTGGTCGATCAGCAGGTGAAGTTCCGGCATCAGGTGTATCCAGATGAGGATCATGCGATCGGCAGATCGCTGAGCCATGTGTACAAGACCATGGAGTGGTATTTCGATGAGTGCTTCGGCCCCGTCGACGACAACGAGTGGGACCCGACGGGTCTGTTTGTGTTCAAGCAATAATTAAGACCCCCCTACGATCCTTACGACGAGGATCCGCTGGCCAATCAGCTAAGCGACATCGACATTGATCCCGATCCCGGCGATCGGCAGCACGGCAGCAATCTCAGCACTCTCATCACGGCCACCACCACCAGTGCGTCGCTCTCCGCTCTGGACGAGCTGGACAACAGCCTCCAGGTGCTCGACCTCATGACCTCCTCGAGCACCTCCACCACCCTTAGCAAGGTCTCTGGCAAGCTGTGCAACTACAGCAGCAAGCGCCGGCTGGAGCAATCGGAGACGGCCCTGGCCGAAAAGACACGCATCCTGCAGCACTAGAAGTGCAGCCACAATGCCACAAAGTTGACTCTCAAAATGCATTTCCACTGTGCTAGTACTCTTTTGGTTTTGGTTTCTTTTCTTGTATGCCAAAGTTAAATTCTATTAGGCAGGGCAGGACATTCGCATGTTCCCATTAACGGATGCTCGATCTCTTTTCGAGATTTCATCGTAGACAAATCCTGAATCGCTCCACTCGCTTATGGGAAATTTTGTATAGCGTGTGTTTGTGTATGTGTGTGTGGTGTGCCCTAGCGGAACACAGAGGAGTATTAGATAGTCTCTTAGTTTGTTGCTTGAGAACTGATGATGGATGATGGATGATGGATATAGGCTTGAAGGCGCAAACGCCCCAGAGTCCGTGTGCAGATGGAAGGAAACAAAAGAAAAGCAAGGTGATTCATTTATGCGACTGATTATTAACATATGTGTATTAAATAATTAACAAAAAGTCATCGAGCAAAACAGAGTGGGACAAGAGAAAGAGAGAGGAAGAGACCAGTGAGAGAGGATGAAGAGAAGGATGAAACAATGTCGATGTAAATGTCGTAGGGAAGAAAAGCGTAGGGGAGAATAAACCGAAATGCATACGAAAAATGCATACAATTTCTAGCATAAAAAACGATTAAAAACTCAACTCAACACCATGAAACCATGTATCCAGATATACGATATGTGTGTGATCCCAATACCCACACCCCCACCCCCATGTGTGTGTGTATCCCGTTTTCCTTTGTTGTTGTGTTACCTTATATGTTATTTGTTGTTGTTGTCTTATTTATTTTTTTGTATTCGTAATCGTATGTGGATATATAATATGTATATACATATACATATATATATATATATATAGTTATAATTGACTGAACGTTATTTTTTTGTATATATTGATAATTAAATTTTAAACAATATGAAACATACATATTAAAACAATTAACTCATGTCCAAAGGAAGGAGGAAATATCTTTTAAAAATAGAAACAATTTGCAAAGTAGTTCAATGTACCGGAAAAATACCGAAAATACCTTAAAAAACCCGTCATAGCAAAAGACCGAACCCTACCCTCCCACAGAAATACTACGATAGAAAAATCCGTGAAAAATCGGTGTAAAATGAATTTTCTTGTTGGCGACTATAAAAGTACCCTGTAATCCAGTGTAATCCACTTGACCTGCCAGAGGATTAGCCTTGGATTGGGAACAGTAATCAAATTGAATAATACCAAACATTCCTTTCTAGACATTGTACTTGTAAAACAGCTTTAAACGTCATATCCCCCCGTAACGATAATAATCTCCTCCCAATCGAACTCCTCCCCCCACCCCCACTAATCGAAATCGAATCTCCTGTGTGGTATTTGCAGATGTCTAGCACAAGCTACACACAAATATAAGAAACCTTATTTTTAAAAATCTATTATTACGATATACTATATAAAGAGGAGGGTAGGACGGAGAAGGAGAAGAAGAAGAATGTGCCACACAGAGACAAGTCCAAGGCTTGGAATACCCCAACCCACCCCGCTCCCAATCATCGGATCGGACCAGAGCGAACTCCCAAGTCCAGTTTTTGGAAGAGAACTCTGAATGCTAGGGATGCTACGGATGCTACGGATGCTGCGGATGCTAGAGGGGAATGTGTGTGAACCAAAAAGAGCAAAAGATTTTTTTTTAGATTTTTTTACCATTAACATTAAAATGAATAAAAGCTAAAGAAGGAAAGAAAGATACAAATAAAGATATACACATATGTATATACCATACATATATGAGGATTGGATTGGATGATTGTCAAGCATAGATGTTAAATGTTGCATGAGTAAGCGAAATTTTATTGTAGCAGGACCCAAGAAGAAACAATAAAAAAGGGGTCCCTCCCTCTTCCAAGACCCCAAAGAAGTTTCCCCAAAAAACTCCAGCCCAAAAAACAGAAAATATAACTAACAGAAATATAGTCAAGCTTTAAATGTTGTACACTGAGGGGGAGTAGAGACAAGTGTGGGGATTCATAAATCTGATGGATCAGAATAAATCGGAGAAATCCATTGCCCTAAATAGTTTATGTTTGCGGAAAAATGAAGGAACAAAAGGACGAAGTGGAAGCAAACCAAAATGCATATTTATAAATGTTTAACACAAGAATTCTATAATAAACTAAACGAAAGTAAATATATATATACATATATACATACATACATACATACATACATACATACATACAAAAAGTAAATGTAATTGTGCTAAAGCAGAACCGATCGATCGATATGTATTTTATGTATTCCAAGCTACAAAACAAAACCATTAACCTAGTATGTGGAACCAAAACAAGTAAACGTAAAGGTAACAACACACAAAATACAAAAACAAAAAAACAAAACAAAAAATACGAAACGAAGCGAAACGAAACAAAACGAAATCTCATTTCCATAAAGTACAAACGAAAACAAAAAATATAATATAATTGTACCCTTTGTTGCCCCGCACATTGAGCCCGAAAACCACGTACGAAATGACCAAATACTGGACAATGTTTATATGTTTTGTTTAGTCATTTGAGAAATGACACCCCCCAACGAAGTGATTTGGTTTCAAGACGAAGAACATTTCAAAACGACAAACACTACAAAAAATGGTATTTAACATGAAACGGAACCGAATTCGAATAGATTTTAGCGTATAAATAGCAAAACTATGTATTTCCAACAACAGACACAACGTATACCAACATTTGAGAACTAAAAACCAACTAAAAAACGAAACAATAAAGACATTTTTGTGTGTATGCAAAATAGGATGTACAATTGTCTTTGAATTTCCCGCTGGACGCGCGCATATGAGCGCAGTGTTGTAAAGTGGTCAAGCCAGCCTTTGAACTTGCTCATTTTTTCTCTGGACACACTGAACCGAACCGATATGTATCGATTTGTATTGCTCTTATCACATGTGTGCGGTCACACTAACCTAACCGATATGCAAAATTAAATTTAAATTCGAATTCAAATAATAAATGAAATCAAACTAACATCAATGAAATGGCCATGATCCACTGCAAATATGAAACTCAATAATCACATATCATGACCTTTAATTTCGTTTCTTTGTTACATAAATCGGGGGTATATTCCCCATACATTCCACCGAGCACTCGGGCGCATTAAAAACTTGATAAATAATTATAAATAAAAATGAATAATTTAGAAATAATCTCAAGTGCGCCAGGCATTCAGATTGACGGCAGGCAGGCTGGGATCATCGCAGCCAATCATTTGGTTGCTGCAAAAAAGAGGTTTGGCTCATGAGCTTCCATTACACTTCCTGGGATCGATCTTTGCGACATTCTCTTACCCCGGAAAGTCAGCACGGATAAAGGCGGCCACGGGCACTCCCTGGAGCGTTAGGCGATCGGCATTGTCGCAAATCAGACGAGCCATCGTTGTCTTTCGAATCTCCTGCAGCTGGTTGGGTGTGAAGGCGCCGGGATTGATGTCAGCATCGTACTCGTAGTAGTAACGATCTCCATGCTTGAAGCGCGCAAACTGATCGGCAATGATCTCGGCAAAGGTAACGCCCACAATTCCGCCCTCAACGGCTTTCTCCAGGAGTCCACCAACCCACAAATCAATGTCATCCGGCGTCCTATAAGCGCGAGCCAGCTTTTGGCCAACCTGTTGTGTGGGGAGAAATCGAATCATCCATTCTCAAAGAGAAACCATCTGGCACTCGTACCTCGTGGGGAAACTGATCGAAAGTCTTAATCTTGGGGGCACCCATAAGCTCCAGATAATCGTTGTAGCAGTGCAAACCCTGATCGCGCCCACGCTGTATATTTATGGCGGCCAGATCGAGACCGAATGGATTATCACCGCGGAACAGGAATCGACTGAGCTGCTCATGAATGAATGAGTGAAGAATCAATCCATTAATTAAGAGTCAAGGGTAGGGTATAAGAGATATAAGATGATACTTACTCCTTGGGTAATAGAGCTGTCGATCTGCTGAATGGGCTGGCTGTAAAGGGTCCGGAGCATATTATCATAGAACTCACGCTTGCGCATACGCGACGGATTGAACATCACATCCGGGATATTGATCACTTCATCAATGCGGCCATGCTCGCCCCGTATGTGGAACTTTCCATCGACACTAGAGCGGGGATACCAAAATTCATGCATCATGTGTACAATATGTAAAAAAGTTAATCCAGAAACAAACCTGGAATGCCCCATGCGATAGGCAGCACCAGAGAATTCGTTGGTTATAGCAGGATTCACGTCCGGGCTATAGTCATGCGCATAGCCCTGATGGAGGGGCACCAGTCGGAAGCGCTTCATTTGCTGCGGTCCAATGATAATCGGCAGGAACTCATTGTAAGTGATGTGCTGCACTTCGGCAATGACGATGCGCCGTGCCTCCTGGAAGAGCCACTCATCGCCGGCCGATGGATTGATCTGGGCCAGTATATCGGCCACACGATTGTGCTCGCGAGCGAAGAGTATTTGAAGGGTAATGAGCGATATGATCTGATTGGTGCGTCCGTCTCCTGCAGAGCTCTTTCTCCATTAGGCACATGGGGACACAAGAATAAAGACTAGTGTATTTACCCGACTTGAAGCAAGACTTTCCGGCCTCCTCACTAGCACAGGCCTTCTTGTCGTCCGCCAGCGGCAAAAGATCCCGCCCGAAATCGTCCAGCATGCGCAAGCGTCCGCCTTTTAATGATCTCAGATCACGGGCTGCCTCCTGACTGGAGCCGTACACCGGCGAGACGTCCAAAAAGTGCGTTACCTTGCTCATTTGCTTGCCATAACTGAGCTGGCAGTCCCGATTCGGCACAAGGGAGAGCCTCACCAAGTTCAGGCAACGAACGCCGAAGGCATTGTAAAATTCATCATCCGGATCTACGGAGATCGGCATGCAGGCAAAGTGGGTCTGCTGTGGATTCAATGGCCCTTTTCCCCCAGGAGAACAGCACTGCACTAGATCCCCACCGTCGAGACGCACTGTGGAGGTCTGCGAGACATCGTGTGCCTGTCAAAGGTAAGTGAATCTCTTGTCACAGGTTCTGTTTCTAGTGGTGGGGCATATACAAACCAAAACCTGTCCAAACTGCATCACCAGAAGATTGTACTTGGGATGGGGACGATCGACATCGGCCAGGAGGATTCGGGAGATCTTGCGAGCCCCCAACAGAAGAGTGCCGTCAGTCGAGTGGACACGGGGATTCCAGATGCCATCCTCGTAGGCCGGCGGCAGCATACGCTCCAAGGGCTGGCCGGCAGCACCCCAATGCGACCGGGCTGGCGACGGATTGTTGCATGTCCCGTCAAAGCTGCGATACACGGATTGGATGTTCCGACAAATTGGCGGTGCCTGGCAGTGCTGGTCCAGCGGTGTCTTTGTGAACTTTATCGGTACGTTGTTGGTGATGATATCGTCCACGGGTAGCTGTTCCATCTTGCTGAAGAGCTGTGTGGTGAAGACCTGCTCGAGGGCATTGTGGGACAGCCCAAAGTTGTGCAGATCCTCCTTGGCCGTGGAGTGGAAGACAATGCCGTGACTGAAGTCGGGCAGACCCCGATGAACGGGTATCTGGGCCACACCATGCATCAGATGCTCAAAATTTCGCCGGGCCTCATCCAGTAAGGTGGGAGACACAAAGCTGGGAAAATCTGCGCGACGCTCCCTGCTCTCCAGGCGTGGAGCTGTGTGGTTCTGGCCCGTCTGACAGCAGTAGCCAAATTTGCCGGCTGGAAGGTCGCAAATTTGCGGTTTCTCATGGCTTTTCATGCGAACATGGGCTGGACACTGGATTTGTGGCACGCATTTCACACCGGTACATGGGAGACATTTTTTCAGCAGCCCGCTGGTGACTAGAAAGAGATGAATGTAGATATAACCGTAAATAGAGATGTGCAAGAATGCGCTAGAATGGGATGACACTATGCTCACAAAATAACCGTTCTTTGGTGGCCATTATAAAAATCACTCGGAAAGCAATAAAATATTCAAATTTTGTTACAAAATAAATCACTACAAAATAGCACTTACCTGTGCTTGTTTCTGTAGCTCCAGTTGGAGCAGGAGACACAGGTGCCGCAGACGTCTGCTGATTATCAATTTCTAAATCGTTGCGGCTCTGCCGTGCAGAAAATGCGGCTGCTGCTGAATTCTCAAATTGACACACCAATAAAAAATGCCACAAGAGCAAAGAAACACACAATATCCGACACATTTTACTAATTGATCAAATAATTAATTGCTTGGTCAAATTTATTTGTCTGATCAATCTCAATAAGCGCGCCACCGTTGGTTTGACACCTCCTTCTTCTTTCCATTCGAACTTAGCCCACTTAAGCCCCCTCTATTTAAACAGGTGAATAACTGGAGCTAAGCCGCGGAAAATAATACTGTTTGTAAGTTCTTCTTGTACATCCATCCTTTCTCTTTTCCTTCAAATAAATTGACCACGATATCTTTCCCCTGAACTGCGCAAAAATTCTTCAAGACTCATAATTTTCGTGGAGTCTATTCACTAACCATACAGTATACTGTATGCTGTATGGTTAGTGGCCTATTCTAGTACCCACTGGTCAACAAGGGGTTAATCGTTCTCAGTCCATGATCGGAAATCAAATTGCTCGATTTTAATATTCTGACTAATATAACTAGCTAAATAGGAGCCCCAGCCGTAAAAAAATAATTTTATCCGATTAATGAATCAATTTTCTACCATATTGTTTAGTTTTAAATGAAAAAGGTCAACAAAATAAAACGCTAGTCGGCATGAAATGAAGCGTCATTAAATGTAATTTCTGACATGCTGGTTTTGACCACTTGCGGGCTTGTCAGCCGGGTAGATATTTGTTTACTTCTTTGATTAATTTGTTTTTCAAGCTGCTTTGAAAACCAATAAAAAATTGATTTTCTACAGATTGTCATTTTTGTACATATTTAAGCATTTGATTAGTTTTCAGTATATATCTCTCGATCCCGATACCTATTCTTGGTCCCTACAAGAAGACAATAAGCTTTAAAATATCGTTGAAATATTGAAAATAATATTAAATAATATTGAATAATATTAAAATATATTGAAAATAAATTGCTTTTGCCTGGGATGACAAACATATTCACATTTCTATAACATCCATTTCCCCCAGGGTATGTGTGCATGGAATGAGACTCATTGTTTTCAATCGGGTAAAAGAGGTCCTTACCCGATTCAAGTTCGGTTATCGATACTATCGACTGGTTACGAGTGGTGCGCGCCAAATCTAACTTTTTTGAATGTGAGCGACAAGGATTTAAATGTTGTCAAACGGGCCATTACCGATTCAACAAATACGACGATTCCCTCAATTTTGATCTTCCGTCGAATATCAGCTATATGGAAGATTTAGCCATGCCCTCATAATTTTATACGATTGGTGAATCTATTTCCTATTTGATTGGCCTATTCGAAATAATTGTTTCATTAATTTCATTTAATAATCTTAAGTCTTAATAAGACTTATTAATAATAATAAAGTCTTAATAATATACTAATCACTAACATCACTATCGTCACTAACGATGTCTCTGGGATTTTTAAACAGCATTTCAGTGTTCGGTTCAAAATTCTCGCAACCGTTTTTCTTCCTTAGACCTTGTCTCACATATAAAAGATTTGAAACATTTATATTCTTAAATCTATTTCTTGTATTTGTTTTTATTTAGTTCACTTCGGAGAAAATTCATTCACATGATGCATTCGAAACTGGCAATATAAGCAGTACTTCTGCAAATTTTGAATTTTTTCATATTTTAATGCATTGTTGAAATCTTTTATTTGTCCCATTGTATACCAGAAATGGCCAGGACTTTTGTGTGTTTTTAATAAACTAAAAAGAACATCATCATTTTTCAAGAGGACAAATTCATTATCGATTCCCTGCGGATCTTTTATACAGGTCATGCAAATCTGATAATTGGCCATTGACTATTTCTTCAGGGTTTAGGAATGAAAGAAGTTTAAAAACCTTCGCGTTAAAAGGCAACCTTTTCTTTAATTGTATACTCAACTCGATCAAAAATGACTGTGCTCTTTGGAAAAATGCATATTTTTCATTTCTTTCTAATTTTGACACTTTGAGGCAAATTCATTTTTTGGATTTCTACGAAATTAACATTGCTGCTTGGATATAGTAAATTTAAGTCAGTATTCCTTATAGATAAGTCTTTCAAATAACAGCTTAATATAAACTTTTAAGTTTCAGCCATATGTATTTTTATATATTATGTGTGTTACAGCTTTGCTAGACTGAAAAATGATGTTAAATCTATTTATTACAGACAAAATATAGTCTAGAAAGTAGAAATATAATTTGACTGAAACGCTTTTTAAATTTGAGAGTGTATTCTGCAGATACATTTTTTTCTATGGCCAATTCGTACTCAAAAACGAGGGGGAACGTTGTGAGTTGCTGCGGACACCGCAACTCTACGGTTATACCCGATACTAAGTCAGTATGGCTCTCCTCCGGCAGACGCCGCTAATATTAAACGACACTACAAATAGTGCGTGCGAGAGAGACAGAAAATCAGTCTGAGCGTGACGTCGGGCGCTGCGTAGCCAGTGCAAATTGATTTCTTGCTTTTGGCTACAAAAATGATCCGATATGATCCAGATTCAGCAACCGGATAGATATGGTCGTTATCTATGATTCTGCGTTTTTAGTTTTCTCGAATCTGCAATATTGTGGATGCATCAGATTTTCGTCTTTTGTGTGGGCGGAAGGGGGAGGGGCGAAATTCTGAGATATACGTTTTATAGTGAGATCTAACAGGAGTGTGGATACCAAACTTGGTTGCTCTAGCCTTAATAGTCTCTGAGATTTGTGGATGCCCCAGATTTTCGTCCTTTGCGGGGGCGGAAGGAGGTGTGGCGCAATTTTGACACGAAAAGGTCAAGGTCCGATATCACAGGAGTGTGGATACCAAATTTGGTTGCTCTGGGTCTTATAGGTTCTGAGATCCTTGAACTCATATTTTGCAATTGGCAAAACCGACCATGAAACCAGTGTGTTAGAGACAGACAGAGCGAGAGAGAATGAAATTGTTTTCCTGATTCTGGCTATAATAATTATACGATCTGGTTCAGATTTTGCACTCTAGAAGATATAGGCATCTTTTTGGATTTATCGTATCTTTAAAAATGTGGATGCCACAGATTTTCGTCCTTTGAGGGGGCGGAAGTGGGCGGGGCGAAGTTTTGAAATATTTTTTTTTGCAGTGACATATCACAGAAGTCTGGATCCAAAACATCGTTGCTCTAGCTCTTATAGTCTTTGAGCACTAGGCGCTGAAGGGGACGGACAGACAGACAGGGCTCAATCGACTCGGCTATTGAAGCTGATCAAGAATATATATACTTTATGGGGTCGGAAACGATTCTTTTTGGACGTTACACACATCCACTTTTACCACAAATCTAATATACCCCAATACTCATTTTGAGTATCGGGTATAACAAGAGCATCCCACTGCTCAATCATACGTGCAATACAAGAATGCAGAGACAACAGCGAATTTCATTTGTGGTGTCAGCTGCAAATCCTATAATGTTCTCCATGCTGAACCCAAATTCCTGAAGTCCCTTATCCAAAGCTTGGAATAAGTCCTCTGCTTTCTCGCCATCCAAATCAATCGAAAATAAGTACTTAGTTTGAACATCCGTGTCGAAGAACATTACAGTACCTTAGTACATGTCACATCCGTATACTCGTCGATGATGATCGAAAACATGGTTTTTCCAGCTGGGCACACGCTCTTAATAACCTCAATCCTCAGTGTTTCCTTTGCAGCAGGTGCCATCACATTGTAAGCCAAAGATGCCGACTTGGTCCGTTTGCAAGCAAAGCCTTGCCCAATGTCACTGTCAGGAAATGTGTTTTTGATGACATTGCGAAGATGATCCATTGCCCGGAACGGTATGTTGTGCTCTGCTGCAGCAGCAACAAACATCAATTCAGCTCTTCTCACTCTAGTCGCAACATTTTTGCTTGTATCCTCCACAAACGAATCAATGTATAATTGAAAACCGCTTATACAAGTATTAACATAGCGAATACAAAAAAAAAGTTTGAATATACCTTAGATTGGCCAAACAAGAACTTAATTTTCTCCTTATGTTTGTGTGTGGCAGCGTGCTGTCTAATTGATGCTATTCGACTCAAAATATCAACATTGCAAGCCTTGCAATGAGCATCGACTGCATTTTTACTTCTGCAGAGCCATGTCTTTGTATCGGGTTGAGACTCCCACTACTGTCTGTACTTTTGTTTAAAATCTTTGCTCATTATTTTGTATAGCTGTTGTTAATGGCGGGAGTTCCCTAACTTAATGGCTTCTCGAAAATGTGTGGAAAGTGTTACCATCTTAAATATGCCGTAATATACCGAAAAATTGCTTAATATACCGCTTAATATATCGGCTATCGATACTATCGACTGGAACATAGTGCTGCGCGCCAAAATGGCATAAATTTAAGAAAGTTTTATTCAGTGAAGCACGCTTTGAGAGAACGGAAATTAAAAAAAAACCTGCGTGTGGAAGTTTCTATACCCTATGTTCTTTAATATATATACCGTTTAGAATTAAATTAATATGTTGATGATGTATTCTATAATATTCTATATATACATACCGTAAACATACCTTCAACTCAATTCCAACGTCAGAAAAGTATATAATGAGCTAGCAGGGGCGTCAAACAGGTGAATCATAACAGACTCAGTTCAATAAAATTTTCGATTTTCGTTACGTATGATATTATTTGCGGCGGCCCGTTTTGTTCGCTATTTTTCAAATACCCCAGGCATAAAAGAAAACACCAGTATCAGCCACGTTTGAATATCCTAACAATTTTTATATTTTAATTCTTTTAATATTCTCAAGAAATATCTTTTAATAAGTTATTAACACATAAAACAAATCAAGAGTAGTATTTGAATAAAAAATGTTTGTTTTTTTCATATATTTTAACCCCATTTTCACTTTGTTTTGTGTTACCGATCCATTGAAATATATATATGTATATATATCATCGTTTTGGGACTTTCCCGTATATATGTATAATATATTAATAGTTGTATTTTAACTTCTTTCGCTCTCGACAAGAGTTCAACCTTTTTACGCGCTTTCTTCGCCTTGTTTTCTCTTATTTTTGTTTTGCTTTTTCTTTTTTGATAAATAAGTACAGAATAATTTCAAAAATTTGGATGCTCCATTATTAAAAGTTGTAAAGTTTCGCTATTAGCCCTTAATTATATACACATTTCAAATAAATCATATTCCAGTAATTCAGTCTTATGAAATAAACAAAAACTTAGGTACGTTATATTCATCTGGGAAATAAATCAATCAATCAACTAATGAAATAATCGTCTGATGCAATCAATCAAATGTGGTATTTTTCTTGTTCAGTACTACTTATTTATGCTTGGCTCTTCTGTTAATTTTAGGGTTTCGGCATTGGAATTTGTATTCTTTGCTATTGCTGTTCCTCTTATTGCTGTCTTATTTTTGATGCCTCTGTGCTTCGTCTCGTCGGTTTACCTGATCCTGATCCTAATTCTGATACTGATTCTGATTCTGATTTTCGTTCCGTTTATAGCTATAACAAATAGTACAATTACAGTTACGTTACAGTTACAGTTACAGTGAGCATAGACAGTGTGTAGAGTGTACTCGTAAATGTTCCCTGACTTTTCCTACGGTTTTTTTTTTCTTTCGATAGATCAAAAAGGTACGAGACGGGCATAAAAATAATATGTATTAGTAAAATGCATACGTTTTGGTAACGGAAGCTTTTCGTTTTTGGTTTTGTTTTCTTTGGTTTTGTTTCATTCATCATTATACATATGTATACATATTTAACGATTATCCGTATTTTAATTGTAGGTTTTTTGGTTTTTTATTCACTTCAAATTGGAACTGTAGAAAATCTATTATAAACTATCATATTCCCATAACAGTTATCTTAACTTGGTGGTACCGAAAGAACCGAAAGGTGGAAGAGCAAACTGTTTCAGCCTGCAGTTATTGGATTGCATTTTACCTGTTGCCATACATACGAGTATGTATGTATGTATGTATGTATATTGCAATAGTAGTAGTAGTAGTACGTTGCGTGTGATCTTTTCGCCCGACGACACCGGACAGTCGAGCAGCGTGGATCAGCTATCGGCTATTGGCTATCACTGAGTACCGATTCTGAAGTTGAGTTGCAAATTTTCATCTTGTGACCCAGTAGTTTTCACAACTAACAGTTTGTTTTAGCAATTTGTTCCAGTCTACGCTGTCGTAATCAAAATTGTAATCGGTAATCGGTGATCGCTAATCGCTAATCGCAAAACCCGTTATCGGAGCTCGATTTGTTAGATTTTAGTTTATTATCAACTTTAAGCTGTTGTGTTGTAGGATATGTTATTCTTTTTCTTTTGTTCTTGCATTTGCTTTGCCTTTGTTTGCCTTTAGCTTCTGAGTTGAATTTCTCCTTAATTGCTTGTTTTGGTGTTTACTTTCATAAAAATATATATTCTATGTATGTATGTTGTATGTATATGCAATATGTATGTATATAGTAATCAATTTTCCATGTCTATCTGTTTGTTTGCTGGTTTGCTTGAGTACGAATAGTTGCGTATGTACAAATCGTTTTCTGCCTCAATTCTCGAACCAATTAGGAATGATGGAAATCATACGAGTACAAGTACGAATACGAATACGAATAGTAAGTACAAATCATATTTACTTCGGGACCACTTGTGTGGTGTGGCTCTATATCTTAATTAGTTGGTCCAGAAAGATCATTTTTCGAAAACGAGAATGTTTGAAAGTGTGCTGATTGGATCGGTTCTCGTTTGCTATTCTGTGGAGGTGCTACACGATTATGTGCATTGCTTTGGCACTCGAAATGTAATGGACAGAGGATAATCAAAAAAAAAAAAAGAATAAAAAAATACAATCAAAGCTGTTGAATCTCTTAGAAGTATTTTTTGTTGTATAAAATATTCGCTCTGTCTCCTGTTGTGGGGGGCCCTTCAGGGCCCTAGGTATAGTAATTCTGCTGAAATCTTTGCTTTTTCTTTTTTTTAATTTTCTTGATAATTTTTTTTTTCTTTGTGTGTCTGTCTGCCTGTTTGTGTGTGTGTGTGTGTGTAAGGCTTGTGTATGTACATAGTTGTGAAATACAAAAAGAATAAAAAACACAAGTAACGAGAAATATTAATATTCTTAAAAATTTTGTTTTCGTTTTTGTTTTTTTTTTCATTTTCCCATATGCTTTTGAAATTTAGTTAAAAATAGTTAGTTATATATGTATGCTTTTGCTGGTACATAGTATATAAAGTGGAAAAAAGTATGCTTTTTTAATAATATTTGTCATCTTTTCTTTTTGTCATTTTGGTTTTCGCCTCCGTTTCGTTTATAGTACATCAATTTTTGTATTTATGATTTTGGTATAGGTTTTGAGTAGTTTTCTTTTCGATAAGTACAAATTGTTGGTATTCTTCATTTTATGTTTTGGTTTTTTTTTTTGTTTTGTTTTGTTTTTATACTGTATTCCTCATAAATATGTTTGTATATTTATTTAGTTTTCTTTGGTTTTTTTAATTTATTTTTTTGGTTTTGTTTTTTGGTATTCGTTAGGAAAAATGAATTATTGAATTACAACAAATGCGAAATGCCGCTTTAAAATGTGTGGTTTAGCTTAGCGCGAGCCTCTAGAATCAAGAAACAATAACATTGTCGATAGATTGAGATGGGGAGAGAGTACTGTACTGTACTGTACTGTACTGTAGGGGGTATTCATACATCAAAAATGTCAAATTTCAAATGTAAAAATGTCAAACGTCATACAAAATGCATAGCGTACTCGTAGCATATAGCACAAATATTTTAACAACAATATAATCATAAATACATAAGAATTGTGTCTGTGTCTTTGTGCGCGTGTGTGCGTGTGTGTGAGTTGTGCGTGTTCCAGTGTCTGTGTGTGGATCCTAAGTGGATCGTAAGCTTATGCAGAGATCGCTTCGGTCATGGGTTAGATAAGATACCTATCATTTGGGGGTAGGAAAAGTCTTCCGTGATCTGATCTGCTCTGAGGATCGGTCTTTCCATAAGCTTAAACTCTATTCATGTGTGTGGTGTGTGTGTGTGTGTGTGCGTGCGATGATATTAAGTGTATAAAATGTACAGGTGTGCACACCCGCACTCTCACACACACCCCACACTTACCCACAGAGGTGTTTTTATCATATTTTTGTATTTTTATTAACGAACAGTTTTGCTTTCTTCTCCCTGTGACCAGGGTCCAGGGTGTCCAGGGTTTTGCGCTCTCTTTGTCCCTTGTGCTGAATGCCGATTGACCAGCGTCACCCAAAACGCTCGCCAATCGAAGCTGAGCACAATAGGGAGGGCGCTATCGATATCGGTAGTATATGTACTCGTAGGATGTGTGATACAGAATACAGGATTTTGTTTGATAACTTTGCACTGTAACTTTTTGCTGTTCGACTAATAACCAATCTATGTATGTATATATATGCATTGGTATATATATATATAGGTATGTATATGCTAGTATATATATATATACATATATATATATGTATATACTCGTATATAGGTATATATATAGAGTATGTATAATATGTTGTATATGGTATAAGTGTATAACGGCGGTTGCGCTAAACGCTCGCTCGTCTCGCATAACCGTAACATGTGTATACATATTTCGGTAAACTTAAGATCTCTAATTGTATATACAAGTTGAGTGAGCTCTACCTGGGACTGGATCCGTTCTGGACACCCAAGCGTACACGGCTACGATCACAGATCGACGCCTTGAAGAGCGGCCCAGTTTGCCAGGACTATCCGATTCGAACCGGGGGCTTGGGATTGGGCCTTACTGGGCTGGTTACACATCAAAGGATATCAACAGAGGATTGGGGGGATGGGGGAGATCGGGAAAAGGAAATGAGACTATAAGGGAGGGGGCATGTATTCCAGTTGGGCTTGGGCTTTGCTCTTTGCAGCTTAGTCCTCCCACGACGGGAATTGACCCTCGTCCACAAACATGCTAAACTGCCCGGTATATTGACGCTCCATGGGCGGTCCTCCCTTTCCCGTTCCCGTTCCCGGTCCAGATCCCTTCGCCTGACCCGCGCCTGTGTGCGGCGATGGCGATGGCGCCACTGGCCGTGTGCCCGTCGAGCTGCGGCCTGGGCCTAGGGGCTTTGTCGCCACATTGCCTTGGGCATTTTTGGAGCTGGAGCTGCTCTGAGCAGACGACGAAGACTTTCCGTAGTTGTAGCGTTGCTCTGTGTAACAGATATTAGTACCTAGTATATATATATTTTATCATGAAAGCGGATCCCTTACTCGATGGCTGCTTCACCTCCTTGCTGGCCCAGACAGGCTCGTGGGTTTGATTATACGATTGCTGATCCCAGACAGCCTTCTCCTCAACGTTTTTGCTCTACGAATATATGAATGCGGATTATTGGGTTCGATTAGCCGGGCTCCAACTTACATAGTCCTTGTCCACATGCAACTCGAGATCATCGCTGGCCTGCTCCATGCTGCTGTGCGTGATTCCGTAATAGAAGTACATGATAAGGCCGAGGGACATCCAGACGGTAAACCGGACCAGGGTCAGGATGCTTAGCTTGAATATCAGATATATGTTTACGGTGATCGCGATGGCTGGTATGAAGGGTAGTCCGGGCGTTAGAAAGGCCAGTGCATATCTGCCAGAGAGAGAGAGAGAGAGAGGGATAGAGAGAGGGAAAAAGAGAGAGAGCGGAAGATTGTGGGGATTAAGTATAGTATGGTCTCAGGAGTTGAAGGAGGAGGAGGAGGATAAGTCATCCGTATACTTGCTGCTTTACCTATTCTGCGGTTGTCTCGATATAATCAATAATATCACAAATATGCCGATAAACAAAACGAAATAAATGAAGGCGGCTAGCCCACCGGACCACCCAATGGCCGCGAACAAATCCAAGAAGAATATGAGACCGAACATGATTCCAACTAGTTTCGTGACATACATGCCTGGTGGTGGTTTTGTTTCGTTTCGTTTGGATTGGATTGGATTGGAAAAGCAAAAGCAAAAGAGTAAATTTTCCATTTAAATTTCAATTTGGAATCTGTATCGCCATCGATTAGAACCTAATCACAGTCAAATCACAAATTACGTACCACTATCGGTGGTGGCCTGGCCGGGATTGATCCAGGGAAAGAAGCCGGGGCACAGGTAGGCATAGTCGTGGATCTTCCGCGTGATGAAGTTCAGGCCCATCGTGTCGAAGGCAGTGGCCTGGCCGGTGGGTCCGGTGGGTGCCCCATGTACGCTGCCATAGAACTTGTTCTCGGAGCGATCCGACACCAGGAACTGGTCGTCCCGCCCCCCCAGATAGCCCTCGGGGCTGTCGTCGATGAACGAGTCATCCGAGTCGGACATGCCGCGCGTCACCCGCTTGATGGTCAGCTTATTGGGCACCTCCAGCACCTCGGCGGGCGTCGCATGCGAATCGCTGGCCGTACCCGGGGCCACCGGAGTCCGCAGCTGTGCCGGCAACAGCTCCACCAACGAGGTGCTGTGCGGCTGGTAGCGCAGCACCAGGACACAGGTCGAGACCAGGGTATACGCCAGCAGGGTGCCGATGGACATCATCTCAACGAGAATCTCCAGGCGAATGGTGAGGGCGACCAGGGCCGCAGCCACTCCACTGCCAATAGTGGCCAGACCGGGCACATTGGTGCGCTGCCACAGCTGTGAGAGTTGCCTGAAATGCAGTGAGGATATCCCACATTAATTCTGTTCTGTCTCCCCAGAAAGACCTTTTGGATACGCACCTGAAAATCAGTCCATCCTGGGCCATGGCATAAATGACGCGCGGCATCGGAAACATTGAGCCGAACATTGCCACGGACAAGCCAGCCGTAGCCCCAATGGCCACCACCGCCCGGCATTTTGGGGCGTTCACATACGACCACATCTGGACCAGGGCCGCTCCCGTGTTGATGTGGTCATAGGGAACTACAGGAGTACAGGAAACATTCATTAAACGTTCATTAGTGGATCCCCTGGCAGGAGTACTTACCCACTAGAGTAAGGACTAGGCTGACGCTGACATAGGCAATCAGAACCACAACCAGGGAGCCCACTATTGCCTTCGGTATGCTCTTCTGCGGATTATGCGCCTCCTCTCCGGTTGTTGCAATTATGTCGAACCCGATAAATGCATAGAAACATGTGGCGGCACCGGAAAACACCTGCGAAACGGATCGCACATCCATTGATACGTACACTTATGTATTGTAATAAGTCGCAGGCACTCCTTCGATTATGTTTATACTTATTTGTTTAGAGGGAGGGATTCCTTCGGAGGCATCATATCACCGCAACAAATCATATCATACCCAAATAGGTAATACAACCGGTTTTCCCTCGATATCAAACCCATATTTATACTCAAAGACTATAGTGGATGTGTGTAACGCCTAGAAGGAAGCGTTTCCGAACCCATAAAGGATAGACATAGCTAGTCTGTCTCTCTGCCCGTCCCCCTGTTCTCAGACGGTAAGCTGAAGCTATAATCTTGGACATAGGACATAGCTGCATTCATTATCTTTCTGGAACTGCAAAGTTCTTTAAAACTAGCTGTAACAAACTCAAGTTATGTAGGGCAAAGGCAAGCAAACTGATCTCTGAAAAAACATATATAAACTAGTGTTTGGAATCCCTATCAGAAAAAGTGTATTTGATGCCAGTATTTGTGTAATTTAAGACAGGGATCGTAAAGTTAACGACTCTTTAAACTTGAAAGTAAATGCATCCAAGCCTTCTAAAGCCAATAAACTTGAATTGAATTGAATTTCAATCACCGAACAACATCAAGTGTGTACAAGAATGACCTACTTTGTTGCAGTCATGAAGGAATGCAGAAATGCAGAAATGCATAAATGCAGGAAGGGTGGGGATGGGGGAGTGGGGATTGTTTACTCGTACTTACACCACTCCAGCCATAGGGCAGGAAGCCCTGATGCTCCGACCACGTCTTCGTGTCCACATAGAAAAGGCCGGCAGCCATGACAAAGACCCACGTGGCCAGATTGACGGCATTCAGGGAATGGTTAAATATGACCGACTTGCTGGCGCCCATCGCCAATACGCAGGTCATGAGGAGCGTTATGCCAAAGGCTATAAAGTCCGGTGGTTTGCCTGAACGCATACGCATATAAAAGGGGAAAAAGGAAAAAGGAAAAAGGAAAGAGATGAGTGGGGAGAGATTTATAGAGCATGGTTCAGTGGATCTAGTTACCGAATATCGTGCCGATGGACTCGCTTATCGTACGCGCAATGGCATTGCCAGTCAGGGAATCGAAGCTAGAACTTAAAGCACAGGCACAGGCACTTGTTCCTATCGATAGGAAGAATAGAGGATTATCGGGAATCAATGGGGACCAAAGGAAGTATCCCACTCACCTATTAGATATTCCAATATCATGTTCCAACCAATTATAAAAGCTACAAATTCTCCAACTGCCACATATGAATACATATAGGCCGAGCCGGATGTGTGTGGCACACGAACGCCAAACTCCGCATAGCAGGCGCCTATTAAGTCCAAGAGTACAAATGTATATCAAAAAATATATATGGAGAATAGAACGTTGAACAATGAACGCAGATATCACTCGAATCGATCACTTACCTGAGAAAATACTCGCTATGGCAGCTATAATAAAACTAATAATCACACCGGGTCCGGCTATCTTCTGGGCCACCATGCCGGCGACCAGATACATGCCAGTGCCACAGCAGGAGCCAATGCCGAGCGAGGTCAGGTCCAAAGTGTTGAGACATTTCTGCAAGTAAATCGGTTGGTTACAGATGTCCGATGGATGGATAATAATGTGCAGGAATAGATATTTCTCACCGTCAGCTTAGGCTTCTGTGGCTGTGCATTGCCGTCCTGCAGCTGCCTCACATCCTTGGTGCGTATGAGCTTCGGCAGAAGCGTCGTCGAGCTGACGCCAGGCGGCAATGGCACCCTGAACTTGACCTGCAATCCGAACGGGACAGAGAGAGAGCAATTAATTGTGGAGTGCCAGCAAGGCCGTACGACATCTGGCGCTGAAAGATGAGTGCCATTGATGTTGATGGCACCTCTCCCATCACACCATCCTCCCACTGGCCCCCTCAAGTGCCCCCTCCACCGATGACTGATGGGAGGCAAAACCAAGCCAGAAAAAAGATTGCACTCAATCGATGCGAGTGTTTGCAACAAGTTTCTGGTGTCCTTGCCATCGGGCTATCTGTAGGTTTTAATTTCCCACTTACTATTCCTCCAACCAACCTGAAGCCTCTATAACGCTTTCGAACATTACGAATCCGAGTCTCTCAAATGACTCAAAACATTCTACGAAGTTCGTGTGTCTTCGGCTATGCAAATTCGGTTTTTTTTTATTTTGCCCAATCTGATCCTAATTTCGTTCAGTGTAAAGCAAAAAAACGCTTGTTCTTGACACACACACACACAAATGAAGATTTACAGGCAAAAGGAAAAGCAAAGAACCAGCAAACTTGTAAGTTGCTTTCTCGTTCTCTCTACCAGAAAATCAAATGGAAAGTGAGCGAGAAAAAATACCGAAATTTTCTGCACTGACACAAATAAACGGCCGAAACCTGCTTCTTTCCGTTTTGGGGGATCGATTCGATTTAATGAGAAAGCTGAAACTCTGATCCGATGCTAACGACCCAAACGAATACCGAATCCCACCGAATCGAATCGGTTGCCTGTTGATGCAGGACTCTACTCTAAACCATCGCTCAGTATTCGACTCAACATCCAATCTTTCATAGAGAATAGAGTGTTGTCCGCCCCGATGCCTCCTGAAATGGCCAATTTCATTTCCTAAACTTAATGTCAACTCAACGGGTGGCCAAGCCAACCGCAGTGCCTCCTATACCAACCTATCGTCCTCCATGATAAGTGTGGGACTTGGCTCTGTTCCAGGACAACAACCACCACTACAACGATAGCAGCAGCCTCAGCGTTGACGCAATCAAAGCATACTCGTACCCGTCTCCTCCATACCGGAGAGTCCTCCCCTTCGACCCCGAGCAGTCTCCCCGTTCTTTCAGTTCCGGCACTAGCGCCAGCCTCATCCGAGACCCAGTTCTGATGCTGTCCCCAGTCGAGTGCAACAAGCAATCATATCCATTAACCGTCCCACCGTCCCACCGCACCGCAGCACTCTCCTTCTCTGCACTCTGCGCTCTGCCATCCGTTCTGCTCCAACAAGTTGCATGCTGCGGCGACATTTGTCGTCCCCATTTCTTTTTTATACCCTCTTTCTATTTTTTGTTTGAGTGAATTGTCGTTATTAATGGCTCGCAAGTAACAGGGGACAGGGTGGCGTCGGCGTGGGCGTGGGCGTGGGAGTGTACCCAGAGGATGGGAGGAGCAACCACTGCTGGAGAAGCAACTGGCACAGAAGGTCATCCGATACAACCATACAACACCAGCCACCCAGCCCCGCCCAGAAGAGGATTGCTGGCAACCGGAGAAAGCATTTCGTGCCATTTTCCGTTTATCTTTAAAAGAGATGAATGCTTGGGAGGTGGGTTCTGTCTTGATATCTTTAGCTTATTTTACATTTGTACATGCATATCTATCTGTTGTTCAATGTAGGTATTCTACAAGTATTTATGTTGGCTTTCTCTATATGGAATGTGGCTGTTAATGTCGAAATTAGCTGAACTGTGAACTATAGATTTTCTGAAGACTTTTCTGAATGTTCATACTGTTTTGGTATATGTTTTATATATTATATCCTTAACCCTTTTAGAGTCGTCTCTTTCAGGGTTAATAGTCCAATAATTCAATTTTTGAACTAAATTCCACATTGGAACATGAGGGATTCCATATTTGTGATTGTAGCTTGTGTCCAATCTCGCATACTATACAATTTATGGATAATCATTTTATATATTGGATTTTTTCCTAAGGTTTTGCCATTCCGTAATTACATAATATCAATTATTTTTTTCCGCCTAGTTTTCATCTATTTATATTCTTACACATTCGCTTTCATCCATCTGTATCCCAACTCCTTTATCGGACTTTGGACAGTCATTGTCATATTGAGAAGCATACTTTTAGGTTGGTCCGCCACACGGCGTATGAGTGATGGAACTCCGCCTCTGTTCGCATCCCTTTTCCACCTAATCCTCCCAACAGCAGATGCTTTATTTATAGAGCTCTCCCTCCCTCCCTCCATCTCTCTCTCTCTCTCTCGTTCTCTCTGGTTCTGCCTCGTCACCCCTGATTCGTGCACCCGTGCACTAGGGGATAAGCTGGACACTAACTGTTCTGTAAGTGGGATTTGGCTCTGTGGGTCTAGAGCTCTAGGGGTCTGGGGACGTGTATCCGGCTCCCGTCTCCCGTCACCGGCTCCAATTACAGCTGCGGTCGTAAAGGGAGGGAAAGGGGGAGGTAGGGAGGTAGACAGAAGTGGCCATAAAGATAACGCAAAGCCAAAAATGTAAGACCCACTCCACAACCCTACCATACCCTCACTGCGGCCCTGTCCATGCTCCATTTACGATCCCTTTTGCACCCACTGTCTGTCTGTATGTGGCCGTGCGTGTCTGCGTGTGTGTCTCTGCTGCTCTTTTGTATGCCCTCGCAGAGAGGGTACTATGCTAGTTACCAGACATTTGCCACGCATGCATTTCTGTTCCCAGCTTTTCTAATTTTTGCCAAAATAGTCCCTTAAAATTGGAATATATCTGACCGCAACTTTTCACAGATATGTACTTATTTTTGGTGCAACCCATACATACATTTATATACATATGTATTTATATGCTGGACCTCGGTTACCATATAAGATTTAAAGGTTATGACTATATGACACATTTGCATATAACGCATACGCTTGTCTTTACTTTTGACTAATTAGTAGTACTCTTATTATACTGTAGTAATTTTAGATACGTACTTTAACCAGCTGCAGTTTCTTAAGGTTCTTTCAATCTAAGAACAAGTGTACACAAATCAAATACCTATCATACATGTATAATTTATGGGAGCAATTTGAAAGATAATCTTTACCATATGGCTGGGATGGGGGAACGTTGTCTCTGAAAGGGTATCAAAAGTATGTACATATATCTTTTTTTGTACTATTTCTTCCTATTTTGTTGTTGTTCCAACAATGCAGCCACCTCCCCATCCATCCACACCCACCCACATCGGTTGTTTTTGTTGTTTTTATGTCGTATATATTTGCCCAAGTGACCCTGTGAGCCTGTGTGTTTGTGCTATGAGCTGCTGCTGCTGCTTCTTCTTAACTTCATGGTTTCTCTGCCTCTCTTTCTATCAAATGGATTTGCATAAGTCCACACACATACACACACGCACACATACTTACGCACTGGTATGTATGTCGGTATGTATGTGCTGCGTCGGCGTTCAGTATCATAATGACCTTTTTACGGCCATACCACCATTACAACACACACATACACATATGTACGCATACACACAGGCAAACAAACAGTAATAGTATATGTATATGCGTACGTAGCGCCGAGTCATGTGCTACGGTATGATGGCAAGGGTGCGGGGGTGTCTTTGGGCTGCTTTAATTTTAGCAGTGACCAAAAAAAAAAAAACCAACAGCTTTTAGTATTTTCTGCCGGATGTTTTGTTGTTCGTTTCGGTATTTTTTTGTATTGTACCTTCTGTTGCGTTTGCTTACCTTCTCTAGCACCAACAACAAATCCGATGGCTTCATTTCGTTCTTCTTGCTTCCCTCCCTTCCAGCGCCGCTAGCCAAATGTTTAACAGTTATCAGATGCGATGCGTACAACTGCTTTGACCCAGCAACAGCACCAGCAATCGAACGGTAAAGAGCAAGCAGTGATAGGTGCTAATTTTTGTTGTTTTTGTTCGTGACGTGTTTCGCTCGCTGTTGCACTTGACGCTGACGCTGACGTTGACGTTGGCTGTGCTGCTGATCTTCTGCTGCCAGCGCTGTTTCTTCTGGGATTTCCGTAGGCTTCTCTTTCACTTCTTCCGGTTCTGGCTGTAGCTCTTCATATATACATATATATATCCTCTTGTTCTCCCTTTAGTGTTTCCCCACTAGTTCTCCCACTGCTTCTTTTCGCCTGCTACTGCTCTCCTGTCCTGTTCTGTCCTGTCCTGGCCTCCTTCTCTTTATCTCTGCTTGCGTGGTGAGCTTCTTGATGTTGCTGTTGCTTCTTCTGTTGTTCTCGCTGCTCCTGCTGCTGCTACAGTTCCTTCGCTCGCTGCTGACGCTGACGATAGGCTTATAGTTAATCGTGCTGGTGGTTCCGCTACTGTTGCTTTTTTGCTATTTTCCACATTAATTTCTCTCTGCAACGTCATTCTATATTCAACAGTTTTACAATGAAGGATTCCACCCTTCTCCTTCTGTTTCACTTTTCAACGTTAGGCAAATTTTCACTTTCTGTTCAGTTTCGTTTTCAGTTTTTGCTCTGCCCAACACTGTCCTGTCTCTCTCCCTCTCTCTCTCTCTCTCTTTCGCACTTTCTCTACCTTTGGCCGCCCGCTGCCCTTCGGACTCTGTCCGCTGACTTGTCCCCACCGTTCTTTCCTCGCTGTCAATTGGTGTTGTTGGCGCGCCTTTACCTTCACGTGGCTCACAAACACACACACACACGCACTGGCACACACACGAATGCAAAATGCAAATAGATGTACTATTTTTTCACCGTTGCACACGCACAAAGTCACACACACAAACAAACATAATAATATAAAAGCCTACGGCTGCGGTTCTCATTCAACAACAAAATTAAATAATTAACTTAAATATTTTTTTTATGGCGTTAAAAAAAAAGAATTTTGAACCACGCTTTTCTGGTTACTGCGCGGGTACTGGCGGATTGGCCTTTGCTTCTCGCCTCGGTATACGGTGAATGAATGGTGGCCAGGTTTTCCGTGTGTATCGCTTTTTTTCCGATGAAGAATAAAGAAGAAAAAAATGTGTTCGGTTCGAGTTCTTGTGGCTGCTACTGCTTCTGCTCCTTCTGCTGGTGTTGCTGCTTCTTCTTCTTTCGCTTTTGGCCTTTGAAAGAGCTTTCGTTACATTGTGTATGGGAGTGTGTGTGTGTGTGTGTGTGTAGTTGTGACGGAGCAACGTTGCCAGGCTGCATGGGAGTTGGGAGATAGCATCCACGATCTGGCAACGCCAGCTAACAACTTCCTGCAAGACATATTTATTCAAGGTGAAACAATTTCCGCTCCCAGGAGCTCAATATACTGTTTCTCAGTCTGCCTCCCTATCTCCCACTCCCTCTCTCTCTGTCTCTCTATGTGCCAAGCAACCTTTACAAGATCGCTTAACAATGACTCACCTCATGCAAATACATCTTGACTTCCTGTATCTATAACAGAGTTTACTCTGCCCCAAAAGCTACAAGTTTCACAACTTTCGATTTCTCCTCTCTGAAGCGCACACACACACACTCAAACACAAACACGCGGTCACCGGCGCACACCCCACTCCCGCCCTCTCTTTCTAGTTCACGCACGAATGTAGGCAATGGAAAGTGCAACCAGAAAGAGCGCAGACGCACAAACTTGACTCCCTCTCTCTCCCTTGCACGTTTGCGTAGGCGTTTGTACTTTCGCTTTTTGTCCAATGCTTTTAAGTGTGCGACTGTTTGTGTGAGTAAGTAATAGAGTGTGTCGAAAGCCCCTCTTCTCAAGGATATGTACAAGCGTACACACTCGTAAATGTGTATGTAAATACACATGTTCCCCCAGAGACCTGATGTTGTACCAGCAGCCAGAGCTGCTCCCGTTATCTGAGTGTATCATGCAAGAAGCAAGAAGGCCAAGAAGCTTATGCGTCTGCACCTGTTACCACTACCTCGCTGCCGCCTACCCTTACCCCACTCGCTCTCCTATGCACTCACACGAAAGCACTCTTATCAGCACTCCCCCCCCTCCTGCCCTTTATCCCCACAAAAGTTGCAATCTGATTGCCAGCCTTTTGTTGTTACCGTTAACCAATTTACAGTCGGCGCTGCTCAAAGCCGCTCCATCCCCATCCCATGGAGGAGGGGATAATCGTCCCCGTGCACGATGTGTTGAGTGGTGCGGTGTGGCGTGGTTGTGGCGTATTCCGCTGGTTGGCTTGGCCGCTAGATGGCGGTTCTTGTATGCAGATAGATTTCTTTCGTTCTATTCAGCTGTCGTTCCCCAGGGCGAATATCTCAGATAAAAGAAAAATAACTGTGCCATTGGCATTTTTTCTGATGATTTGACGATTTTTTCATATGCCAGAGCTTCTTATGCGGGAGTTTCTTTGCTTTTATACAAATAATAATCCCATGGAAGCAACTTATACGCAAATTTCTATTCAGATTCAATTCGAGCCGAATTTTTGGTAAATTTAGATAAATTATTTGATGTAGAAGTGCAAGTAGAAGTGCATTAATGTCTTATATTTAGATTCGTATGAAGCTTGAGTATACAGAATTTTGCATGATTTTTCAATGAAGAATAGGTCGTCGGATTCGAAATTTTCACTTCAATGAAAATTGTTTCAGACAAAGGCTTGAGAATTATTTTAATCAATACAGCCTAAAATATGTCATTCCGATTTTAGCTACGGATAGGCGATAAAAGTCCTTATATGCATAATAAATAGGATACCAATTCGTATGTAATTTCTTTTTTAAATAGTTATCGTTTTTTTCTCATTTTTTACATTTCTCAAATGTACATATGTACGTATGTTCTTAGCTTCAATTAGGATCAATGTTAACAGAATTTTCAAAACCTTTTCATCATTTAATCAAAGAGTTTTCTTCATAAACTTGATAATCCTGTTCATGTAATTTTTTCTACGAAAATTTACAATAAAAACATTGTGTTTTTCTATGCTATAATTGCCGTTTCTTCTGTTGAATTATTTTGGAAACCTGAGCATTTTGAAACATTGCTTTCTGAAGAAAAACCCCTTGAGGACTCTCTTCAACAGTTGCATAAATTCAAAGGAAACAAAAAGACTGAGACTTAAGAGACTATTTTAAAAAATATTATAAGTTGATGTTTGGGGTTCTTCAGCGCGTTTTTAGACCGAAGAACAGAGTTCAATAAACTTACAGCCCCAGAGGCAGGGGCGCAGTCACACAGACACTCCATCCACGATCGCGGCCCATGTAACGTTCGTTATACGAATTTGAATTCTGTACATCTCGCTCTGGCCACCAGTTTATAGCTCTTCGGATCGGTTCGGCTCAGTTCGGTACTGTTCCGATCCCTAGCCTACGATTGTTAATATGCCGTTTTTAAAAATAGCAACTATAAATCTTATATACTCGTCGCTGGCGTCGTCATTGGTTGGCATACAACGTTCGCTGAAACGTTCCCCCGTCTATGTTCGACGTTGAACGTTCAACGTTCGACGTTCGACGATCTCTAGAGGAGATACAAAAAACTGGCTGTTCTTGCAAGAGCATCGGCGCCCATGTGAATCCGCCACATGCATTCACTCATCAGTCCATCTGCCAGTCCGTCGGTCCCCGTACACATGTTTGTGTCTGCGTGAAACTATCGAAACTAATGTTACTTAAGTTGCCATTGGCGGGGGTGGGGGGAGGGGGAGATCTTACAGTCCCTGTTGAAAGCATCAGACCCAGATACAGCTACAGATACAGATGCAGATACAGCTACAGATACAGATACAGTTACAGATGCAGACATACAGATTCAGAGTCAGACATACAGCCATACAGCCACGATCGTGACGGAGGCAAAGGCAAAGGCAAAGACGAAGACGATGCCGGGTCGGGTCGGGGTGGCGGTGGCCCGGACGGCAACTACACAACGGAGCGTAAGCAATGTTAACGAGTGAAAAATCAAGAAAATTTTAGTTCTAAAAATAACCCCTGTACTCATTTTCGTTTCAAAACGGAAAGCGGCCGACATTCAGAGCAGCGGAATATAACGAGAAACGACCAAAAACCAATAGCTATAAAACGCAAAGATACTGAGATGCTTACACTCTGCACAATGGCCCCAGATACAGATACATGCAGCAGAAAAAGAAACTTGGCACGGTCAATGAGGGAATGAGGAAAAAAATACATTAATCTTATACTATATATTACTCACATATGTGTTTACGAGTGAATAGTATACACAAAATGGTAACAAGTCCGATAAAGGGAATAACTCTATAAGTTAGCGATAAGCAAATATCTCAGAGTCATAGGCTTAGCTCGAAACACCATAGGTATTACAATTATATGATCAAAAGTAATTTGAAACAAAATGTACTTTCTCTATTTGTAGACTTGACACGCAAAGGTTTAAGTTTTAAAGATCAATATTAAATAGGTAATATTCTAAGAAAACGATTTTCAAAATTCAAGAATGAAAAAACATTACTTAGAATATATTTTTCAAGTTTCAAAGTTAAATAAATAATTGGAAGGAGGTCAAAACTAATTGCTTATCTTAGAAAAACGATAATCATAGCAGAAACGATACGTTCGAATCATCTTCTGTGAAGAGCTGTCCTTTTTAAATGATAAGCAACTATTTTAACAGAATTCATAGTCTCTAATATTCATCTCAAGATTTATTCCTTCCTGTAACCAAGGAACCAGGCACTAGATCTTAACCTAACTATACGTTATAAATATATAAATATGTGTGCTCGAAGAGAGTAGTTTGCCTCTTACTAGCCTCTCGATCCGCAGTCGAGTCGAGTCTACGGGCGAGCTAACCAACCAAACTGCAGTGATAGCTCATTTGGCCAGAGATAACCCCGCCTAACATTGTTTGGGGGTACAGAGATTATCGTAACTACGCTCAGAACTCGCATAGAGAGCGGGGAGAGAAAGAGAGAGAAAGAGCGGCAGAGAGGCAGATTGGTGATCATTTTTTTGGATTCAAATACTTTTTGAAAAGCAATCGGAATAGGAAGCAAGTATACAACGAATAGTATTTCCATTTACAAGGCGCTCCAGATCTGAGGTCCGTACCCGACGAGAGCACAGCACAAAAGATGAACAGAAATTACGAACCGAACAAAATTATACCAAGTATAACGAAAATTAGTCCCAAAGAGAGTGGGCAACGAGAAATCGTAAGGCGAACCGCATAGTACGGATGCAGATACAGATACATACACTTATTTTGGATTACAAATAGAATACGATCGTTGCCAGTCTCTTTGTCTGTATGCGAGTATCTTACATATATTTTTGTATGTGTGTGTGGTACAAATACATTTGTACGTATGTTCTAAAAATTAAAAATAACGGTGGGGCCATGAGTAAAAGTTGTACGCCACATCCCCATCCCCATCCAAATTCACCGTTCAACGATCTCAACGCTCCCAAACGAAAGTCAAACGATTTCAAAAGTCATTAGAGCATTCTCCATGGATTCAGCGATCGGTAGATCGTGAATCCAAGCAATAGCCGCCACAAAATAATCAATGAAAATCGCCAGACACACGCATGGAAGAGGGATGGAGGCGGAAAGGCGACATAGAGGTGTCAAAGGTGCGAAACGAGACCCCAAGACAAAATAACGACTGGTTGGCAAAGCGAGGCCGCCTGTAATTTTATTTTATGTATAAACATTTGCCCGATCGACGATCGCTCACCATGCATACATCAGCATCTACTTATCTATATACTCGTAAATACGTACTCTACCTACTAATTCCTTACCTACTCGATCCCATTTGGATAACGTTGGGAACTTTGCTCACGCCCAGTCACTTAAAAGGATCCATACATATATTGTTATATCATCGATTTGAGTTTCTAAGAACGATATTTGTTGATATTGTACTGCATCCTGTGTGTTCCTTGAGAAGATCTTCCGAAACGAAAACTGGCTTTGAATTGTTCTAACTTTCGTCTGTTTTAATGTTAAAATCCCCTCTTTAGTCGTGATCGTACATATATGTATGTATGTAGTTTAACCTAATCGACATTGTCTTTTAGAAATTTCGCTTGAATCATGATCGTTATATGGATACATGATCACAATGATCTTCTATTTCTAAGCTGGTCACATATGTATTCCAAGAAAAATTAAGTTTTTGTATGATTCATGAACATCATATGTACATATGTATTAAAAAAAATATGTATTATCCTGTCGGATCAATAATGTTCCTTTTAATCGTGATCTTTCATTGGATTCAACTCTTTCTATTCGTTCTACTAGGTGTTCCACTTGAATCATTATCAGAATGTTTTTGTGCATGTATCCAATAGGATAAGTGGATCTGTAGAATTATCTTCCACTTCAAAGCTGTATATATACAGTTTATAGTATTTTAGACGATCTAATTCTCTTTAAATGTTTTCCGACGAATCATTATCATTATGTCTGATCCATTCTGCGATCATCCTTTTGTGAAGTTATTGAAGTTTGCTTCATGATGGCTAGAGGAATATACTCGTATACATACGAGTATTGTATCCTGCTAAATCCATGTATCTATGTATGTTTCTCGAGCTGTGGTTCATCATCGCTCGACGCTGCCCAAAGATCATCAACCCAATAGTCAGAATGGAAAACAGTTCGGATCCACTTGGGGTGCCTCTACTGCATACTTTGATCTATTTTTAGGCTACGATTTTTCCCATTTGGCCGATCATACATCCCTGGTGCCTTGTCCCTGGTCCCTAGCCCTAGCCCTAGCCCTAGCCCTAGCCCTAGCCCTAGCCCCACCCCCAGCGCGCGTACACACACACACACCTACATATGATCAGAGAGAGAGAGAATGAGAGATTGCTAAGGGAGATGCACCGCTGCTTTTGCTGTTCCTGAAGTAGGAATCGGAATCGGAATCGGAGTAACTGTTTCCCCTGCTCTTATGGCTGAGAGATTGTTGGAATTGGAATCTCAGAGATTCTGGCAGCCCGCAGTCGTCTCTTCTCTGCCCGATTCTATAAGTAGCGGTTCATACATACATATGTATTTATGTATATTTATATACTCTCACGCACACGTATGAATGCGCAACACATGTGCAAGAGAGCACCAGCAGTGTAGAAGCAGTGTAGAAGCAGTGCCGTACCGCCTCTTCTCCTCATCTCCCTCTCCCTCGCGCAATCTACTAAGTTAGAGCAGGCAGCGGCAGGCAGCACCGAAAGAAAGAGGAGAGTGCTTGTGGTCGGACCGAGCGTGCGGCGGCGTCTTCGTCCGCCTAACGACCGTAGCACCATGTGAATGTGTGTGCTGGTGTGTGCACATGTGCGCTCGAGTGTACGTTTGTGTGTGTGTGCACTCGACCGCCGTTAGTATCGACTACGGGATCGCCACGAAAAAGTTCAGTTTCAGTTTCGTTGTTGTTTGGTTTGGTTAGTTTTTAGTTGGCTAGTTGGATCAAGACAACGCATACTCCTACATCGATCGGATCAATACCCCCCTTACGATAGTCCCCCAGCCCCAGTCCCCCCTATCAGAAGCAAGCGAATTGCAATTGCAATCCAACATGTTTGAGTGAAAGACTCTAAGAAAGTGCGCGTGAGTGTGTGGTGGGGATAAAAAGGAAGCTCGTGAGTGGAGTACCGCTAACTAAAGCGAATGGGGGATATGGAATACAGTGCCCGAATATAAAGATACACACAAAAGACAAACTGCACCCGTACAGCTCTAAGCGAAGGCAATCAAATGTGCGTGAGTGAACCGAAGCGAGTTTGTCAATGGAGGATCGAACTTTAGCGTATGGAAAAAAATACGTTTGAGGTCGTGAAGAACCTGGAATTGAAAGACCGTGAGCCGTCAGTGCAGGAGGATCGTGACCGTAAGACCGTAAGAGCGCGCGTAAGGCAGGGACAAGCGGCAAAAGCCCAGTGTCTAACAGCAGATGCACAGTACATACATACATACATACATATGCAAGTACATTGTACAGCTATACAAGTACATTTGTATGTACAATGGTATAAACAGGGGCACATGTGCATATAATTTTTTTGTGATTTATTTTTGTAGCTGTTCTGTTTCTTTTTTTTTTGTTTTTTGTCGACTCTGCTGCCCGTGTCCGTAGCCGATGAGCCGCCGTCTGAGGCTAAAAGGTTAACTTCTAAATATTAATAGTCGTGTCGGGGTTTGTTGTCAACAACGAAATAACGAAATCCGAGTAACACCAACACCAACCACAACAACAACAGCAACAAAGACAACAGAAAAACAACAACAACAAAGAAGTACACAAGTACAAAAATCGCCTTTATTCGCCCGTTTATTCCCTTTTCAGTTGTTGTTTCTTTTTAGTCTCCGTCTCCGTCTCTGTCTCTGATTCAGTTTTGGTGTTCTGTTTTTCTGTTTTCTGTTTTCGGTTTTGTGTGTTTATTCTTTTTTTGCTGCAAGTGCGATTTCTGATGTTCTCTTCCGTTCCATTCCATTCGCGGTGTCATTTTTGTAGGCCGAAAAGTGCATAAAATAGCCGTTACTTGTGGTTACCGCAAAGAACCGTTTTACCAATTTTGAAATGCCAATGCCGCTAGACAAAAGCATCAAGGAGAAGAGGAACACTGCATCAACAGTGGCAGGAGCCGCCATTACAAGATAAATTGGGGAACCATTTAAAAGCGTAAAGCCCGTACACACACACAAACACACAGATAAAAACAGATAAAGATAAAGAGAGCAAATAAGAAGAGATCTCAGCGTAACGCCTACGGCAGCAAAAACGGGTGGGTGGCAGGAGGAAGGAGGAGCAACGAAAAAGCTGCTGACTACAACAAAAATTCTCAAATGGTAAGCAAAGATGAATGAAGTGAGCAGAAGAGAGAGCAAAACAGAGAGGAAAATACGGTGTGCGAGAGAGAGAGAGAGCGAGAGAGAGATACATGAGCAAGAGAGAGGATTCTGAGAGAGCCATTTAAAGATCGGTTCGGTTCGGACAGGAATGCTAGAAAATCCAATGCCAAATACAGTTGCAGTTGCATTTACAGTTACAGTTTCAGGGTATAAAACGGAGATTGAGATCGCCGATCTATGCATGCACATTAATGTGATATATAATACGCTCCGTAATGATGGCCGAAAACTGCTTGGACTTTGACGTGGGTTAGTCATACTCGTATTTCTCAGAAATAACCATGAGATGACTGATCTTCAACCAATCAGATGTACGTACGTATGTACATACATACTATGCGTATGTAGATCTATGTATACATACATATGCACACATATGTTTACTCTAAAAGATATTCCGAAAAACAGTGCATGACATTTCGATGAAAATTGTCAGATAAGAAATTACCAATTTCCAAACAATTTGGATTTTTAGAGAATTTCAATTCGGCTTCAAAGCGATTGTTTTTGTTTTTTTTTTTTTGTTAAAACACAATAAAATAAAAAACGCGCGTTTTACCAGGAGCCACATTAAATGATAGAGAAGTACACAGTTCAATTTAACATTTTTACATGATAAAAATAAAAAAATAATAAACTTTGTTCAGTAGGAAATAACAAACTTGGGTTGGGTATTTGAAATAAAATACTCTCTAGAAATAATAAGGGATTTCATTTCCTTCAAGGCTGTTTCCCTTCGATCGATTGTACTCATAAGGATCTGTGTAATTTTATAATCAGATCGATTGTACGTCGTATATTTTAGAGTTTCTGAAGTGCTTTCTCTTTTACATCCCAATAAAAATGTTTTCCACATTTGTTGAATGCAAAATAAGTACAGAAATACAACCTTATAAAGTGTGTATCTACTACATTCCAGAAATGTCTGATTTGGGGAGGTTCCCATTTCAGCGACATGTTGTGCCTTACTCATAATACAACACCATAGATACCATTTTCGGCAGATATAACAGAATTATTTCAAAACATTCAAAGATAAAGGCAAGAGGAATCCAATAGTTGGAGATAGTGAAATCTGAAAATACTACACTTAAATCCGATCCGACACAATATGTTTGATTTCAGTGATGGAAGGGATCCACAAGTTCCTATAACCAACCAGTAATATTTAAACCATTAGTTTGATTAGTAAGAAGGCAGAATCTGTATACGGAAGAATTGCTCTCTTTTATACTATGTAGAAATAAAATCTACAAACCCGAACAATCCTTGGAAAATCGGAGATCAAATCAGTTAGAGAGAAATTTACGCCACATTTATTATTATTGTAAAAGTGCAAGCAATAACCAATCCTCACCATCGATCGCCGATCACCGGTCTTTACAGGAGACGAAGAACCCACCCCCAGTGACGACTAGCAACTATCACCACCAGCGGGCGCCGCGCACACCGGAAAGCTACTTCAATGTGCCAGAGTCGGTGGCACTGCTGAATATTGTGAAGTCGGAGCGGATACAGAGCGCGTTCCAGTCGAACCGGAAGAACCATGCCAGCGTGTGGGAGATGGTGGCCGAGGTTCTGAACCGGTTCAGTGCCCGCAAGCGGACGGCCAAGCAGTGCTGCAACCGGTACGAGAACCTCAAGAAGATCTACACGCAGCTGAAGAAGAATCCGGAGCGCCACGTGCGTCGCAACTGGCCGTACATGTTCCTGTTCAAGGAGATCGAGGAGCAGCGCGGCGAGTGCTGGGGCTCCAACGGCAAGCGCCTGGCGCTCATTTCCAAGAATCACAACGAGCTATCGTACTATCAGCGCCGACGGCAGGCAGCCGAGCTCGGCGTCCTGCTGAACAAGGACAATCTGACGCCCCACCAGCACAACCTGCTGCAGAGCCTCAGCCAGAGCCATGCACACTCCACGGACTCGTCGCAGAGTGGGGCCAGCAAGCTGGAGCGCTTCCTGCCCAACCACTTTGTTGAGACGCAGCTGAGCGAGGTGCCCTGCTCCAACGGCAACGGGCTGACGGTGGGCATGCCTGCCGGCGTCTACGACGACAACCCCAATCCCCTTCAGCTGCATGTGGCTGGGGCTGTGGCGGCCGCCGCTGCTGCCGCTGCCGTGGCCGCCCAGAAGCGGAGCCATGAACTGCACCTGAGCAATGGCGGCTGTGTCCAGCTTCCGCCGGACGAGGACGAGGACGACGAGCCACAGAATGCTGCATTTAAGGATCATCATCATGGACACGTCCATGGTCTGGGGCATGGTCTTGGCCTGGGCCATGGTCTGGGTCATGGTCATAGTCATGGGCACATGGATGACACCGTCGAAGCGCCCGACTACGAGAAGGACTGCAATGGAGCCCTCAACTTGCACCATCAGACCAATAACAACAACGACAACAACATATCCATGAAGTGAGTATATCGGCCATCGATTTTCAGGGCTACTCGGTCACTCGGACTTAACATTAAGAGACGAACACATAGAAAAGGGCAATCGAACTGCAGTAAACATCAAAGAAATCCAAACACATAGAGCCTGCACCATTAAGAGGGGTTTTCTCCTTTCTTTTTTCTCCCCAAGACATAGACTTATTCTGATTCCCGAACAAATTACACAATGCAACAGAATCGAAGTTTTTGAAGATGGAAGGAACCGAACTTTTCTCTGATATGCTTGGGGCCTCAACATTTTATGAATGAATTATTCGTATGATTTTAATTTTCAAATTTGTTTTAGGGTAAACTTTCCTTTTCCAATAAAAACTTGAGTATAATATATCTGGCTTTAAAGAACTTTCCAATTCTAAAAAGATAATGAATGCAGCTCTCAAACGACCTTGAAATCTTTACAGATTAAGCTTACCGTCTGGGAATTATGCTTTGATCTATGATCTTTAAAAACTCATGAAAAGTGGAAATCAATTAGATTCTTGTCGCTTAGGGCATCGATTATAAGAATACATGGATAAGCTAGCGAAAAAAATACTAAAATCATAATTAACTTACAATTTGGGAGACCCATGTCTATCAGAAAAAGTTGGTTTATTGCACAGTGTTATTTAGACAAAAGTTGGTTCAGGGTTCAATCAGGCATTAGAAAACCAAACCATAACGAACTCCATTCCTGCCATTCACAGATCGGAGCCACTTTCGGAGGGGGAGTTCAATCCGGATGACATTCAGCTGATGCAGACCAACTACAATGGGTGAGTGAGTGGCGGGAAGGGGGAGAAGATATCGTCAATTTCATGCTCGTATCTCTTGCAGGACACAGAACTATTACTCGCCGGGCATGGACCAGAACATACTGCATCCGGATGTGATCGTGGACACGGACAATCTGTCCGACTGCAGCTCCTCCACCTCGTTGAAGAAGAGCAAGCGCAAGCTGTCCACCTCCACCGATGGCGACAGCACCAACTACGAGCTGATCGAGTATTTGAAGCGGCGCGAGAAGCGCGACGAAGAACTCCTCAAGCGGATGGATGCACGCGAGGAGCGCTTCATGAATCTTCTGGAGCGGACGGTGATTGCCATTGAGACGCTGGCTGCGGGCAGGACGTCAGTCCCGGTGTTGGTGGCAGACACAGGCACCCAGCTGGGTACCAACAGTCAGTCGATAGCTCCTTCTCCCTCAGCACAGACACCACCAGCAGCAGCAGCGGCAACAGCAACAGCAGCAGCAACAATAGCAGCAGCAGCTTCACCGCTACCGCCAGCATCCTCCACTCATCTGATAGCCAAACCCTCCGAGCAGTCCATCCCCGTATTGTCAGTCAAAACGTCACCCAGCCCCCGCAGTCGCAGTCCGACATTGGAGCGGGAGGAACCAAGCAGCGCTGTTGTTGTGGTCCCCGATGAACCGGAAGTCGATGCTCAGGCCGAGGCACTGGCAGCGGGTGCTACATCTACGGATGCGTAGGATATATATATATTTGTACATGTATGAACGCTCTCTAGATCTACTACTTAATCCCCCACAATATCTACCAAACACCACTCCTGAACCGGATGGAGGAGACCCGGATCGGAGAAATTAGTACCAAAGACGAGCTACGTCTCGAATTTTAATTGAGATTTGCAACGTTTACTTAGTGCCGCGGACGCAGCGCCATCCCCGTTCCATGACAGCCCACGTGCTTAAGGATTCCCCCGAACGGAGGAAGCCCCAATTGGAATATTGCGAATCGCAATGTTTGTGCCAGAAATACTATAATTTTAAAAATGTTTACTTAGTCTAAGTTCAAACCAGAGGAGCAGCAAGAGCGGGTGGAACTCCGCAGTATCATTTAGAATAGAGTTGTTCCGGCACTGCATCTTCGCTGCTCTTCTCCTGCTGCTGGGTCGGATCGGCCGATTTGCCATGATTTTTAGCAATCGAAAATTTCTATGATAATCTAGTTGCGAGCTGAAATGGGGCTCAAATGCATTTGTGCAGGAACTTATAAACATAATAATCTCTCTCACTCTCTATCTCTATTTTTTTTTTGTAATCTAGATAAATACACAATTTTTCGAGAAAAAAAACATTTTATGCCTATAACTATTTAACTAGAATGGATACGCGTACAATGGATACGATAGATGCGAGTATCTGTTAACCTATCTGGTAGGGATTTTCGGATTTTTGTTTCTGTGCTGCTTGATGTCCTTGCTAGGTAGGTTCTTGCGGGTCTTGGCTATCTTATTGCCGATCAGAAGCTTGAGGCGGCTCTTCACCTTGTCATAGTCGGCATGATCCACCTCTGCCTTGGTGGTCCTGAAGAACTTTGCCCCTTCTGCAACACAAAGAGAAATAGTTGGAAAAGAGAAACACGACACACATCTATGTACGAACAGAACAGCCTTACCTTTCAGCCTGGGATCGTTCTTGGGAATGAAGAAAGACTCCATTTGGATTTTGGGTTTCTTTTGCTTGGATTTCTTCTTGGATGGCTCCTCCTCGTTCGCAGGCTCACTGGAGACAAGATCTGGATTCGGGTCAGCTGCCGGCGGTGCCTCATCCTCACTTTCAGAGGAATCGTAGCTGAAGGGATTGTGGGTGGCCAAGTCTAGTTTGTTGGCATTGGCCTTGGTCACCAGTATCTTCTCGCTGCCCAGCTTCTCCAGCTCGTCCTGCCGCTTTGCCACCTCCTCGTCGTGGGCACTGCCAAACATGTCCAGCAGACTGAAGCCTTCGCCCCGCATATTGAGGGATTGCGTGAGGCTGTCGGTGACCACGTAGAAGGCTTCCTTTGAGACTGGCGCCTGGGCAGCGCCCTTATCTTTGATCTTTGAATCCTTTGTCTTTGGCGTGGAGTTCTCCTTCTCCTGGACCTCCTTTTGCCGCACCAGTTTTTGGTGACCTTCGTTGGCCGGATCGAAGCGTAGCATTTTCTTGGTCTTGGCCGCCTTGCGCTCGTTCTCGTTGCTAGTGGTAGTCAGCTTTCGTCCCACCACCTGCTCCAGGATGCCCATTTGCCAGTTGCGTTCGCTCTCTTGTGGCTTGTCCTCTGGATGATCCACACCATCCTCCTCCTCGTGATCGCCTTCTTCCTCGTCGACAAAGGTGGCTGTGATGCGAAAACGGGGATCCAAGCTTTGTTTGCTCTGCATTTCAACCAAACGTTCTCCCTTCTTGCCCTCGTACTGGGGGATATTAACCTCCTCATCGTCTTCCTCGCCATCATCATCATCGAAGAGATCTAGCTTCGGCTGCTTCTTCGGCTTCTGCTCTGGCTCGTGCTCATCCTCCTCGGCATCGCTGAATTTGATTCGCTTCGCCCGACTGCCGTCCACAGTGATCGCAGACAGAGCCTGCTGTATGGCGGACTTCTTGTGCTGATGCTCCTGCCGCATTTTGTTAAGCGACTCCTTACGCTTCTGCTCAGCCTGGCTGACGTTGGTATCCGGCTGCTGCTTGGCCGGTTTCTTGTATTGCTCGATTATGTGCAGCGGCTTCACATCGTCTTCCTTCTGAATCACAATCTGAAGAAATACGGGTTTAAAATTGAGATACTTGATACAGAAAACTTCTCAGGATGACAAATTACCTTTCCATTGTGCATAGAGTGTGCGGCACGCTTTTTGGTGATGAGCAGCTCCGGTGAAATCTCGTCATCGCCGATCTCCTCGTCTTCGCCAAACACCCGGCGCTTATTTTGTGTATTCTCCTTAAGCAGACGGGAGGTACTTTCGTTAAAGCTTTCGCTGTACTGCTGGCCCTGCTCCCCCTGTTGGTTCTCTTCGCGCTCACGCTTTAGTCGATCCAGGAAGGACTCCTTGGCCACAGATATCCTCAGCTTGGTTCCGTGCAGCTTCTGCCAGTTGAGCTCGTTCAGACCTACGGGCAAGTCAAGGGATTATAAAACGGCTACCATTCTGAATGGAATGTATATCCGACTCACAGTAGTGCGCATCGTCCGTCTGGAGTGTAACAAACCCGATTATTTTGTCTGGGCCATCCTCCTGCTCTTTCCGCTTCAGGTCCACCTGCTCCACATGGCCATAGTCTTGGAACAGGCTCCGCAGATCCGATTCCGTTGCTCTGGTTGGCAGATCTGCCAAGAAGAAGCGTGTACTGCTCATCGTTAAGTTAAATTTTGTTATTCAAATGGACACAAAGCGCACGGCACGTGTAGTTTGTAGTACCGCGGACTTATCGATAAATAGTATACCAAGTGCTCAATGTTGACCTCAAAAAATACCGAAAAGTATACCGTAAAGGGTCACCCTAGTGTAGCTTGTAGTACCACTGTCCGGTAACGACAACGCGCCGATTGGCGTGAGCAACTAGCTTCCTAAGAACATTGGTAAAAAACAAGATATATTGTTTAATAATTTTAGAGTCTTAAAGAAATTATGAGAAACATTATGAGGAACGATTTAAAGTAATAAACACTAACAAAAATCCCTATCTAAATGTATTTTGAAAACAAACAGATGAAAACCATAACCATGAGATAAAGATACTATTTTATAGCTTGAAAAAAATCAGCACCGATAGCTGCAGCCAGTGCTGCAAACACACAGATTTATTTTTGCAGGACGGTCACACTTAAAGAAAACGTCACATACGTATTTTTTTGTTTTGATTGTGCGAATTTTATAGAGGCAAACAGACTTTGAAAACATCGGGAAAACACTGGCGGCAATAATGGAGACCGCGACAAGCAGCAGCGACACACAAGTAGCGACAGGGACAGCCCCAGTTCCAGCTGCAGAGAAATGGGGTTTTCCTCTGCAAGAACTCTACCGACTAGCATTCACATTTTACAAACGTATGTAAACCGCAGCCGATCTAATGTGTGTGGCTTCTCTTCTAACACGTAATCGCTTACAGAGAACTCGGGCAAAGCCATTCACCTGTCCTACGAGGACAATCTGAAGCTAATCGCCTTCAAGCAGCAGGCCTCCCTCGGACCCTTCAAAACGAACCATGCTCCGGCTTTGGGCGTGCTCGATGTTATTGGCCGCGACCGCCAGCAGCACTGGCAGCTTCTTGGCGACATAAGCCGGGAGCAGGCCATGGAGGGGTTCATTGATCTTTTGGACACGATGTGCAGTGCATTTCGACCCTACATCGAGGCGGTGCGTCAGGACCGCGATGAGACACTGCGAAAAGACCTGCGCCGCATGGAACTGGAGAAAGAGGTGGCACAGAAACAAGAGCGCGAGCAGCAGGAGCTGCTGGAGGAGGGCTACAAAGAGGAGCTGCAACGTCGTCAGCTGCAAGACGCTCTCAACAAGCAGACCTACCAGCAGTTCAAGGTAGACAATCGATTTTCCACACCTTCCCATGCCACCATCCGCCCCCCCCTACACCGAGCCCTTGCACCTGTTGTTGGGTTCAATAATTCACGATGCCTGTCTGGGCTCGGTCGGCTCTGGCCTTGACGCTGCCTGTGGCCCCAAAGGGGTCTTGACCCAATTCCCAAATAATTGTCTCGGTCGGCTCCAAGGGAATTACCAATTCCCGTATCTCATTCCGTCTCTCTCTTTCTCTCTCTCTCTCTCTCACTCACTCTCTCCCTGTCTCTATGTCTCTTCTAAGCTGTATGCCGAGAAACAATTCCCGGGCAATCCTGAACAGCAGGCTGTACTCATACACCAGTTGCAGCGCGAGCACTACCATCAGTATATGCAGCAGCTGCATTTGCAAAATCAGAATCAGACCCAGACACAGAACCAGAACCAGACCCAGGAAAAGGCCCATCAGGAGAAGGAGGAAGTCGCTCCGGCCAACAACAATAATAGCAGTACCGAATTAGTAAATGCCATGGATGGATTAAAACTGGGTGATTTCGAGCAGCAGCAGCAGCAGGCAGAGGAGCAGCCCGATCAAGAGCACGTCGAACAAGCACAGACACAGGTAGGGGAGTACGGACAGGAGCAGCACCATGGGAACGATGAGTACGATGATTATGTGATGATTCGACCGGCCAAAATCTGGACGCGACCCGACATCGAGCAGTTCAAGACTGAAGTGTCCGCAGGCGATGGCGATGGCGTCATTACCATCGGCCACGGCGACACGGTTACGGTGGGTCTCGGTTGCAGCACAGCACTGAAGAACGCCTTTGAAATTTAACATTGTGGGTTTTTTGCAGGTTCGAGTGCCCACCAATATGAACGGCAAGTGCATTTTTTGGGAATTCGCCACGGACAACTACGACATTGGATTCGGGATTTACTTCGAGTGGGCCAAGCCCGTGACCAGCGAGGTGACGGTGCACGTGAGTGACAGCGATGAGGAGGAGGATTGTGTGGACGAAGACTATTTGTCCACCACCGAGGACCTGGAGTCGGGCACATTGTCGCAGGACCACAATGGCCTGAGCAATCCGAGTGCTGCCTCAAAGGCGCCAATCTCAATTATTGTGCCCATCTATCGGCGTGAATGCTACAACGAGGTCTACGTCGGTTCGCACTCCTATCCGGGCGAGGGCGTCTACTTGCTGAAGTTCGACAACAGCTACAGCATCTGGCGCTCCAAAACCCTGTACTATCGCGTCTACTACGAGCGCTAAGAGGCCAAATTTAGAACACCATACCCCATTTACTTAAGCGAAATCTATTATCTACATATATTTAATATCTAAATATTTACGGTACAAGCCTTTGCAAGTTCTGTGCAAGTCCAAAACATTACGATGCTGTGTGGGTGTTGGTGTATGTATGTTTATCTGATCTGTGTGGATATATATGCGTTAATCCATCTCCAAAAATCAAAAAAAAAAATACAGATCAATTCCCAGTCGCGGCTCTGAGATGGATGCATTCAAATCAATATAATTTATTATTTAGTTTTTAATAAAAAGAAGGAAAAGACATAAATCCGATAGATGTAACTGTAACTAGTCGGTGGTTGCCAGACTGGCACTAGCAGCGCTGCCAGATGTGCGGCATAACTATCAGCAAGTCCGATAGGATTACCTATCGGCGTTTCGCTTTCGTTATGGCTTATCATTTATCCAGCGCCCCGATCAGATTTCGATTCGCTGCTGGGCTAGGACTGCTGGTCCCCAGGCGACGCTTAAGCTATGTCCTGGGCATCGAAACTTCCTGCGATGACACGGGCATTGCCATTGTCGACACCGACGGGCGGGTGCACTCAAATGTCCTATACTCCCAACAGGAGTTCCACACGCGGTAAGTGCATAAGCGTGCATAATCCATATGAATATGAACTTCACCTCTATTGGCATATTCGCAGCTATGGCGGCATAATTCCTCCACGGGCTCAAGATCTGCATCGAGCGCGGATTGAGGATGCGTATAATCGTTGTCTTGTCGAGGCGGACCTCAGACCGGAGCAGCTGACGGCGATTGCTGTGACAAACCGACCTGGCCTGCCGTTGAGCCTGTTGGTCGGCCTGCGCTTCGCCCGCCACCTGGCGCGAAAGCTGCAGAAGCCACTGCTCCCGGTACATCACATGGAGGCGCATGCCCTGCAGGCGCGCATGGAGAACATATCGGCCATCAGCTTTCCCTTTCTCTGCCTGCTCATCAGCGGTGGCCACTGCCAGCTGGCCCTAGTCCGCGGCCCCGGTAGGCTGACCCTGCTCGGTCAGACACTCGACGATGCCCCCGGAGAAGCTTTCGACAAGATTGCCCGCCGCCTGCGCTTGTATGTGCTGCCACAGTATCGAGCATGGAATGGTGGGCAGGCCATCGAGCATGCCGCTCAATCGGCTGTCTGTCCAGACGCCTACGACTTCCCCCTACCGCTTGCCCAGCAGCGAAACTGCAACTTCAGCTTCGCGGGTATAAAGAACAACTCGTTCCGAGCCATCCGGGCAAGGGAGAGGCTCGAGCAGACCCCACCGGACGGCATCATCAGTAACTACAATGACTTTTGTGCGGGCCTACTGCAGGCCGTCAGTCGCCACCTAATGCACCGCACCCAGAGAGCACTAGAGTACTGCCTGCGACCGGAGAACGGGCTATTTGGCGACGCCTCGCCCACTCTGGTGGTGTCCGGGGGGGTGGCCAACAACGATGTGATCTACCGGAACATCGAGCACCTGGCCGGGCAGTACAACTGCCGGAGCTATCGCCCCTTCAAGCGCTACTGCTCAGACAATGGTGTGATGATCGCCTGGCATGGCATCGAACAACTGCTGGCGAATAGTGCACAGCATTTAAGATTCGACTACCACAACATTGACATACAGGGCTCCGCCGGATTCAAAGACTCCTCCGTTGAGGATGTGACCCGATCGGCCATCAAATGCAAGTGGATAAAGCCGCTCGACCACCTCAGAGGCAGAGCCACGGCGGAGGCCGGCCACTGCGATGCATAGACAAATTGTTAGTTTTTGTAATTTTCGTTTTTGTTTGTTTTTTATTTATAAGATTATTATCTGAAATCAATAATGTTAAATCTCTAAGATCTAGGAAAAAAAACTGTGTCAAAATTGATAATGTATACATATAAAAATATTAAAAAATGCATTAGTTCGTATTTGCTTTCTGTTTTTCTGTATTCTGTTTACGGTTTTGCGTTTTCCGTTTTCTGTTTTCTGTTTTGTGGCTGCTCTTCTGCTGGAACAACAATACAAATATTCTCTCTTGCTGGTTTTTCTTTTATTGTTATACTTTATGGATTATACATATTATTAAATATATCTATATATATATATATATATATTTATATAGATTGTAGACTTCAGTTGCGTCTCTTTCCGTTCGGCTCTCCGTCTGTCTATCTGTCCGTCCGTCTGTCTGTCTGTCTATCTCTGTGTCGCTGTGTGTGTGTTCGTTTCCTTCACATCTTTCATATATTTATGTTTATGTTTTTGTTTTGTTTTGTTGTTTATCATATTTCAATACTCATATACTTAGTTGTACACAATACGCATCGCATTCTTCGTCGTCTCATCTTGTTGGAGTTGAGTTTACCAGACTTTACTTTGTATTATATATTTTTAGTTGAATTTTTTTAGCTTTTTAAGACTCTGACTCGATTTGACAGTTGCTTGCCTCCTTTAGTTTAGCTGTTTCTTTTTTATTCTGGATTGATTTCACTTTATTTGCATTTTCCATTCAGTTATTTTGTTTTTCACTTACGAATTTGTTTTGTTGTATATATAAAGTTATATATAAATAATTTGTTTCGCTATATTGTTATTGTGTTTCATCATCTTTTCATTCTTCACTTAATTAGATAAATTGCGCCAAAAAACTATAGTGGGTGCGGAAATGGTAGGGGGTAGGCGCCCGACCCGACCTCTGGCTCTGCTTCGGGGTCGGGCGAATTGTTTTGATTTATATTTGATTCCACTTGCCATTGGATTTCGGGACTGGGCCAAGGCTAGGGCGGAAGCCTTTTGTCCGTAAGTAGAAAGATACTATTCGGACTGGGTTCAAAATGAACAGAAGCTGGTTTACTAAAACTTAACTAAAAACCAATAAAATGACAGGATATGCGGGTCTAGACACTCGGGTCTGGGACGGGGACGGGGACGCGGAACTGAAACTAGTGTAGTGCTGTAGAAGTCAATTAAAACCTTAAAACTGTTCTTGGGGGACGAAGGGGGTCTTCTATAAACTCCATAAAGGAAGAAGCAGGGCCATTGTGGTGTGGAAATAACGAAAAACACACATCATATATAGGACGAGAGAGAGAGAGAAAGAAAAAAAAAAATTATAAGAATTTGCACTTCCTTTTCTTGGTTGGTTCTGGTGGCTCCAGGGCGGCCAGTATGGCCTCATCGAAGACATTTTTCAGACCCTTTTGTGTCAGAGCCGAGCACTCCACATATTTGACGGCCTTCAGCTCTTTGGCCAGCTTCTCGCCCTGCTCCATGGTGATGGGCTTTTGCTTGTTCTTGGCCAGCTTCTCCAGTGTGCTGGTCTCGTCGCGCAAATCGATCTGTGTGCCCACCAGCAGGAATGGCGTCTTCTGGCAATGGTGCGTGATCTCAGGAACCCACTATAGACAAAAGAGGGAACCAGTTAATGTCAATGTTCATCCTCATGTGGATTCCAGTGTATTCCATTGTCGTTGTGCTCAAGACTCACCTTTTCTTTAACATTCTCAAATGAACTGGGACTGACCACCGAGAAGCAGACGAGAAAGACGTCTGTCTGCGGATAGGACAATGGGCGGAGCCTATCGTAATCCTCCTGACCGGCCGTATCGAACAGGCCCAGTGTGTAGGGCTCGCCGCCAATCATCACCGTCACCGCATAATTGTCAAAGACAGTTGGCACATATTCCGATGGAAATTTGTTGGTTGTGTAGGAGATGAGCAGGCAGGTCTTACCCACGGCTCCGTCGCCAACGACCACGCACTTGATGGTTTGCATTTTGTGGAAAACTCCTGCAAGAAAGTGATAGCAAACGATTCAAACTACTCTTCAAAACAGTATCAAATCAGTTGGGAGAGGGAGAGAGAAGGCCGGGACAATCGAGTGTTTTCATATCGAGTGAACCTGTGACACTGTGCTCACCCGCACCCGCACCCGCACCAGCACCAGCACCCCTTCTTCCAGCTCAATTATTGAACACAAAGACACCACACCACAACACCACTCGCACCAGCTACTTATGTATGGGCTCCGTCTTAATTACTTTCACACACACAAGGCAGGGACGGAACGGGGGCCCATCGGGAACTTGAAACATCCGGGGGGACGGGGGAATTACTTTGCTAGACTGTATTGCAGACAACGACATAAAGCTGCCCAATTTTTTCAAGCTCTAAAAGAAAGGACAACCACCGACCATTAGGTATCGATTGCTTCTCGCTAGATGCACGTACATTTATCTAAGTAAGCCTATTGCGGACGAAAATAAGAGATATGGAAACATCTCAAGATTAAGCCCAAAAGAATAAACCCCAGTCCGTGATTGGTGGCGTAGCTCCAGCTCTATTACGGTTCGGTATACAGGTGTTTATGCACAGACTAATGATTAAATCCGTTCGGTTAAGTCGGAAATGTTCCGTTCTAGATTTGTTTCTCCGTTAATAACATCGAAGGGCAAAGACGTTCCTTTAAAGCACTATGTATATTTCCACTGATGGATAGGAGTAGATGGTCCGGTCCCCTTCTGCTTCGAAAACAGCGCTGGGGCAGTGGTGTGTGCGAGAGCGTGGGTGCGGTCCTTGCTTGCAGCAACAGCAACTTACGCGACTCCGAATAGAGGCGAGGGTGGGTTCTGGCATGGGCTAGTGGCTAGGCCAACGGTTGGGATCAGTAGTAGCTGTTTACTGCGTCAACGACGACACTTGCTGCCTTATCGGGGCGCGAAGAAATTGTATCTGAGAGAGCAGCAGACCACCGCACAATCGGCCCGCCAGCGATGACTCAAACAGAACGAGCAGAAAGCAGAAAAGCGAAATACAATGTAGATAAGCCCAGACAGCAGCAAAATTCTAATGTGAAACCCACACACACACTCCCATACAGAGCAGAGTCGCATAACTTCGGTGAGTTGGTGTGTGTGTGTGTGTTTCTGTGTGTGTGCGGTGTTGCGTGTATGAATGCGTTTAAATGCAGTTTTTTACTACATATGTATCTTGACGCCGACTGCCACTGCGACAGCGGCTGTAACTGCAGTTACAAGAGCGGGCAATATGCTAATTTATTTGGACGCAGACCATCTGCACATGTGTGGTACCCGTCATGTAAACTTGTTTTTTGCCAAAAACACAAAAATACACACACACACATGTACTGTCTGCCATATACAGTTAATAGAAAGCCCAGCACACTATTTACAAATTGAAGACGCATTGATTGGAATCCACAAAAAACAAAAAAGAGGAATATAATGATATTCGGAACCAATCATTTGTCACTGAGACACACCATCTCACTCACACACAAGCACACACACACGCAAGCACGCCCCATAGAAGCAGCCAAGAAGCAGTCATCGATAACGTTCCGTGTTCGTTCACTTTTCACTTCAGAATTTTCTCCTTTCTTTTTGTTGGTAATTTGTAAGTTTTGAAGCTTGGTTACCGGGTATACTTAATAGCTTTGCCACACTGATTTTACTTACAATTTATTGTAATTCTGCTTGATAGTACGTCCGTTCTATTTCTTTTTCTTTTTTGGAGTGGGTTGGGTATGGAAAACTACTATTTTTCTTTTGTGTGTTCGTGTTCTCTCCAGCGGACTTTTCGATAAAAATATACGGTCCCATTTTCAAAATATACCGTAAATATACTGACGAATTATTCAAGTTCCGTCGTACATATCCTCGTTTTTTATATTCCGTCGAATATGACTAACTAGATGGAACCCTCAGCCATGCCATAATTTTTTCCGATTTATAAATCAATACTTGATTATCTTATTCTAAATACTTGCTTGTATTGGATATTGTCTAAAAAAGGGTTTAGCGAAAAAGATCAAACAAATAAAATGTAATAAAGCGTAAGAGAAAAATTTTTCATATTGCTCAATTTAGATATTTCGTTAAATAATGCTGACTAACTAAAACTCTTAGCTCTACCCACTTAATTTAAGGACATTGATGAATACATTTTCTGCAAGATAAGCTACTTTTAAGTACTCCTTTTATTGTATTGTGTCTAAAACAAGGTTTCAACAAAAAGGTCAACAAAATAACAGTGGAAACGTAAGTGAGTATGGAATGTCCCGTCATTTCTTACTTATAGCATGTCAACCGGAGTATGGACACTTGTATACCCTACTTCATTAATTTAATATGAAGATACTGTTTTCCCAGCTGTTTTAAAATGTTCTTAATAAAGACGTTTTCGCAGATTAATATGTTTTAAACATATTCGTGCATATGAGCAGTGTCTTGTTTTTATATCTCGATTCCAAGACCTATTCTTGGTCTCTAGAATACAATAAACGGTAAATTTTCATTGAAATAGCTTTAAAACAGAGACTAACTAGCTTTTGCATATATTGGAGCTTGAAATGACAAACATAACCTGAATTCTATAAGATCCTTTTCCCTAGGGTATGCAGAACTTTGTTCAATCCGCGCCATCTTGAAGGACAATGCTGCCGCCCATACAATTTCAATGTTGCCATAGGACGTAAGAAAAGATAAGTGAGTATGGTATGTAGGGACATTGCTAAGCTGAAGGGACATTGTGGCGAGAAAAAAAGATATCCCATTACAAAGAAAAGATCAGGTTCCAACAAACTTGAGCGCCAAAGATAAATTTTTTGAAAGTGAATGAGCGACAAGGATTTAAATGCAATCCATTGGAATAAATGATGCACGGATGTACGATTTGAGAGAGCGAAAATTCAAAAAAACCAGCGTATGGAAGTTTCTTTACCCTTTGTTTTTAAAAATTCAATTTAATTGATTGATGAAATTGATAAAATATACCATTATATACCGGTATACCGTATATAGCATATGACGAAGTATGACGAAGCGTAGTGTTGCCACTGTACCGAAATATGTTCACCAGACCCGGCACAACATAACTGGTATATTGAAATTAACCTATTATGTTTTTTCAATAGAATCAACAGAACATTATTAACGTAAAATTCGTCAGATACTGAAGGCTTATTCAGTAACTTCTAATGCTAATATTTATTTCACCAACCGTGCGTTTTGGTTCATCCAACGCTGGTTCTTAAGACACGCGGTCACACTGTCAAAACAGAAGAAAAGAACAGAAAAGAACTGGCCCAGCCAGTTTAATTTACTGGCAACAGAACGGAATGGCTGGATTTCTAAAGACAAGGTGAGCCAAGAGCTGGTGCAAGTGCAAGTGCATCTTGAGGATGCTTTAAGGCATCGAGTATCGATGAGCCTGCGGAGTGAACTAGACGATTGTGATGGGTGGGGAGTTAATGAGTGCGCAGTTTGGTTTCGTATAAGCCTGGTAGCACAAAAATAAATACATCTGATTGTGATTTGAACATCTGTTCTTTCTGCCCTAGAAAACGCAGTCGTGAGGATGACCTACCATGCGAGTCCACGCCCCTCTCCAAGAGGATTAACAATCTTCATTTGAACTACGACGATGGCAACAGCAGCAGCAGCAGCAGCTGCAGCATACCGACTCAGCTAAATGACTACAACAATTACAATACAGTGCCTGTGATCGTTGGTGGGCCTGCAGCCGCAGCCGCGGGCGCACCAGCAGCAGCAGCGGTGGCCGGGGCTACCAATGCAATTGATATCCTAAATGGAGACGGAACAATATATGGATATAGACCTGAGCTAGGTCCCGACCAAAATCCCTATTACTATGATAAGAACAAAATGCTATATGACTTGCATGTCGAGCGTGTCAAGCGGAACACTCACTAGACTTGGTACTTATGTATAGGCAGAAAGATTAGGATGGACTTGTGGCATGCTGTCTGAAACTTTAAGCAAACCGATGCACTAGCTACAACTTCAAATACACACTTTAAGCAGGGAAAATTACACTTGCCACAAGCATGAGCATACACCCACCTACATTCACACACACACACACACACCAATCAGTCTAGTACAGGACAAAAGAATCAGATGTCATGTCAGCCTTAGTGCCAATCGAAGCTCAGATTGCATTGCCAAGTCCGAAATTGTATCATTTGTAATTGTAGTGTTATGGTAGCTGTTAAAAATTGTGGTATTCTGTGTGTGGAGTAAGCTACGGACCCAAATTACTCATGTAATTCTACATATGTGAGGTAAAATGGCAAAGTAACAATCAGTAACGCACTATATCCATCTTAAATTTCCATTCTGGCACATTTAGTCTAAGCATTTATTGTATGATAGTTCATTAAGTTGTAACCAAGTACATATACTAAGATCTGAAGAAGTCGAAGTTTTTTGAATTTTGGCGCTTTGACAGTGTCATGCACAAGTCTTCCGACGTCTATCATTTCGCAGCACTGACATTATATAGTTATTCTTGTACCGGAGCGGAGGGAAAATGTTTCATTAAAAATGTATCCGACAATGAATTGCGTTATATTTCTGAAAATGTAAGAACAAAGAACAAATTGTAAATTAATGAAAATATATAAAAAATAAATTACAACTAAAAAATCTGGTCACACTCGATTCTTTATCCATGCAGTGATGCCAAATCAGTCTTTTTCCTTTCAGATTTAGACATAGCGGGAAAATATTGAAAACAGTGGGCATCGGGAATTCATCTCAAAATGAAACCAATTAATTAATGAATGGGTAGTACTGTATAGTAAATGATAAATCTGCTTACTTGGTTTTCTCGAAACAACGAGATTGTGTATGCGAATATGGATTTTCGCAATTCGAAGAGATTCAAAACTTTTTGTTTTAATTCTAGCTGTTTTTGTGTGTTATGTTTAAGTCCATCTAGCTTTATTTTACAAAAAAATATGTCAGCACTGGCAATGCAAGGCTAATCGTCATTAAAAAGTGCCCTGTTAATTTATTGCATTAATCCAATAATCCAATAAAAGCAATTATGTACATTGAGCCAATCAAGTAGAAAATAGATTTATTAATCGTATAAAATTATGTGGGCATGGCAAAATGTTTTAGTTAGTTAATAATATTTGACGGAATATCAAAATGGAACAATAGGAACGACTAAACTCTTTCGTTTGTTTTGTTTGACCATTTTCGCTAAAACCACTTTACGAAAAATGCAATAAAAGCAAGTGTTAACAAAAAACTCGTCATTTAGAAAATAGATTCAGTAATCGGATAAAATTATGTGGGCGTGGCTAAATGTTCTATATAGTCAGTAATAATCCACGGAATATCAAAAACGAGGAATATGTAAAATAGAACTTGAATTCGTCAGTATATTTACGGTATATTTTTAAATGAGACGGTATGTTTCGGTATATTTCTGTGGGTCGGACGGTATATTTTATCGATAAGCAATAAACACAATTAACATTATAAATTATTATAAACAATTAAATGAAGTGCGAGTTTCCTTGCTTTTTTTTCGTCAAAAATAAATACTTCAACTATTTCATTGGTGAGTGAGCCTGCTGCACACTGCTTGTCCGCTCTCCAGGCCAAGTGCGCAGCCTTTCGTTAAATATTGAGTGTGACGGGCGTGCAGTAGCATATTATATTGTTGTCTTTTTGTACGTAGCCGCCTTCAGCAGACAATTGCCAAAAGCAGCAACCCATTTCACTGCAACATGACCGTGTGTAAATGTGCAGAGAGATGTGCAACAAAGGATCGTAGGAGTAGCATCGCTAACACCAGCAACCAGGGGGCGAACCACTAAAAACGACCGAAATAGCACGCAACAAGTTCTTATACGAGTCGAGAAGCACAAAACATCGATACACAGCCACCCATATATACGAGTGTATAGATAACTGCACACCACACTTAATTACATATATACATCATAATCATCACATAATCGGCAGTGAATGAAGCAATGAGCCCGTTCGGGTCCAAGAAGAATCGTTCCTTGTCCGTGCGGGTGAGCACATTTGACTCCGAGCTGGAGTTCAAACTGGAGCCGCGCGCCTCGGGCCAAGACCTTTTCGATCTCGTCTGCCGCACCATCGGATTGCGGGAATCGTGGTACTTTGGGCTACAGTATGTGGACACACGCAACAATGTCTCCTGGCTAAAAATGGACAAGAAGGTGAAGGATCAGCGGGTCGAGCTGCATGCCAACAACAACATCTACGTTTTCAGTTTCTATGCCAAATTCTTTCCGGAGAATGTCAGCGAGGAGCTGATCCAGGAGATCACCCAGCACCTCTTCTTCCTGCAAGTCAAGCAGAGCATCCTCTCCATGGACATCTATTGTCGGCCAGAGGCCTCTGTCCTGCTAGCCTCCTATGCAGTCCACGTCCAGTACGGGCCCTACGACTACGAGACCTACAAGGACGGCATGCTGGCCGGGGGCGAGCTGCTGCCAAAGGGTGTGACCGACCAGTACCAAATGACGCCCGAGATGTGGGAGGAGCGCATCAAGACCTGGTCAGTATGCACACTACATACAAATAACGAGAAGCTAATCAATTTCGACCCATTCTCAGGTACATGGACCACGAGCCAATGACGCGAGATGAGGTCGAAATGGAGTATCTGAAAATTGCCCAAGATCTGGACATGTACGGTGTCAACTACTTTCCTATTACAGTAAGTCCCAAACGTCGCTGTTCGTGTCATTACCCATATCGTCTTCATCATCATTCACTCGACAGAATAAGAACAAAACCAAATTGTGGCTGGGAGTCACGGCCGTGGGACTGAACATCTACGATGAGCGTGATAAGCTAACGCCAAAGACAACGTTCCAATGGAACGAGATACGGCACGTCAGCTTCGATGACAAAAAGTTCACCATTCGCCTGGTGGATGCCAAGGTCTCGAACTTTATATTTTACTCGGTGGATCTGCACATCAACAAAATGGTAGTGTATTTGGTATTATAAATGCCTCGACTGTGCTAATGTCCTTTTGTCCCCTTCGTCCTTCCAGATACTCGACCTGTGCAAGGGCAACCATGATTTGTACATGAGACGCCGCAAGCCGGACACAATGGAGATTCAGCAGATGAAGGCCCAGGCCAAGGATGAGAAGCAGCGCAGACAGATCGAGCGCAAGAAGTTCATCAGGGAGAAGAAGCTGCGCGAGAAGGCCGAACAAGATCGCTACGAGCTGGAGAAGAGCTTTGAGCACCTTCAGAACGAGATGCGCATGGCGAGCGATGCGTTGGTAACTGAATCAAACAGTTTTGGAGCACACAATACCCAGTCCTATAATGAACAATCAATCTTGTCCAATTGTTTTGCTAGCGCCGTTCCGAGGAGACCAAGGAGCTGTACTTCGAGAAGAGTCGCGTCAATGAGGAGCAGATGCAGCTGACGGAATGCAAGGCCAACCACTTCAAGACCGAAATGGATCGACTCCGCGAGCGCCAGATGAAGATCGAGCGGGAGAAGCACGACCTGGAGAAGAAGATACGCGACGCCGACTTCTTTGTCCACCAACTGACGGTGGAGAACGACAAGCGTGAGGCCGAAACCGAGAAGCTCAAGAAGGAGCTCATCTGTGCCAAGATGGCTGAGCGCGAGGCCACCGCCCGCCTGCTGCACTTCCTCAACAGCGGACGCAAATCCTCAACGGACAGCCTGCTCACCGCCTCCACCGTATCCAATGCGGTCAATACATCCTCCAGCCTGGCGGCGATCAGTACGCCCTCGCTAACCACGAGTAGCTCCACCAATGACATGGAAACGGCCGGCGGTGCCGATCTAACCACGTCCGCATCACACTATCTAGTTCAGGGGGACAACTCGAGCGGCATTTCCGATGACTTTGAGCCAAAGGAGTTCATACTCACCGACAACGAAATGGAGCAGATCACCAACGAAATGGAGCGCAACCATTTGGAGTATCTGCGCAAGTCCAAGAAGCAGGTGCAGAACCAGCTGCAGACCCTCCGCTCCGAGATCGCACCACACAAGATCGAAGAGAACCAGAGCAACCTCGACATACTCAGTGAGGCCCAAATTAAGGCCGGTGAAAATAAATACTCAACGCTCAAGAAGCTCAAATCCGGCTCGACCAAGGCCCGTGTGGCCTTCTTCGAGGAGCTCTGACCTCTGCACCTCCCAGCCGTCAGCCCAATACCGATCCAAGACTACTCTCTCTTACGTTTGGGGGTTCTAATGCGTCTAATGTGTGCGTAGGGAGTGCGTTTCTAATTTGTGTAAAGCTTTTAATGTGTGTTGGATGATTGATTGATCGAGTGTTGTGCATAGATATTAATTCGTATTCGATTGTATACTCAAGCCGCTGCTGTAATAAAAAAAACAACCAAGGACCAAGACCTAGGCCACACGAACATGTGGGCTGGGCCCAAAAGTACATACACGATCCTGTTTTGATTTATTTAGTTTGCGACGAAGAGGAGGACCGCCCAGCAAAGTACTTGCTCAATGAAACAGATATTCTCAGCAATGTAGGCCCTCCTCTAGGCCTACACAACGGAACCAACGATCGACGGCTGCTTAAAGTCGGAAATGAAGACGGCCTGTTCCAAGGGCATATAGATGAGCAGATGTCTCGGGGGAGATGATATTTCGTCCCTTTCACATGCACCTTGGGCCTGGGCATGCCCCAATAGGCCGTGTAGGCGCTATCGATGGCCACATAAGCATTGAACAATCGTGGATATTCCAGAACATTCCGCCGCCATGCAGCCACAGAAGGCCGAAGCAACGCCGCCAATGCTCAGGCAAATAATCCATAGGGAGAACCACATCACGCTACCTCTTTGTCATCTTATGGCTGAATTATATAGATTCCCATGGCGTTTATCATTGGATAGAATTTGTCAAAAGCCTGCATCAGAAATTTATCCGGCTGAAGGCGTATTAACAGCGAGGACGAAGCTATCCCATCTGAGGGATGAGCGGATGTTACTCCTCTTCTGGGACGGCGTGGTACACGTCCTCCGCCTTGCCATTAACTATTTTAACTGTGTTTTAATCGAAGTTAATGTTAGTGGCACCTCCAGCAGATGACAGCGTGTTTTCGCATATTTCCGAGGGTTTCAGGAAGCAACAGGAGATTCGCTGCCCATTTCCTGGCCGCCTTCTGACAAAATCTCTGGAATATCATCTTCCTGTCACTGGCTTTGGGGCAACGTGACGTGTTTCCGGCTAGGAACAAAAGTAGAACAAAATAGAGATGCCCATTTCTTGGTCTAATCTAAACCAAAGCAGCTTTATTATCATTTTAAAACATGTGACCATTTACATAATATTACTTAGTTTCATTTTTCCATCTCGTTAAACAAATAAACGTATATAGCTCCGACGCTCCTTTTGTCACACCACTCCCGCTCTCCCTGCGCCAACACCACCGCCCTTGCCGTCACTGTGTCCAGGCGCTGGACAGGCTTGGACCGGCTACTAGCCGCTTTGGCCCACTCTCCTCACTCCGACCTGTTGGTGGCGGCGAGTGGCGATATTTTATAGTTAAAGTACTTACAGATTATACAAATAGACTTTATAGTTTATATATAAACATAATGGGAAAACAAAAAAAAAAGAGGGCAGCTGGGATTGAAATGCAGTGGAAATAAAGAGGAAAGAAAAGAAACAAACAAAAATATGATGCCACACACCACATACTCGTTACTTGTACTCGTCTCGACCGAAGATTGGCCCGAAAACAGAAGAAATCCGCCATTAGTTACAGTTACAAACAAACAAGATATGATGCATAATAATATTCAAGATTAATACATTTTGTTATCGTTTTGGTTTTTCGTGTGTTTGCTTTACTAAATAATTTCAAATTGGCTTTTTTTGTTTGTTTTTGTTTTACGTCTTTTTGTTAACACCATTGGAATATTGTGTGATAGAATTGAACATATATGTATACATACAATACATACGCTTATGTATCTAACAAATGTGAGGGAGGAAATGTGTAGAGAGGAAAGGAACAGGAGCGGGCGACCGGGGGGATCGGGGGCGCAAGGACAAACAAAATGTATTGTATATTGTAGCATGTATAACTGACCACCATGACCACGCCTGACGTCTTCATTCTCTTTATGCACAAAGTGCACGTGTAATTACTCTTGTCTGCCAATGTATGTTTATCTAAATATGTATGTGTTTCTGTGTGTGTGTGTGTGCCAATAGTTCAACCATTTCCGCTTTCAACTTATAAAAAAAAAAAATCAAATATCAACTACGAATCCTTTCCCTTTCGATACTTTGGTATGGGGGTTCTCTTTCTGAATCTCTCCCTCTATATATATATATAAATATATATAGATATATATATATATGTACTTATGTATCTCTTATATTGTCCACCCGTCCCCCATTACGCACTCTTCATAACCCAGGCGTGAGCGTCGGCTTCATCTTCTCTTTTGTATGTTTTTACTGTGTGTTGAATTGATGGGAGGTAATTTCCCAATCAGTGTATGAAAATGCGCCCGGATCTAGCCAATCCAGAGCTTAAATTGTAGTATAGTTGTGTAGGCTTTGTATGTTTTTTTTTGTTTGAATTCTGATGTGGGTGTGGAAGCCGGTAACGCCTGTGTCATTCTCCCTCTAAGGGGTCTCTTTCTTTTCTGTTATCGCTCTCCGTCTCGCTTTTTTTTGTATCTCTCTCTCTCTCTCTCGCTCTCACATAGTCTCCGTCTCAGGGGCGGCTATAAGTGTCTAGGTATAGTTGTAGTGCGTAGATATATAGACAGGTTGTATACAATGTTGAAGGTTGTTGTTGGGAGGTGGTTTAGCGATGTTAACTCAGGGACAGTTGATTCACGGCCAGGAGACGCTCCACCGCCGCATTGATGTCCCCGAATGTGGCAATCAGAGCTGTACCAAAAACAGAATGGATAAACGATTTAGTGGATAAATAACAATGCTATGCTGTGCTGATATCGCTTCTTACCCTGCAAATTGGCATCACGGTTGCCAAATCCCATGGCCGCTAGCTGCTCCAGCTGCGATTGGTAGCGCACCTCTGGCGGCTGCGTGCCGTCCGCATTGGTGGACATGCCGTTCAGCATACGCGTCATGAAATCGTTGAAGAGCTGGGCGTTGGGTCCGCCGCCCGGTGCCAGGGCAGGAGCTGATGAATTAACGCTGCTGTTGCCAGCATTTGGTACGCTGCTGTTCGACAAGGAGATGTTGTTGGTGCTGGTGGGTGCAGTGCGGCTGTTGAGAGCACCATCGCCACTGGCCGGATCAGTGTTGATGCCGGGAGGTGGCGGCGGAATGCCCATAGTGCCGACCAGGCCGGGAGCGGCACTGCGCAGCTGCTCCATGCCTTGCTGGATCTGTAGAATGGCGTTCATGGCATCCGGATTGGTCAGCATGTTCATCACCTCGGGATTCTGCATCTGTGCCATAAACTGCGGCATCATCTGGCGCACCTGCTCCTGCAGGGCGGGATTGTTGGAAAGCAGGGGACTGCTGCTTAGGAGGCGCGAAGCCATGTCCGGATCCTGCGACATGGAGTCCATCATGGAACGTGTGTACGGGGCATTCAGGAGGTTCTGCATCATGGTCGGATTGTCAGCCATCTGTTGGAGCAGGCTGCGCATGGCCGGCGTATTCAGTACGTTATTCGGTGGCTGATCCCCAGTGCGATTCGCCTGGCCTGTGGGGCCATTTGTAGAGGAGTTGGTACCATTGCCAGTGGCTGTGCCGCTGCCGCCCCATGGATTGGGTAGTGGGTTGCGGTTCTCAGTGCCCTGCTGGGGATTGGCGGCAGCCGCTCCGCCGCCCTCGACGAGCCCGGCAAAGGGATTGCGCCCGAAGGACTCTGTGGCGGCATTCATCATGGGCTCCTGGATGTCACGATAGATACGCTGCAAGGCACTGTAGCCGCCTGGCACCGACTCCAGATTGGACATGGCCCGATCGTGCGAGCGCATCAGCTCCTGCAGCATCGATGGGTTGCGGGCCAGCTCCATGGTCTGGCGCAGCAGATCGGGATTGTTGAGCATGTGCGTGATCTCGGGATTGCGCTGCATCAGGTCCTGCATCTGCGGATTCGAGGTAATCAGCTGGCGCATGGTGTCCGGGTTGTTCATCATCTGCTGGACCAGGGGATTGTCCATCAGGGAGCGCAGCATGTCCCCGTTGTTAAGTAGCTCGTTCTGCATGCGTGCCTGCAGATCCATAAAGGTGTTCGATCCGGCACCCAGGGCCTCCATGCCTGCCAAGCCACCGAACTGGTTCAGGCCGAAGGGCGTCTGACGCACATCGGCGGGAGCACGGGCCGGCGCTTCGTTGTTGCGCGTCGGCGACTTTATCACCAGATGCACCGTCAGCTGGTCCTTGATGTTGTGCATCTTGAGCGTATCAGTGTCTTTCATGATTTTACCTGCGAAAATCAGCACCAATTGCTCCGGCTCTGCCTCAAATTTTTGTCCAACCAGAATCTTGAACTGAAAAAAACACGAAAGGAACGGAAGAGAACGTGAGATGTGGAATATGACGTTGCTGATCCACACCAGAAGACCGCTTCCGGGTGGGTGGATCCTCAAGGTCTGGGACAAGCAGCAAAGCAAACAATCTCGCGAGCAAAACAGCGCTCGCTTTGTATGCACACGCACTCGCGCCCGCACATACACACGCACACACGCTCGCACACACATACAGGCAGACACACCGAGGGGAAGCAAAAAGCCATTTGCACTTTGCCACCCTTTTTTTTCTTTTGAGTCGCTTCGAAAAAATGCACTGTACTTTGGGTTAATTGTGTGGCATGGCATATTTGAGTCGGCAGCGGAAGGAGGGGAACGAACCACCGACTCACATGCCCGGTTGGGTCACAAGGTGTCGTGTACTCACATCTTTTATTCCAGAATCTTCATCAACTTCAACAGTTTTCTTGTCCTTTGGCGTTTTTACAACCACGTTGATACGTTTACTGCCGCCTTCCGCCATTTCGATTGTGCAGTAAGCTAATTGCTCTCGTTTTTGATGTTTACGGACGCTTATTTATTTTGCGAAATGAAATTATAGTAGTGACTACCAATTTGAATTGCTGTAAAAATATATACGTGTTTTCAAAGTAGATTATTTTCCATTTGATGAAAAGTAATTCGTCACTATCTTACACAGGCACACACACACAACAATCTGAAATGTCATTCATACACGCCAGGGTTGTCGATAGGGTATCGATATACATCGATATTTTATATCAAATTATTGATGCTGAGTAGCGACAAATTTTTTAAGCGGTTAATTTAACCTTTGCAAGGTATGTATATGAAAAAATTATGTTCTCATTAAAATCACATTAACTTTGTTAGAAGCTCGCATTCAAAAATGAATTGTGCAGGTATGCACAGTGTGACCGTACACGCGACACCTGACCTGAGGTTGTGTTTACTTGCGTATCGTGTATCGATTCTCGATATGCAAGTGCCTAGGTAGCCAAAACGACAACGACAGCGCAGCGCGACCAAACAGGGAGAGATCGTTGTGTACCGTTTTTTTTTTGTAACCAGTGCAATAAACAATAATTGAAAGTTTTCCCAATATTGCATAAATTAACTTTTAGCGGGTTAGATCGTGAAAATAGATAGACCTTTGAGTAGATTGGTGAAAAGGCCATATCGAAATGCCATAAAGGCCTTTCCAGGAATTCTCATCACATAAACGTTTCCGAGAACCACACACCAATACAAAGCCAACAAGTGCCCCTACCAGTGGCAGAAAGGTGTGTGTGAGAGGAGGGCCACTCGCTCTTCGCGCGCGCGTGTGTGTGAGTGTGAGTGTCGGTGCCATTGCCTGTGTGTTGCTGTCGGTGTCGGTGTCGGTGCTGGTGCGCCAGTATTTGTGTGTTGTTGGCCCATTCCAAACAAAAACCCGAATCGCTGCTTATAGCTGGGAAAATCCATCGTCGAAATGCACTCGAGTCGGTCCATTGTGCAGCAGGTCCTCGAACTGCTGGCCCTGCTCGCGACCGTCTTCCAGCAAGCGGTGGCCACCGTGGAGCCAGGCTGGCTCTATCCCGACAAGGTCGAGCAGCTAATCGGTGCCGACTTCAACATCAGCTGCACCATCAACGAGACCTACTTCCGGGAGACAAACACCGCCGAATCGTGTACGGTGGACCAGCTGTACTTCAAGAGCAAGATGCAAGAGTACCGCCGATCGCCGGACATCCGCATCGTAAACAACACGACCATCATATTCAGCGCTCGCGAAGCCGTGGAGCAGGAGGATGAGTACCGGTGCATGTGCGGCATTTACGTGATTAACACATCGAAGGTGTACGTGGGCACCCGGCCCCTGCTCATCGAGGACTTCAGCTGCGTGGGCTATGACTTCAATTACATGCTGTGCAACTTCACGAAGCCGCAGAACAAAATCATCACCAAGTACAATGTCAGCTTCACCGTCTACCAGAAGGACTCCCGCTACATGTACCCGGTGGACTGTAACTTTGATGCCGCTCCGGTGGTCACCTGCAACATCACCGACGAATCCTACCAGAAGTTCACAAAGATATACTACTTCCACCTGGACATTAGGAACACGCTGGGCCAGGAGAAACAGATCATCGAGGTGAATCATTTTGAGCGGACAGTCCCCTCGCGACCCGGCCAGAATTTGACCGTGGTGAATCGCACCGAGAGCTCCATCTGCCTATCCTGGGAGATGCCGCGGCGCACCAACTATCCGCGCGGCCTCACCTGGCAGGTGCAAGTCACGCCCGTCAATTTAGCCACCCTAAAGCGCAACAACTGGCGCAACAATTCCTCCTCCATCAAGGACACTCTGTGTCTCACCGAGCTCCCCTATGCCGGCTACGACTATACGCTGCGGGTGCGCGTGCGCGGCAACCAGAACAACACCATGTGGAGCGAGCCGTTGGTCTACAACTTTGTCACCGGCCCAGAGCGACCCCGTCGTCCGCCCCTCGTCACCGACGGCAGCTTCTACGTCTACTCGTCCGAGACCATGATGCGCTTCTACTGGGAGCCGCTCGCACCGCACGAGCTGAATGGCGACGACTTCAAGTACATTATCAGCGAGTATCGTGTGAATGGAAGCCTGGTGTGAGTATATGAATATGATTCATAAATCATCAATCAATCAAATTGTCACACAGATCTGATTAGATCTTGGCCTTAAGGGAGCGATGGGGATGCGCTGGGTGGGGGATTCCTCAATAATTCATTTTGAAAGTGTCACAGCAAGTGATTGTTTCTTTGAATAGTCGGCCATACGGCGTAGTATTTGTACAAAAACTACAACAAAATGAAAACAGAAAAAAAACACATCCATTTGTACATTGGCCGTGGCCAGAGGTCCATACGATTGTACATATGGTACTAGTATAGCGATTCTACAGAAAATGTTTATTTTTAAAATTTCGTTGAAAGTGCTACACACACAGAGATACACACACACACACACACACAGAGAGAGAGAGAGAGAGGAACAAACAGAGAGTGATACAGGCAGGCACACACACACACGCAATAGCGAAAAAAACACGTTCATTTACGGTAAAGAAGAGCGAGCGGTGTGAAGAGGTAGATCGAGCGGTGTGAAGAGGTAGAATTGGTTGGTGGGCGGGGGAAGGAGAATAAGGAGGAGACGAGAGATGCTTTTTGTTTTTTTTTAACAGGAATGCCCCAAAACAGAAATAGGAGGAAACAAATCATCAGAATTCTACACAACTCTTGCACATACATATATGTAAGTGTGCATGTGCATATTGTACGTACATATGTGTATATATATATGTATATTTATACAGAAAAGAGCTTTTATTGCTTCAGAGCCATTTCGCGGTATCTCTCTCCGGTTCGGTTCGGCTTACATTCGATTTTCTGGAAGTCGGGAGCCGCCGACGCCGCCGCCGCCGCCGTAAAGCAACAGATGCGGGAAGGCACCGAAACATGGTAGAAGCCATTCCATATCGATTCGAGTTCGTAGTAATGGCGTTATCATAATCACAGTGCCATTGATGAATGCTAATTAATAGACATTGTGGGGCCTGGCCTCCTCCTTTCTGTGCGTGTGGTGTGCCGATTCGTGGAACGTGTGGGGCTGGCTGGCTGGCTGGCTGGCATCAAAGTTGAAGATTTTTCCAACGAATCCAATGTTCCTGGAAATCTCATTTCAAAAGCCACAGACGTACATATATTGTTGTTGTCTTGTGCGAGGAGTTGATTTCGAAGAAAACATGTTTAAGAAAGTGCCTAGTCCCTGGACTTGTTGGCCAAGGATTAGGACTAAAAGTGGAATAGGAATGTCACGAGCAAAAAGGAGGAGAGGAAGAGAGTTTGGTTGATTATTTACTTATGACTCGTCTTTCTTTATAGCGATCCCTCAGTGATCAAAGTGGAATCAAATTCGGCCCTAATCGAGCACTGGAACAATAATGCCAACCACGACATCCTCATACGGAGCAGCAACAGCGTGAATGCCTCGGTGAACGCCACCCACATGTCCATCGGCCCCATCAGCAATGCGGACATCAACGAGCGTGTGCCCAAGAATATCCGGAGCGTGTATCATCCGAACAACAAGAGCTACACGGTCAGCTGGGAGTCGCCCTTGGATGTGTTCGAGCTGACGAACTACACCGTGTTCTGGTGCGTGGCGAAGCCGGCCTTGCAGTCCGAGTGCGCCGGCTCCATACGTTTCGAGAAGGTGGACAGTAGGCAGCGCCAGTTCACGACGACTAAGGACCAGCCGCCGTCCCTCCACATGGCGGTCTCGGCAAACTATCGGCATCACAACACTGGCATGCGGTGGCTGATCTGCAGCAGCGACAAGAAGGACGACCTGGCAAAGATGGAGCCGACAATCGATGCGTCGAGCAACTCAACTCTGACGGTTAAATGGAGTACAGAGCGCGTCTGCCCCGTGATTCTTACCGGCTACAATCTCACCTACTGCCAGAGATCGGCCGGCAAGCCGGACAACTGCACCACGGAGGCGATCGAGGATCGCGATGCCAAGCAGTATGTTATCCGCGACCTAGTCCCCTACACCGACTACAGCGTCAAGATGCTGATGAAGTCCGAGACGCGGGCCAGCAAATACAGCGACGAGCTGATCAAGCGCACCGGAGAGGCGGCCCCCAGCCAGCCGCGTGAACTGCAGCTCCACAACGTGAGCAATTCGAGTGCCCAACTGGCCTGGAAGCCGCCCCTGAAGGCCAACGGCGTGGTGCGTGCCTACGAGGGTATCTTCCATCACGACAACACGACGGACTACTTCAAGCTTCCGGCCTCGGCCGACGAGCTGGTGGACAAGGAGAAGCTCATCTCCTTCGAGCTGGGCAATCTAACCGCCTACACCGACTACGAGGTGAGCATCCGGGCGAGAACATTGTACCCATCGGAGCCCAGCAATGTCATCCGCTTCCGTACGGCCATTGGAGGTGAGTAGATAGACGAGGCGAGGGTGTGAGTGTGTCTCATTGTTTCCATTCATTTGCAGTTCCCTCGCCACCGACGCTGCTGGTGACGAACAACAAGGATCAGAGCTCAAGACTGGACTGGAAGGCGCCGAGGCAGCCGGCCGGACTTGTGGACTACTACGAGATCTCCCTGCGCGACAACAATTCCAGCTGCCTGGTCAGCTACATACTCCCCGGCCAGAACCGCTCGCATGTGATGGCCACACCGCGATGCACCAGCCACAATCCCTTCCAGCTGGCGGTGCGCGCAATCAACGTAGAGCGGCTGCTCCACACAGGCGACCTCCAAGAGGTTGGAGAGGCCAATGGAGCACGACCGGCGGTATCGGCTAAGAGCTGCCAGGTGCACCTGGACGGACTCGGGGAGGAGGATCGTATCGCATTCGAGACATACAGCAGCAATGCCACCGGCTACCGCCTGCACAGATCCGAGTGGGGAACTTACGGATTCATTTGCACGCCGGAAATCCACAGCGTGAAGGCCATGTACCAGACGATCGAGGTGTCGTTGGCCATCCTGGTGCTGGGCGTCATCTTCTACACGGTGTACAAGAAGTACCGAAAAATGTCGGACATCGATCTGGTGCTGCCGCAGGGCATTTTGGAGACGCTGAAGAAACCGAAGGATATGGGGGGCCTGGGACTGAGCATGGGCCCCGATATGGCCTCCAGCGGTGGCATCATCTGTACACGGGTAGACGATTCACCGCAGTACACGCAACAGGACATGCCACACGACTTCAGCAGCTGCGGCAGCGAGAGCTCCAAATTGCTTCTGCGAAACACTTCCAGCAGTGGAGGGTGCACGGATCGCGACGACCGCTACGACGACCAAACGGAAATAGTTGGCATGAATCCCATGACCACCATGAACACCATGACCGCCATGAACAGCAGCCCCGCCCCACCCACTAGTTATGTGTCCATGCGCCACGGACTACTCGTTCAGAACGATAGGGAGAGCGAGAGTGAGAGGGACAGAGACATAGAAAGGGAGCAGCAGCGGAGCAGCATGCAGGAAATGCAGGCGAACCACCAGTCAAGTGGCTACATCAAGCCCACCCAAATGAAGAGCTGGCCTTCGTCCAATGCCAATACCTTGCCAGGTCCCAATGTTCCTACCGCAGCAACAGCCACGCAGCCAATGTCGGTGCCACTGTCGATGGCCCGGATGCCCCTGAATGGGTATGTGCCGGTGAACATTCTGAAGTCCCAGCCACAGATGGACCCAAACGGTGGGCACCGTGTTGCGCCAACGCCCGATGCAGCCGCGTTCTTTGTGCCAGAGCATCTGCTCAATGCGGAAAACTCGATGCAAGCAGCGTCCGACTTGCACAAGCTGCAGCCCCTGAATCCTGCTCCCACTGCAGCAGCCGCTTCACCGACTTATCTGCCAGCCATAAGTGCATCAGCAGCAGCAGCGCCTAAGGTCAACGTTGACACCGGTTATACGACCATGGAGCAGCTGCAGCGCACCGGAATGATGCAGCCACAGGCGTTCTTGCCTGCCATAAGTCCATCAGCAGCGCCCAAGCTGAACGTTGACACCGGCTATACGACCATGGAGCAGTTGCAGCGCACCGGCCTGATGAAGCCTCAGGCGTTACCACAGTCCATTGGCATGCACACATCCGCACAACCGAGCGGGGGAGCTGCGGCTGGGGCTACGACGGGCCCGCGAGTGAAGCCGCAGATCAATGGCTATGTGACGCCCCAGGATCTGAATGCCCTGGCCCACAACAGACACGTTCTCTAGGGAGAATTGCCGGGAGATGAAGTTGGGGAGAGAGAGAGAGAGAGAGTTAATGTTGCATGGAAATGCAAGCAATAACAACTTTAGTCCACATCCATACTCACGACGTCGGCATCTACGCATCAATCCATCATATTCCATTCATCCATCATCCTGACCATCCCCGCATAAGCACATCGATTCACCACAGACTATTGTCGGGCAGCTTTGTATAGTAATAATGCCATTCATCCCAAATTGGAGCAAAAAGAACGACGTTTCTTTATAATTTATTTTTCTTTGCGATGCGAGCGAGCGTGTGAGGCACAACAAGTATTTTTAATGCTGTAGTATTTTTTTATATTGTATTTGTACACTTACCTACTTAGCTCTTAGCCCGCGTCAAGCAGATCAAGAATATATGATATATATATTATAAACTAAATATACAAAAAGAAAACTATAATTTTAAGCATAACATACACTCGCACCACATTGCAACCCTGTGTCTTCATTCCATTTCTTTAATAGCTGTACGACATAAGACTTTGCTAAACTTTCTGCGAGAGATAGCATGACAGACATCGGTAAATTAGTGCTGGTAAGCGTCGCGCAGCATTTGAACTTTTAATGTTCTGCTTTCTCGCGGGACGCATTAGAATAAAACAACTCAGTTTCTCCAAAATGATATGAAACCGAGCCGTCGCACAATTTCTATCCCCAGTTTGTATGTGAAGCCTGAAAATAATTCTTTTTAGTCAATTTATGGAAGCCATTTTGAGGACCAACTTTCTCTTGTTTTTTGTCCTTATTATTATTATTTTGGACTATTAGAAATGCTGCCATACCATTATCTTCTGTTCAAATAATATGCTTAAAATTTTGTGAGTGGTTTACGTCTTCTTTGTGTTATTCTTTCTCGTTGTACGAAATTTAAATAGTGTTTTATAATGTTATACCACACACCTAGGCAGCAAGACAGCAAAATTTGTTCTGAAAATGGCAACAATCGATAATCGCTTCTCCCACCTGAACTGGAAAGCTCTCACTGTATGCTTTTCCTATATTGTGACTGCTTAACCAGCTAGTCATTTAGCAAAGTCTAATTTCATACAGTTTTAAGCCGTTTCGCTTGCGATAGTTGAACAAGAGCCAACTATCGATAAATGCCTCAGTGGAGTGAGTTGTTCGATGATCGATACCGACCTTGTTGGGTTTATTAATCCCAGTGAGTGACACTGCTTTGCTTTTGCCTGTGCAAAGTATTTATTGAGCAAATAATTTACAACCTATCCTATCAAAATGGTAAGTGAAAAACTACTAAACCAAATTAAATTTGATCAAATAAAGAGCCATATTATGGTGCGCTTATCGATGTTATTGTAATTTATCGGCATATCGAAAAGCTAAAAGGCCAAAAAACCGTTTTATCTGAACGCAACTAAACAAACGGAGGATGAGGCGCGGTCAATGGATCATTGGGTTCCCATTTGTGACCCCTAAATTCTCAGAATTTTAAATTCATTTATTGTTTTTCATAAATACAGTTCGGATGAAGAGACGGAAAAGCTGATAACGAATCAACATTCAATCCCCTGGAGCCGGCAAGCAGCATCCACTATATCCGCGTGTGTCTTATCGCGAGTCGGTATGACGAAAACGAGTCAAGTCTACAAAGAAAAGAAAAAAATGCATTGGAGTTGGGTTGAGCCATACTTGGCGATGCTGGTGCTCAGCCTAAACTGCCAACTGAACCTGGCCTCGCTAACAGTGTCTCGGGAAGAAATACGCGCCGGCGACTCGTTCAATGTCACCTGCAGCTGGGATGACGAATCGGTGAGCCCTGAGCATATTAAAATCAAGGTGGCCCCCAGAGGCAATCGAGCCAGCAACAGAATGGAGACTAACACAACGGTCGTGGAAAGGGTGGATAATGCAACAGTTGGCAAATGGCACTACGAGTGCATGTGGGATGGGAAGACCCTCGAGTCGCTGGATGTTCGGGTGGGGGCACGACTGCAGGTTGAGGACTTTGAGTGCCGCATGGATTTATACGATTCCACAATGATGACAAGCTGCAGCTTCAGCATGCCGAATGGCTACCAGCTTGAAGAGGATTTCTTGTATCTGAGGGAAAATGAACTGCCGCCAGTCCAGTGCACGGATTACCCGCACAACGCCACCCAGGTACTGTGCAGGATTGACCCGGGCCTGACCCCAAAGACAAAATTTGAAACGAGCCACAGCTACACTTTGAACATGAGAGATTCAGTCGGCAACCAAACGCAGCATTTCAATCGGACGCAAGCCCAGGTGCTGGTCCTGGATTGGCCCAATAAAAAGCAGCCTCTGACCCCGTTTGACAATCAGAGTTGCTTGATCTGGCAGAATTCCGTCTGGTCTGAACACTACCACCAAAGCGGGTCGATTGACTGGCATGTGCGGGTGATTCCCCTGAACGATGAGATCACCGAGATCGAAAATCCCTCTTACGAAGTGCGCTACTCTGGCACACGGTGTGAAATGTTTTGCCTGAAAACGCCGCCCTATCCGAACCAGCAGTTTGAGCTGCACCTGCGACGCCGCTTTAACCAGCCAGAGGCGCCTTGGAGTGAAACAATTACGCGCCAGTTCTGGGTACCAAAGTCAAAACCCAGCCGGCCGCCACGACTCCTGCCGAATGGGTTCTTCTTCGATCCCAGGTCGAAGGGGCTGTACATCTTCTGGGAGCAGCTGAAGCCGCTGGAGCACAACGGACCCAATCTAACGTACAGTCTGGCAACCACCGACGGGTAAGCTTTCATTTTTGGTCTGCCAGCTCATGATCTATCCAAATAGTTCTTCCAGAAAGCATGTGAGTCATGTCGGCCGGAACTTTGCCATGTTCCCCCACTGGGACGGCTCTACCGACTCCACTATATCCGTATGCAGTGAAAACTCCGAGGGACGGTCGTTGAACTGCAGCGATCTATATGTGCCAGTCCTAGACAACGCAAAGGAGCGACAGCCGACAGCATTGAAATACGACAAGGCCACAAACACCCTGAGCTGGACGGCGCCGGAGAGGAGCTCTGGCCTTCTGCATTACACCGTCTACTGGTGCTCCCCCGTCAACGATACACAAAAGATTTGCGACGACTCCCAAGACATTAAACTGCTGGAGCTGGACGGTGCTTCCCGGCAAGAGCACCACTTCAATGGATCGATGGAGTTGATTAATTTAGGCGTAGCGGCCACATACGGGGACAAATTCAGCGGCGGTATGAGATGGTTAAGGGTGGGACTGCCCACAGAGGTTGAAGTGGCCAAGAGCCGGTACCTGGAGGGCATTGTCGCCCTGATCGTGCTCTGCCTAATCTTCATCTCATACCGAAAGCTTCATAGATGTTCGGGTATTGAAATTGACATACCAAATGGCGTATACGAGGGACAGCGCGGTATAACGGGTGTGAAACATGATGAGAAAGATGTCACCAAAGTCCCAACCCAAGGCCACCGTGAAAACCATAAAATCCCAAAAGAGACGAATTCTGGGATTGAACTTGTAGTCATAGAAGATCCCAAAGAATGCATCAAACCTATTCCTGTTACTGTTAAACCTTCGAATGAACTTACAGGCTTTACAATGCCTGATACCTTAAAAAATGGGACAAACCCGATCTCAGATCTGAAAGCTCTGTGTCCTACCGAATCTGGAATTGAAAATACATTAAAAACGCCTGGTAGAATGGTAAAAGATAGTGCGGTAGAGAATTATAACATAGATGACACCAAAGACGCAACCCAAGACCCTCCTGTGAACGCTAAGATCCCAACGGAGCCAAGTTCTGGGATTGAACTTGCGGTCATAGAAGATCCGAAGGAATACAGCAGGCCGATTCCTGTTACTGTTAAACCTTGGAATGCACTTATAGGCAGAATGGCTGATATGGTGAGAGATGGGAAAAACCCGAACCCAGATCTGGAAATTATGCTTCCCATCGAGTCTAGAAATGAAAACACATTAATAAAGACGATACCCGGCAGAATGGGTACGACACAAAATGCCAAATATGGCATCACTCCACCGACGGTACCGAATCAGATTGAGACTGTTTCAGACATAAGGACTACTCCTGAAGGCTACATGGAAATGTTAGCAAGAGCAAGCAAGAGCGGGAGTGGGAGTGTGAGCGACAGCGAGAAGCCTTTGCCAAAATCCAACCCTGGATATGTGCAAATTGAGTTGAATAAAAGTACCAACGGTAATGGATACGTAATGCCTCCGCCTTTCAGATAACCATGGGCTCCCATCACTACGTAATACATAGGAAGTATAGGAAGAATGAGAGTAGAGGAGTATTGAATGAGTCATCATATAAAGCATATGCCTGAGCATGAGCCCTGCATCCGGTGTTTGATTTTAAATGTTATCTCGTATATTATTCATAAAAAAAAATGTTTCTCCTACAGACCATAAGAAAATTAAAAATAACCAAAGAATACATACATAAGCGAATATGTACATAGTATAATCGTATATAGTATTAAGTATATAAGAGAGAGAGTGCCAAACGAGAGGGAGAGTTGCTTTAAATGATATTATGATTAAGACGTATGTAAACAACGATCACAATGTCGAGAACCACCCCATTAGCCCATTATCCAACCGCATATTAAATGTGAAGCTGGAATTCATCGGTCAGTGATTTGAGGGGGTGGGGGTAGGGGCAGTGGCCTTGCTGTTGTGCCATTTGTACGATCCCGAGTACTGGAAGTTGTTCTCCTCGCATTTAAGATCTGCCAGCTTGGGGCCCCGCGATCCGTACTGGTAGGTGAGCGGCCTAATGTGATCCTTCTCGATCCGATGCAGGATAGGCGTGAAGATGCGCCACGCCTCGCGCAGCTCATCGGAGCGGACAAAGTGCATCTGGGAGCCGCAGAAGACGTCGAGAATGAGACGCTCGTAGGCGTCCGGCAGATACGAGTCCTTGTAGCGATGCTCGTACGTCAGATCCAGCTCCGTTTCCTCGATGTCGAACGTGATGCCGGGACTCTTGGTCATCATCTTAAAGTAGAGCGCCTCGCCCGGCTGGACGCGTATCACCAGCTCGTTGCGCTTCGTGTTTCCCTCAAAGATGTCGCCGGGCACGTCCTGATACTGGATGCGCACCTCCGCCTTGCGCTCGTTCAGTGCCTTGCCGCAGCGCAGGATAAAGGGAACGCCCTGCCAGCGCTCGTTGTTGATCTTGAGCACGCCCAGAGCGTAAGTGGGTGTACTCGAGCTCTTGCTGACTGTGGGATCGTCCAGATAGCCAGTGCGCTCGTCCTCGGTTTTTCCCTGCGGATTGGCAACGTACTGTCCCAGCACCATGTCGTCCAGCTGCAGGGCCTCTATGCACTTGAGCACCTTCACCTTCTCGTCGCGTATATCGTCCGGATGGCAGCTGACCGGCTTCTCCATGGCCACCAGAGAGAGGATCTGCAGCAGATGATTCTGCATCACGTCACGTATGATTCCAAACTCGTCGAAGTAGCCGCCCCGGCCCTGTGTGCCGAATGGTTCCTTGAACGTGATCAGCACCGAGGCAATGTTCTCGCGATTCCACGTGGAGCTGAGGATCTTGTTGCCGAAGCGTATGGTCATCAGGTTCTGTACCATCTCTTTGCCCAGATAGTGATCGATGCGGTAGAGCTGCTCCTCGTGGAAGAGCCCTGCCAGATGGTCGCTCAGCGCTTTTGAAGAGACATCGTCCCGTCCGAATGGCTTCTCCACAATCACACGGTTCCAGCCGCTATTTTAGAGACATTTTATTATCAATTCGGTATGGTACGAGTATTCGATGCGATCCGATCTACTTACCAGACAGACATGCAGATCTGCTTGATGTTGACGGTCACCTCCTCAAAGACGCTGGGCGGCAGGGCCAGGTAGAAGATGCGGTTCGCCTTGTTCTTGTTCTCCATGAGCTCCAGCTGCTGGTTGAGTAGCTCGAATCCTGTGCGTCCGTCATAGCTGCCAGCCACATACTCGTTGAGGGCCCAGAACTCCTCGTATTTGGTCTGCTCGTGTGGCTGCACCTGCTCTCAGGAAATCAAGTTGTGGTTCTGTGATTCTGTGTCCTATGTGACATTCTATGTACTCACCTTCATGTACTGCTTGCAGCTCTCCTTGAGCTTCGCTATCGACAGCTGGGAGCGGGCATATCCACAGAATTTGGTAGGCTTGGGGAGCAGGTCATCTCGGTACAGCCACCACAAGGTCGGATAGATCTTTTTTTTGGCCAGATCGCCCTGCAAAAAATAATTAAGCCAATAACCCATCTCAATCTCATTCTCAATATGAGTTATTCCAATATTATTACCGAAGCGCCAAAGATCACAAAAGTGTGCGGAATTTTACCATCAAAGTGGGTTCCCTCGCATACCATGCTGGGTGACTTGAGCGACTTGATTATCAGATCAAGAGCGGTGTGATCTGCGGACATTTTCAATTATTACATTACAATTATAATTCAAATAATATTCGTATACTTATAACTATCTAAAACGAAGGACTGAAAGACTGATCAAAGCTCCAGTGTTTCGGATCAAAGCCAAACAAAGCAAAGCTCAACTTAGCCGAACCTTGAACACATGCGTTTCGAATGCTCAGAGAGGGTCATGTGTATGCCGAATGGTGGTCGTTACATATATATACATACATCTTCGAATCGAATCAGTTAGTCCATAAGTCCAGATATAGCCAAAGCAGTACAGTACAGTACAGTACCGTGTGTGTATTAAGTAAGTACGAAGCTAAAGCATTCTAAAGCCCTTTTTAAGGTTTTTTTTTCTTTTTTCTTTTCCTAGTCTAGGTGGACCTTTCGGTGGAAATGCCCATATACAGATCAGAAATCTCCAATATCATACTGAATAATATATCCCTATACCTATTTTGACGAGAAAATTGGTCATTTTGAAAACAGAAATTATTTCCCAGAGTGGGATTGTCTATATTCAATTGTTGAATAGCGCCGAATAGTCATCGAATATATGAACATTCTTGAAGGATAAATATATAGGGTGTCAGTTTAGACATTCCTATCGCTGTCTTTTATAGATTTTAGTCAGATACTCGTAGGGTAGGGAAAGAGTGCTGTAAACTTGGACAGCAAGAAGATGCTGCTGATCGGAGTATTGAGGCGTTTGTTTGTCGACAGTGAGCATAGTAGGCGGATGCAGTGTTGGCATTGTTTAACCATTTTTTGGGACTCTGGCAAATATGACAGCCAATTCCTGGTCTCGTCAGGTAACCGGCTGTGGGCATGTGTTTGGTTTTGGTTGAGAAACTCCGTAATATCGTGGACTAGTCAAGTCAACATTACAAATATCATTTAATTTTAAGTTCTTTATGCCGGTAAATACATTTTAATTTTCTTTTTATTTTCGGTGGTTTCCTTTCATATTTTTTTTTCATTTTTAGCTGATTTTTCACTTTACTTGATACAATTTTTTGATTTGAAGGAATCAATTTAGTTTCTGCATTGACAGTTCCCTAAGACGCCCAGCTTTTAGTCGTATACTATGCACTTGATCAATTATGAGGCAAAAACAAAAGGGTGACCACAACCGGCACACTTCCCCCATTACTTAACTGAATTTTCCGTGTATTGCCAAGGAGAGCTGGGAGATGGGAGCTTGGAACTCGTTGGGAACTCACCGAGTGCCCGGAGTGGAGTGAATACTTCTGGCCTTGTTGGGAACTCACCGAGTGCCCGGAGTGGAGTGAATACTTCTGGCCTTGCCAGAGCTACATATGACCCTATTTATGGAAGTTAAGTGGCAGTCATGCACTGTGTCTGTTTCCGCCACCATGGAAAATTGATAAGCACTCGGAATAGACTCTCCAGGCTCTTGTCTAATCGATAATGACTCCACAGGTTATCCGTGGGAGAGAGAAAGAGCTCGGAACGGGACTCGGGCGCTTATAGAGGTCACCCGAAATGGGTGGTGGAGATGGGGTTGCCAGAGATCGGTGCAATCGCGCGTCTCGTACGAGTGACTATCTTCCGATACGGTTGCAAACAAACGAATAACCGAGTGCCACTTACCTGAGCATTACTTGACTTTGAAAAGGTACGCCAACGGCAGCGCCGTCAAGAGCGACGGTAGTATGGGAAAAAGGGGCGCAAAGTACACACAACGACACTGCCATTTGATATGTACATATCCAGTTGCGAGTATATACTTTACATGGTGCATGTATGTACCAATGTTTACATAGGCACTATGTAACCATCACCGAGCGAGACGCAGCCAGTGGCATCAGAAGAGCGTGGCACGAACAGTTCAGCCCAATCGCGAATATTCGCCCCCCGATCGGCCCAGCTTGGCCGAGACATTCAGTTGGCATCACTTGCTTGGGGGCTCCAGAACCAGAACAAGCCCCAACATTTAGATCAATTTGTGTGTAGCGGCATTCGAGTGTAAGTCCGGTCAAAAGCTTACGTACGAGTGTTATTACTCTTGATCTATATCAATTTTGACTCAATTTGATATCAGTAATAAGAGCTTATTCGAAGCAATCAGCAATCAATCTGAGTCAGAGATACCCTATCTTTCAATACATCTCCGATCAGTTCTATTCTACGAAAACCAGAGGATACCCAATCATTTTAATGCATACGTCTCGACTACAAATCCGAAGTAACGTAACTATGACATTGCCAAAAACTATCTGATTGGATCAGGGGGCCGATGACTCAGAAATACAAGTATACGTACATACATATGTACATATATATATTTATAGCCGGCACCCGAAGAGTAGCATATTAGATTTGTGGTAAAAGTGGATACAAGTTTCCAACCCCATAACAAATATATATATACATATATTCTTCATCAACCTCAATAGTAAAAGCTAGAGCAGCCAAATTTTGTGTCCAGACTCCTGTGTTATCATACTGTTACAAGTGTTACTGTTACCACCCCCACAAAAGGCGAAAACCTGTAGAGCCCACAATTTTGAAGAACAAAAAAAAAACGACGTTCCCGCTCGTCATGTTTGTATGTACATACATATGTATGTACGTAAAAGGTCGTAAAGCTCCTTTGGTTGACCGATATCGTGAATCAAACTTTCAATCTTCATTGGAAACGTTTACGAAAGCAAAGTCGCGAATTTGACATTGACACAGACGATTGAGGAAGAGGAGAGAAAGAGAAGGAGAAGCAGAGGGAGAGAGAGAGAGAGAGAGAGAGAAGGAGAACAAGGTAAAATGGACATGAGATAATTTGTGAATAAATTAAAACATGTTTTTCGAAAGGCTTATTGTAAGACCCCCGCAACGACACACACACACTCATGCAGAGATACGAGTATGCATGTGTGTGCTAATTATTTGCGTGTACAAGTTTCAATGTCATTACCACAGAAGAGAGCAGAAGAGAATGGATTTGAGCAAAGCAGATAGTGGAGCAGAACACAAGAGAGTGGAGCTAGACAGGGTCTCCCCTATACATACATGTAGGTATGTAGGTAAAGCAAAAGAGAGTGTGGCTGGTGTTACTTTAAACTTTATACTTCGAAAGGTTATTGCCAAGGAGGGGGGCTTTTCTAATCTTGAGAGTGAGTGAGTGCCCCAGCAGCAGCAGCAGCAGCAGCTACAACTCGACGTCATAGATAGATAATTCGTTTCGTTTTCTTGTGATAAGACAACCGTCCGTTATATTTTGTAGGTGACCCCAGAGGCAAAAGAACACACATTTGAAGGGCGCGCGCACTGCTCCAGCGAACCGTCCATTCATTCACCTGATGGGCGACAGTGATCACATGAAGTATATGTACGCACGCTTGAATCCACATCCACGCACTGCTTTGGACTTACCCTCTTTTAGCGTTGCCATCTTTTCTTCGGTGTGCCGTTAACAGTTAATCAAACAACAGGAAGACTCAAAAATAGCACATAAACAGGACCGCCGACTTTTTTGCGTTGGCTTTTTGGCTCTAACCAAGCTTAAGGTTTCGGGATTGGTTACTGTTCAAACAATCAACACTTGACTTGGCTAAACTTTCATAAACAAAGCCAAGAAATGATGCAATTACAGCGGAGTTTATATTTTGGTTTGTTTGTTGTGCAAACGGTGCGTAAAGTTTGGTGTTTGGATTGACTTGTTGGAGCGCGGAGCCCTGTTTGTGTTTGGTGTTTGGATTAACTTGATGTTGGAGCGCGGAGCCCTCCGAAATTGAGTAATGAAGCTAGCCGCGATCGTACCCTGACTGCGGAGGTCGAGCGCATAAAGCGTGCATGAAGCGTCGGCGGCAGAGCCCGTGGGAACAACAACAACCAGCGACGCTTTGTAAACTGGCAAACCAGTGATCGGCACCAGGAGCGGATCCAACGCAAGCGACGAGAGCGGCGAAAGAAATGCTGTTACCTTATCTTCCATTCAACATAGTGGGCAGATGCCCAATGAACAAACCATACTCTTTGTATATTTTTTTTTTTTATCAAAATCTTCCCAGCCAACTGAAAAAACTGCAGTGTATTAATATATAAGAAAATCAGAAGGAATGTTCCACCAACGAAGCTAGAAGGGAGGGTTTTTATTAGTTGAGAGAAAGCGAAATGAGGTTTGTTTTTATAATAATTTATTACGTGTACAGCATTTTCAATAATTTTATTATTTTGCCTTGATTGTTTTCGCCCCTCCCCATTGTGGGGCTTCGGCGATTGTTTGAAACTAACAGCCAGTCTACAATGCTCTACTGCCACTGATTCGATTAGGTGTCTAATTTGTATTTATTGTTAAGTTTCTTTAAATAAAAAAGCTATGGGCCCCCACCCTTGAGGGCTGAATGCGCTCCTGGTCTGTTCGGCCAGTGCCGGTTCTCTGTTGTGCATACTCATACACAGGCATTCACTGTACGAAAATCGTAAGAATGGATGTGCATGGGTGTGTGTATATTGCATGTGTATTGTGTGACGCCGTCGTCGCATGCGTTTTTTTGTGAAAAGGGGGAGCCAGATCGTTACCCAGCCAGAGCTGCCAGGTGGGGAAATGATGGAACTAGCTAGAATTGTTGAAGTACCACCGATGGTACTCCGTATTGGTAATTGGTATTAAAAAGAGTTGGACGCTCACACATACAAACATATGACATAAATGAAAAGTATTCAAGCCGATAACCCTTCGGCGTATTGTGATGGCTGTCACTTGTCGTAAGACACACATACATATCATATCTATGGGGCGAATGCAGTTTCTAAAAACCAACAACGGTGTCAAATGATGTATGGGGCTGTCAGTTGTCTGTGTGTGTATCTGTCAATTTGTTGTTTAAATAATCTAAATCTCGCTTTCGCGGTCAATTTATGTACATTTCCTATGGCTCCCATTATTAAAGTTGGTATGCTGCAAATCCCGCCTCACTCCGTCTCACAAATGGACTGTAGTATATGTAGCTAAAGCGCAGGTGATGGATAGGAAAAATACAAGTACCATTGATGAATGTCGGTCGTCAGTAAAAGAGAACTGAGTGCAGGATCACTCGGTTGCGACGCTCTTCAAATTCCTGTATCATTTCATCAATATCATTATCGAGATCATTTGATTTGGCCAGCTGAAAGTGAATTGTTTTAGATCAATGTTTCAGATTCATATTAATTATCATATGCATACTAAATTAATCATATCTGTTATCAGAAATGCCCCCATCAAAGCATCCTCGGCATTGTCCACCACGTCGACGTTTAGCACGTGAACGGGGCGATTGTAGACTGAATCCATGGATTCCATGTGCAACACCACTAAGTCGTAGACACGTTCCTCTACGGTAACAATAATATCAAACTTTTCTTTGGTTTCCTGAAAGCGTTCTGGGGCCTTTTTCAGTCGGCGATTGCGGTCTAGCATATGCAGCAGACCGTTTTGTGTGTAGCTGGTGGGGGAAAAAAATGAAATGTAATCAATGCAGCAGGCATATGTATTCAACTTACAACTCCTTGTCCTTAGACTCCAGGTCGCGGTGTATGTCCTCGTAGCTGGTCCCGAACTCGTAAACATTCGGCTTGTCAAAGGTCATGCCGGGCAGCTTGACGCGCTCGCCGGTGCCGTAGGAGCGCACGTTGAAACCCTTCTTGGCCAGAAAATTGTGCGCCTCCATGGAGCGATTCATGTTGGAGGAACAGACAACAGCCACAGACAGTTTGCCCTTATCAGTCATGATATCTCCTCCTTTGGCAGTGCAATTTCAATTTCAACAAAAAAGAAAAATATGGGCACCGATAACACACTGTGAAGAAAAAAACTCTACACGGTTACTACATATTTGCTACATAATGGAAGGAAAAAGACGGTATGGACAACAGGCATCACGGTCCAGAAAATGCAACGCCTAAAAGGTGAAACCACCCCATTTTCCGAATATACCTTGGAGACGAAGAGCCGATTTTGTCTTCAAGGTATTTTGTCCTCGCAAGCGAGGTGAGAGTTCGTATTAACCTTGCAATTTGCCTTTGCTGGTTTTGCCTGTTGTACATACCCTTTTTATAGCCCATTTAAAAAACCCACTCATTTTTTCGTCGCAGGAGAGAGCACTTATCGATAAGATATACCGTCAGACCCTCAGAAATATACCAAAGTATCGTCTCATTTTCAAAATATACCGAAATATACCGATATACGGAAAACGAACTTACAATACTTAATCTTCCTTTATATAAAATGGATAACAAATTGAGTTAAACTACCGTCAACCGTTTCCTTAATTTTTTGATAAAAAAGACCACAATATCTTTCACTGCGCTAAAATTTTTCAAGATACATAATTTTCGAGGAGAGTATTTTAATACCCTATGGTCGACAATGCGCTAATTTTTTTCTCTCCATGATCGGAAGACAAAATCGTCGATTTTGATATGCGATTTCATTATATGAAAGCTAGGCAGGACCCTAAACACATATGTAACTGTATCCGATTGATGAACGGCTAATTTTTTGTTTTGATTGTGTCTCAAATTAGGTTTTTAAAATAAGTAAAAGCATAAAAGGACATCTTTATACCCTATTTCATTTTATTAATATTCATGGAACATACATACATATATTTTTCCTTGTATATCACGATCCCGACACATATTTTCTCGCTCTTAGTAGTCCACTCACTGCATTATTTCGGTGAGATAGCTTTAAAACAGAATCTGACAAGCTTTTGCATTCATTGGAGCCTGAGATGAGCCAAAATTTCCTCAATTTTATAATATCTTCTTCCCTAGGGTATGCAGAATGTTGCTCCTTTCGTGCCTTTGGTTTGAAACATTTAATTTAAAACGATATCTCATTTTATTTAACTAGTCTTTCTTACGTTTGCTGCTCGGTACTGATGCCGCTCTGACTGTAACAACTTGTAGCGGCTTGTCCAACTTCTCTGGAGCTGTGACCCCAGCCTTGCCGCCGAAATCTTGTGACCAAATGTTCGCCGGCGATAGACTTACCGGCGGACTAGACATCCGGAAGAAGTAAGGACGGGATCGAAAGTGTGAACAATTGTTGTTGTGATAGAGTACAAGCACATCAGACGACGGGCTACCGGCAGTATGGGCAGGAAAAACATTCAGCAAAGAAGAGTGGCCAGAAAGTAATAAGTGTGGCATACCCTCGGGCGCCAGCAGTAATTCACTTATGTATACTGCAGCAGTATAACTTAGTATACTTCCAAGCATTCCCACTCCGTCTCTCTTTTTCTGCATACCATCGGCTGAAAAGTTAAGCGAAACAGGTAATAACAGTCTAATGTTTGGTAGATTGCTGCCACAAAAGGGTAAGGACCATCCCCGATACTCACCAGGAAGACAACGGTCAGTAAACAAAGTTCAGATAATTCTTCGCACGCCGACTCCTCAAGCCAGGAGTCAGTCAAGCCTCTCGACTGTGCAGCGCTGTGCACTCCGGAAATTTAACGATCTTCTACAATGCCATCGGTGCCAGGAGTTTGGGCACACACAAAAATACTGCCACAAGCCCTTCAGATGCGTAACGTGCTCGGAGCCGGAGGAGGGGCAGGAACATTTGTCAAATCTAGTCTCAACTACATCGAGAAGCGGCATCGCTCACCATTAATACCAGCACCGGCCGAGTAACAATTGCCTCTTGTTACGCTCCCCCATGCCATCTGGAAGACAAACTAAACAGCTTTGGCACCAGATTTATAGTCCGAGGCGACTTCAACGCCAAGCACACCTGGTGGGGCTTCAGACTCAACAATCCCAATAGTTCCAGGGGAATCAACACCAGCCTCATCCACACCCAATCCGAGTTCGACTTGATGTCCGATCACTGTGCGCGCAATGTCTGCAACACATTTTAATTTTCACTTAATAATTTTCATTTTAATAATCACTATGCGATGCCAATGCCAAACCTCTGACAATGCAAGCCAATACCCTAACTTGTGATACCCAGCCACTTTACAGCCATATCAGCTACTACACATACATATGTAGATAAGCAGTAGGCGCCACACTTATTGTATAATGTGCCATTTCAAATACAACTCTCTCATTTGAGAGACTGCCAGTTTTGTTCGCATTGTCGAACACAACACTAAACAAATCACATCAGAAAAATTCAGAAAAAAAAGAAAAAAACAATTTTCAAATTTCAATGGTCGAAATTTGGAGGCCTTACCAGTGACGCTGCCCCATACGATGGCCGTGACGTCACTCCAACTTCAAGAAGTCAGCAGCCATCTCCAACGACGAGGCCAGCCGCTACAACGACACTGGCCAACGAGCCAAACCCAATACCATCGACAATGCATCCTGGGTGGCCGGACCAACAGCCACTCGGATGCAGCCAATTCCAATTAATAGGAAACCTAAAGGAAACCTACTTAAATTATAATGACTTAATGGTTCTGCTAAATCTGGTAAGAAAAAATATTTTTTTATTATTACTGCCGATTTAATTATGAATTTTGTAAGCCTTTCCGTCTCTACGACCGTGGCAGACGAGCGTAATGGAAACGGAAGGAGGACGAAGGACGAAGCCGCATAGAAGAAACGCCTGAGCCATTGTTTCTTTTATTATTTTTTTTTCCACATTTTGCTTTATTAAAAAAAATCCACTTTCTGCTTAATCTCTAGTAAAAAGAATTCCGAAATAATATTTTTCAAAATTTAGAATTTTTTTTATTTTTATACCCGATTCTCAAAATGAGTATTGGGGTATATTAGATTTGTGGTAAATGTGCATGTGTGTAACGTCCAGAAGGAATCGTTTCCGACTCCATAAAGTATACATATTCTTGATCAGCATCAATAGCCGAGTGATTGAGCCCTGTCTGTCTGTACGTCTGTCCGTCCGTCCGTCTATCCGTCCCTATCAGCGCCTAGCGCTCAAAGACTATAAGAGCTAGAGCAACGACGTTTTACATCCGGACTTCTGTGATATGTACCTGCTACAAGAATATTTCAAAACTTTGCCCAGCCCACTTCCGCCCCGCAAAGGGCGAAAATCTGTGGCATCCACAATTTCGGCGATACTAGAAAACTAAAAACGCAGAATCGTAGAAGATGACTATATCTTCGAGAGTGCAAGATATTTTATATACAATAAACCAAAATAATACCATTCTATACACCATAAAATATTCCACACATAACACTTTCCTACATATTTTTAAATATTTAAAGTTTTAGGAAACATAACCCCTACTCTCCAATACAGCAAGTGCCATTTAATTTTATATGTCTTCAGTCCAGTCTAGACCCGGTGACGAGTGGCACATTCCTTGAGCGCAGAGGGACCCTCAGAGACTTGTGGGGCGAGCACCTACTGCAGGGCCTTGTCCTCCAGCGTGTCGTTTCTCTCGATATGGACACGGCTTGGAGTGGTTTGGACCACTCGATGGTAAGACCAAAGCAGGCGCCCAGGGAGCTAAGCCTCGATTCTACAATATTTGTAAGCACTTCAAGCTTACCGGTTGATGGTTCCTTTTCACGGGGCAAAGTCTAACTTATCTCCCATCTATATGATAGTACATGAGTACGAATATTACGAGTTTATTTCGTAATCGAGATTAAAACTAAAAAAAAAATAAAATAAAATGATAAATTAAAATATATATTAAACAGCTTAATAAATTAATCTAAATGGAATCTCATAAACATATGAAATTAGTCAGATTTGGTGAAACAAATTCGATTTTTACTTAAAGCTAGACAAACAAAAAAAAAGGAACTAAGAATTTTATAAAGCCCCGACCCAACCCCAGAGAATCCAGACATCCACACACCAGAGACCAGACCCCTTCTTAAATATAGTCCAGCATCCCGCTGACGATCTCAAAGGCATCCCGAGCTGTCGGCTCAATGGCGCTGCTGGGCAGCAGGTAGCCATGGACCCCATTATCCGCCAGCTGGATCGTATAGCTGAAGGGTATGCCGATATCGTAGGCGGCAAAGGCGTCGGCGCAACCTGGAAAAACCAGCATGGAAATACTTACGGATAAGTGGATCGAATTTGAAGGAATCACTCTTACCAGAGCGCTGCTCAATCAGATCGTTGGAGGCATCCACTTTGTAGCGCCACTTGCTGCCCTTCTTTCGCAGGCCATCGGTGCCCACCATGGCCACGTCGAGGAAGTCATCCAAGAGCTCCGAATTGAATGTGGAATTGGCCTTAACCGTATACGAAACCACTTGGCCATACGCCTGCAGGGAGATGTAGAGCTGAGGGGGAAGAGGGAACCGATCGATTGTAAGATCGATCTACCATATTATATCCACCACTAATTCTCTTCCTCTTATTAAATTATTAATCCTTACACACCTTTCTATTAATTAGTAACTGTAGTGGTATATGTATTTTGATTGCATGCTTAGTTTCTTAGTAAGTTTAGTACTAATTTTCCTCGAATGTTAGTCTAATAGCTATCTTTCTTGCATGTTCGCGTTTGGTTCGGCTACGCACCGCGCGTCATGCGGCAGCGCCCCTCGGTCGGTTGGGCGGGAGGAGGGCTGCGTTTTGCCTGGGATCCGCGCGTAACAGCCTTCTGCTGGTGTCACACGGGCCACTTGACGGTGCAGTAACTGCATCGCCTCTTGAAAGATGCAGTCATTGCATGTCAACGTCCAATAATAAAAGAGCCCAAGTCCAGGTAGTATTCAGAAAACGAAGGAGAACCCAACCCCACCTTTATCTGTGTGCGTTGATCCATGAGAAAGTCGGAGACGGCCTTCGTCTCTGGTTCCGAGAAGGGGGCGGGCCCCGCACAGAACTCATTGCACGGCGCTTTGGAGCTGCCCCGCTTGCCCCAGTGGTACAGCCAGTTCCGGTCAAGATCGACGCGGTGGCCTACCTTGTCCGGGTCGCGTTTCTGTTGCAGCCATGTCATGGCCGAGTCGAGGAGTCCGCCTGGCGCTCGGGCCATATGCTGGGAGCGTGATTTCTTCCAGAGCCGATCGTAATCGTGACTGTACTCATATCCATCGGGATTCAGGACGGGCATTATGTACCAGGTGGTGTTCCGTATGAGCTCTAGTTCTTCATTGCTGTCCGGCAGATAGGATGGGAGTACAAAAATTACATTACAGAAATTGTATCTTTTGGGTGTGGAAATATATATGTATAAATGAAGGGAGTACGAGACCCAGAGCACGACAGCAAGGTCCTTGAAGGGAGTACTCGGTTGGCCAATCCCAAGCCCAGAACCGAGGGTTCTTAAGGCACGTCTGGCACTGAGACAAATGTGTCATCGATATGAGACGGCTACTTAGTATTTAATGAATATAAGGTTCTTGTTGCCATTTTATTTGTACGTCCTTGTGATGTGTTCGATCAGTCGAACAAATCACAAATCTCCGACAACGCATCCCGGGTGGCCGGACCAGTTCGCCACTCGGTAGATCGCAGCCAATCCTCACATCGTTAGCATCACTATGCGATGCCAATGCCAATCCTCTGACAATGCAAGCCAATAACTAACTTGTTTTACCCAGCCACTTTTCAGTCATGTCTGCTACTACACATACATATGTAGATAAGCAGTAGGCGCCACACTTATTGTATAATGTGCCATTTCAAATACAACTCTCTCATTTGAGAGACTGCCAGTTTTGTTCGCATTGTCGAACACAACACTAAACAAATCACATCAGAAAAATTCAGAAAAAAAAGAAAAAAACAATTTTCAAATTTCAATGGTCGAAATTTGGAGGCCTTACCAGTGACGCTGCCCCATACGATGGCCGTGACGTCACTCCAACTTCAAGAAGTCAGCAGCCATCTCCAACGACGAGGCCAGCCGCTACAACGACACTGGCCAACGAGCCAAAGCCAATACCATCGACAATGCATCCTGGGTGGCCGGACCAACAGCCACTCGGATGCAGCCAATTCCAATTAATAGGAAACCTAAAGGAAACCTACTTAAATTATAATGACTTAATGGTTCTGCTAAATATGGTAAGAAAAAATAATTTTGTATTATTACTGCCGATTTAATTATGAATTTTGTAAGCCTTTCCGTCTCTACGACCGTGGCAGACGAGCGTAATGGAAACGGAAGGAGGACGAAGGACGAAGCCGCATAGAAGAAACGCCTGAGCCATTGTTTCTTTTATTATTTTTTTTTCCACATTTTGCTTTATTAAAAAAAATCCACTTTCTGCTTAATCTCTAGTAAAAAGAATTCCGAAATAATATTTTTCAAAATTTAGAATTTTTTTTATTTTTATACCCGATTCTCAAAATGAGTATTGGGGTATATTAGATTTGTGGTAAATGTGCATGTGTGTAACGTCCAGAAGGAATCGTTTCCGACTCCATAAAGTATACATATTCTTGATCAGCATCAATAGCCGAGTGATTGAGCCCTGTCTGTCTGTACGTCTGTCCGTCCGTCCGTCTATCCGTCCCTATCAGCGCCTAGTGCTCAAAGACTATAAGAGCTAGAGCAACGACGTTTTGTGATATGTCGTAAAATTTTTTTTTAATATTATTAAGCCAGTGCAGTTTTAAGCATTTACAAAATTGATTCTCTTCTCAATGCCTGTTATAATAGGTCCAACTGCGCGCATATAGTACATCAAGGCATCCAAGTCAAGAGGTCCGATCCTGTGCAAGCAGACTTGATTATTAATTCACTCACTTAATTATTTGAAACAAGTACTCTAGATGCTCAGCATTGTCGCTAATTAAGTTGAACCCGTTTTTGCCGTTGGCCAGGTACTGCATGACCACTAGACGGTACGTCATGGCTAGTTTCAGGGGCCTGTAGTCGGGAACTTCGCAGTTGGAGCATCGAACGCGGACACTGACCACACGTTGACCCATGGTAGCCGATATGTTGTAGTTAACGCGGAGTCCTGACACCTGCAGGAATCTGGACGACCTCGGCGCCGACGAGCTGGAATCCATGGGCGCCACACTGTCCTCTAACAGATCCCATAAATGTTGGCCCCGCAGGTCCAGGGAAACCAGGCGATTTTCCCAAGGGCACATGGCAACCAGCTGCTTATATGTTATGTCTGTTGGGTAAGCAAGGATTTAAATTAACTTCTCGATGGAATAATGTTTGAAAAACTTACTGCCAGCTGGGATGGGCACCCGGAAATTCCCCTGCGTTGTTAAGGCAATGGTCACATTACTCCAATTGGACGCGGAAGGCGTTGCATCACTAAGAAACTAACGATACTTGCAATAATACAACTACTGCAATCTGGATAGAGAATGGATGTCTCACTGCATGCAGCATGGCGTCTGTGTAGAGATTGCCCAGGTTGCATTCGCCCTTGGAACATTGGCTCTGCTGCAGATACACTCGGCTCTGTCCCACAATCCTATTGGATGCGGCTTCCAGCTCGGCCTGCCAGGGACGCAGGGCCTGCAGGACCACATCATCTTGAAATCAAGCCAAATTATGTCATATCATTTAGAAGCATATGATATAGGCAGCTTTATTTTGTTTCAATATTAAGAAATATTAAGAATTTAAAGAATAAAAAAACCTTGATTTTAAATTTGTAAAAAAAAAATATATATTGTGATAAATTAAATAAATCTCTTTCTATCAATTACAGATTTTTCTGCCCTCGGAAAGCTTCAGTTGAGCACAGTGATGCGTCCCTCGAGACCTACGTAGATGGGTTCAATGTGGGCCGTGTAAGTGATCAAGGCATCCAAGTCCGTAACGCCCCGCCTGCAATGAAAGAGTAAACGAACAGATTGGATCAGTGCAATTGGATAGAGATTCAGAGGTTCGGACGCACTGGATGTCTGTGGCCGCTGCCAGCATGGTGAAGCCATCACCCCCCTGTTGTAGAAACTCGGGCGAGGTAACACGGTAGAGCTTGTAGGGATCCAGGGGCTCGTAAACGGGCACCTCACAGTCAGCGCAGCGAACGTGGACGGACACGACTCGCGAAGATACGGGCTTGGTGTAGTCGTACTTGACTTTAATGCCCGAGAACTGCAGGTTAATGTAGGAGCTGGTCACCCCGTTCTCCAGGTCGATCTTGCTCACCGCGTGCTCCAGAGCCGCGACGAGCGTGCTGCCAGGAATGTTGTAAGCCACTAGCGTGTTCTCGAACGGGGACATGCTGACCAGGTGGGCGTAGGTGAGATCTGTATGGAGAAAATGCAGTCAACTCACGATCAATGGACAATGGCCATCCCAATGTACTCACTGCCCCGGGAGAGCTTCACCCGCAGACCACCAATGTTCATGAGTCCCGCGGACACGTTTGTCCAGGACTTCTGATCGAAGGGCGAGAGTCCGATGAACTGAAAGGTGTGAGAGGGAGGTGTAATTCGAGTACGGCGCTGAGCTGAGACTTCAACTTACCGAATGCACCATGGCGTCGCAGAAAAAGCTGCCTAGGTTGCACTCGCCTTCACCACAGTCGTCCTTGGTCAGATCCACCTTGGTGGTGCCAATGGCGACCTTACCCCGCATATCTATGAGCTCCTTCCAAGGTTCAATAGCATCACGCACGGCCTCATCTACGGCGAACACAAAGCACAACGCCCGGAAGAATTGGCCGAGGATCAGTCCCGGGCTTTTGCGGAGCGCGATATACCCCCAGCTTTAGCCCCATACTCACCTTCCGGTACCTCCGATCCCATGTAAAGAGGGGCACCCTCGAAGTCCAGAACGTCGCCGTTGTCGTCAAAATAGACGGTCAGATTGCCCACGTATCTGGCGTAGGCCGATGCCTGGACGATGAGCACGCGGTGGCCGGAGCTGTGAATGACTTCGGTGGGATAGTCACCTGCTGGTTTATGTGGACCCGGCGGGTCGCCCGTGTACAGGAAGGTGTGCGAGTGGGAGCCGACAATTACATCGATCCAGTCACCGGCGTTAGCCGCTATTTCCTTGTCTACATCGTAGCCGCAGTGCGAGATCACGATGATGATGTTGGCCCCCTGGGCCTTTAGCAGCTGCGCCTCTTCTCGAATGGTGTCGCTCTCGTTGCGGAAGTTCAACTTGCCTGTGTTGGCCAGGTCCTAAATAGGAACGAAACTCAGTCGTGGTCGGCCACAGAGCATAAGTGGATCTACTACTTACGTATGTAGTCTCCAGGATGACGCCAATCAGTCCAATCTTGCGACCTCCCCGCTCGATGATCATCGACTTGTTGTACAAACCCTCCATGGTGGGCTCGTGAGCGCAGTCCATGTTGGCCACCAGCATGTTCGTGTCAATGGTCTCTAGGAAGGGCACGACGCCCTCGACCCCGTGGTCGAACTCGTGGTTGCCTAGCGTCTGAAATGTATTCATCGTAAATAAAAATAGTCAGCCAAATTACTCTGGTATCCGAGCCATTTTTCTGTTAGACTCACTACTCACCATGACGTCGGCCGGCAGCATATTGAGGAACTCTTGGGTGACGTTCCAGCGGCCAATATTGTACCAGAGCGTACCCTGAAAGCTATCGCCCGCATTTATGTAGATCGGGTTGAAGTCCTTCTGCTCCTCGAGAAGGCGCTTCACAGTGTAGACGGTGCGGGCATAGCCACCGATGCACTCCTCTCCGCTGTCGCAGACGCCACCGCTGGTGTCCGTGGGTTCGAATCTGCAGATCGTAATCGGGGTTAGAATCCACTCGTGACTGGGCTGGTACTGGGACTCGGATCAGCTATCTTCGTCATGGCCTTATCGTTATCAGAATCAGTATCGGTATCAGCCTGGTTCTTATGAGTGCGGGAACTGTTTTCGATAAGCCGCGGGCATGGACTGCCGTACTTAACGGCCACCTCAGCTATTGTGGCATTGATGTGAGGCGCCATAAACTTGATTGAATTTTATAAGGCTCTTGGCTTGGCCCTGCAATGCCTTACCTGGCATGGAAGTCGTTTATGTGTATTAGGGAAAGTGGGAATCCTTTCTCGGCAGCCTCCATTCCAGGAATTGTGGCAAGTGCCAGGATCATCACTGATCCCATCAGTCGGATGAACATGAACTGCATTTTTTGCCCGGTCACAAGTGCTTTAATCAACAAAAACCGC